CCTCTGCATTAAAACCAGTCATCTTATACCTGTTGAGGAGGAAAGTCTTGGATAGGAATGACATGTCACTGAAAGCAGCTTGTTTAACAGTGGGTTGGGCTTCAAAATGTCTTTCTCCTGCAGTAAATAATCGATTAATTCCTCATCTGTAAAATACCCACCACAGAAATATTTCAAGGTCAGATGGGAGATTATGGAGTGCTCAAGTCAATGAGGGGGGCTTCTCCTTTGTGTGACAATATAAACATTAAACGAAATGTTTAAAGGAATTCAGCAGATAACAAACAATACCATAGAAAAATCATGACTTCAAAAAAGGTAGTTGGGTACTAAGACAACTACTAAGTGGGAATTATTAATGATTTTGTTAAACATTATTTAGAGACAATTATTCATACTGTGTGATTTCTCACACTGAAAATGCTGAAATGCAAAATCATTTCTTTTCTTTTTGCTTTCGGCATCACGCACAAACACGCACGCACACAATTAGATTTAAGCTATTTTTCGAAGTGTGTAAAGCTCAACAGATTCTATTATTAGCTCATAAATAAACTGCTGACTGCTTACAATATTTAGGTTGTTATTAATTTTACGAACTGACGGTTAAATAACCCTTTGGATCCAAAGAATGTCTACAAATAATGCACAATTCCCCGCTTCTTATACAAAATAATTGTCAGAACTTGAAATGTTTTACTTCAATGCTATTTGGAAAAGGCAACAATAATTGTCACTAATGCTGGTAACTTAATGAGAGGCTATTTCAGTGCCTTTTGGGTTAAAAAAAAACTCGGTCGATAAAGGAGCAAAGTGAAAAATTAAAAATTGATTTTAAGATTCGTGGGTTAGAGCTCCACGTGGTGGCTTGTTTGTGGTCTTACACTCGAAGCCAATGCTGGACAGTGTCAACACAGAAATGGTGGATTTTAACTTAAGACATTTAAGAACGTAAAACAGGTTACAAAGGAGCAGAGGCAATTCGACTCTGGCGCGATTGGTAAATCATACATTAATATTGCAGGGAAATAACGTATTTATTTTTGGAGTATTTCACTTTCTCGAGATCGATTTATATCAGATTACGAGTGATAATAAGATATATTAAAATCAGCCCCTTTGCTAAAATATGCAAGAACGATCACATAAATCAGATTTTTTTTCTAGGAAGAAATGCTGAGTTATATTAGATTCGAGAAATGCCTAATGCGACTAGTAAATTAGACATTAAAGTGCTGGAGAAAGTTTATGTTTTGCTAAGTGGTCCTAAAACAGATTGCTTAATATGTGTAATTCATGGCAACGAACAGAAGGTGGAGCTTTTGAAAAACAATAAATGATTTTAGAAGAGCTACTCGCTCAGGTCGGGTAGAAAACGCGTTTTCCCCTAACATTAGCCATTCCAAAACGTTTTATACAGTTTGTTTCATCTTGGAGGTTTTGTTATATAAATTCATCTTTATAATGACGGTGTATGTGGCATTAAAACAGCTATTATTAGATGCCATTCACTGAAAGTTCAATGGGCGGAAGAAGGAATTCCGATTTACGCACACATATTTTTACAAGTAGCATGAAGCTAGTTACATAAAGCGACGCGATTGATCGTAAAGCCTGAATTGAAGATTGAGAACGATACGAACAAAATGCAACTTGCACACAGAAGGAGCTCCAATCCAGAACAGAGCATGCAACTGTGAGGTTGTAGCAACACTAATCACGCCACCAGGCCACCAAAATGATAACACATAAGCTGAATCTATTGTATTTTTTATATAAAATAAAAGAAGGTGCTTTATTTAAGACCTTTGGATAATCTGAATAATGTTCTGTGTTTTATGTTTTGTTTAAGACATCACCACTTTTCAACCTGGCTTCAATTACTCTGGGCCTATTAGCTGTCTGCAAAATGTTTCATTTTATTATGTCGTACTTAATAATAGAAAATGGGATCACAACGCAAAAAAAATCAGTAATTAGGAAACTTAGAAGAGGGACTCGCCCTATAACTCGCGGTCCCTCCCCCTTGATAACATCTTAAGAATCACTCTGGAGTCTGTGATCTAACAGTCGTTTGTGAATGTGTCCTTTTTTCTTCTTTTATAGAACCTATCAGACAGTGACCTCAACAAATTTAATTTCATACTCCAGCCGTGAGTATATTCTTTTTAAATGCCATTAAAATCAAAACTGCAAAATAATCAGTTGGAACACTGTTTTAAGCTTATGTCCTGTGTTATTATTGTTTTATTCAGTTATGCAGTAAGTGTTTTACAGCTGTGTTATGCAGTTTGAAGTTTCAGTTTGTAGATAGGCTTACAGTAAGTGAAGGAACAAGTAATAGGTTTATTCCACGCTGAAAAAAAGAAGAAAGAAAACACAACGTTTAGGCCGTGGAGCCTTCTTCAGGTGTGAGAAAGACAAGGCCTTATAAACCTTAGCGTTTTGATTGATGCGCAATTACGCACCAACTGGAACATAAGTATACATAAGTTCACAATGCAAGAAATACTGCTCATGCGAACCACCTGCATATAACCATAGGAAGCAGAAGAGCACAGAGACAAACTCAAAGTAAAACTCAAAGTAGTCTCCAATTATCCAGCCTGTAAGGACTGGGATTAAAGTTTGTTTTATTTCTGAAATCCTTTTTTAATGTCCAGTTTTCATTCAGGCAAGGGTCAACTACATATGCAATACTGCTGACAGTTGGAAACATCCTCTTCTGTACTCAACAGCTTTTTAAAAACAGCACCCATGATATTCAAACCAAATGTTTTACACAGAAGACTGACTTTTCACAGCTTTCCTTTGTGAAACTTTATTTTTTGAGGATTTTTGAATATGGCACCATTAGACAGGCAATACACTGGGATGGGGAGTGCTCTTCACAAGTCAATAGCTTTTTCACCACAACACTCACGATGCTGTAACCATGTGTCTTACACACTAGGTAGGCCCTCTGACCGATCACAGCCTTGCTTTGATTTGTGAATCTTTTCTTTCGGATATCTGGATATTTTTTTCAGATACCTGGATATGTACATTTTGCAAACCCTGGTCTGGTGAGGGTATGGTATGCACACTATCACTGTGGTAGGTTTTGCAAGCAGGAAATGTAAAGATAGACTTGAAAGAAACAAAGGATGATATAGTTCAGTGGAAGGCCTGTAAGTTAATCTGCAGGCAGTATTGGTTCTGTAAACTAGGGGAAGGGAATCAAACAGCAATCCAAGTGTTTATCGATAATCCGCATCTTTTTTGAATTGTTGTATTCCTTATTATAGCGTGCATAACCATCACAAAGATGGAAGTGAGATGCATCAGAGTTGACGATAAGATGTGTATGCATTCAATCAAAATTCAGTGTTCTATCCAGCAATATTTAAACAAAGGGGGAAGACCATGTCTTCAGGGATGATGTTAAAGACCATGTCATTTAGCATGTTGGAGTCACGAATGTTTGGATTGATCAAAACAAAAAAGCATTGTGAAAGTACTCCAAAATGTGTTTAATTCGTACAGACAGAACATAATTTCTTGCTGTAAAAAACTGTCCATAGCCATAATTTGTTTGCTATAGATGTGTTCCCAAAAACTGTGAGAGTATCTACTTTACGCTTAGTTTAAACGTCTGAGTGAACTTGGTTTGAAACAGAGAGCAAGGGGCAGTTCTTTAGCCAAAGGGTTTTGGGCCTGTGGGTCATCTTCAACAACTGTACAACTGTGTTTTTAATAATTATATTTAGGCTTCTTTAAGAAAACAGCAGGATTAGGTCCTCATATTAATATATTTTTAACTACAACATAAACTAGATTGAGTGAATGGCCTCCTGTTGTTTGTAACCCCTCTTATGGTTTTAAAATCCAAGCACTATTGATGAGTAAACAGCCACCCCATGCTGCACAGCATAGCATAATAGCTACTGTATGTTTGAAAATCAAGAAGACAGGAAAGAAAACTATATCTTTTCTCAAGCTACTGCAACTCCCCTCAGAAAGAAACCTACTGTAAGTACCAGTTTCAATATTCCAAAAAGCAGTGTGTCTTGGATAAGTGTTAACTCTCAGAACCAATGTTAAACTGAAATGAAACACAGGAAACCCAGAAATTACTGGAATCCACTTATTAACTATTGCTGGATAAACAAAGCCGAAGTCCTTATCATTGGGCCAAAAAATGTTTGTCATAACATGTCACAGTCCCTTTTTAATGTGGCTGATCACACTGTTGACATCACAGTAACAGTGAAAATATTGTTATTTGGTGAAATGTTTCACCCTGACCTTAATGTTAATTTTCATTGAAAGCTAGAGTTTCTTTTCCCCATCTTAGAAACATACAGTAGCTAATTAACAATGTCCACTACATATTTAGAAAGCTAAAAAATCTAGCTGTTCTAATGTTCTGACTAGAACACAGAAACACAATCACATAATTCAAGTCCTGTCTTCACTGCAATGGCTTCCCATATGATACCACATTTTTACCTACTGTACATACAAAGATAGCTTAGCCTCCTCAGTGATCCTTTGCTTCCGTAAGCATCAATAAGACTGTTCCGGTCGCAAGATCCTGTCTATCTCAAAAACCGTCAAATCAAAAGAAAAGTGCAAGTGGTATAGATTTCAGTCACACAGCCCTTAAACTGTGGAATGACTTACCGAACCTTGTTAAGGATGTCCAATCTGCATCAGCTTCTTGTCACGGACGTCCAAAGGGACTAACCGTGGGGAGCAGGAGAGCAGAAAAAGATGCTGAGCGAGGACAGAGTGCAAGACCCGGAAATATATAGCCCAAGGGAAGGACAGCAGAGCGGAAACTAGGGACAGGACAGAGAAGGAGTGACACTTCTTTATCGAAGCTGAAGACAGATTTCTTAAGTCTTTCTTATCCTGACTAACCAAAACCTCTACTGCTGGCGAACAGCCGCCAAAACCAAGGGTTATCAAGTGTGGAGGCATATTACCACATTACAGTCATATTTGCTGTGTCTTACCATTTTTAACCCCCTTCCTGCCTCTCTTATGTCATCACGGTGCCTTTAGTTTGCATCAAGCTCCATCCCCCATGACAAGGACTGCTCAAACCAGTGGATAGGACACATCTGCTCTCACATAAAATCTGAAATAGAATTCACGCTGCCTCACCATGCATGGCTGTGCATTTGAACTGTTTCTAACAACTGCTTGTCATACACAGCCAAGACCTGAAGGGGAGATCAACCTTCAGACCTTGGAAGCCCAGATATTGATTTTTCTCCTTTGGAGTTTTTTTTTTTGTTTTTCTCTCCCTCATGCCCAATGGTCACACAGTCACATCATCAGTACTGCACACCACTCTATATACATACACTTTCCCCATGACGCTCTATGTTTAAAGGTTATCTGTGATACAATTTGCATTATTAATAAAAATATATACATTTACAAATGAAATGAATGGAATATTGCATTTTAAAACTTCACAAATCAAAGCAATGCTGTGAAAGGTCAGAGGGCCTGCCTAGTGTGTAAAACCCTTGGTTACAGCATCGTGAGTGTGGTTGTGCAAAAGCTATTGACTCATGAAGAGCATCCCCCATCCCAGTGTATTGCCTGTCAAATAGTGCCATATACAAAAAAAATCATGAAACAATAAAGAAAAGATTCACAAATCAAAGCAAGATTGTTTCCTACTGTCAGCAGCATTGCATATGAAGCTGACCCTTACCTGAATGAAAACTGGACATTTAAAAATAGGGTTTTAGAAATAAAACAAACTTTAATCCCATTCCTTACAGGCTGGATAATTGGAGACTACTTAGAGTCTATCTCTGTGCTCTTCTGCTTCCTATGGTCATATGCAGGTGGTTCGCATGAACACCTATTGAGCAGTATTTCTCGCATTGTGAATTTATGTAGATTTATGTTCCAGTTGGTGCGTAATTGTCAATCAAAAAGCGACAGTTTGAAGGCTTTGAAAACATTCACAAATCACCTTATGCACATTGCAGGTGTTTTCATAACTCGTAGGAGGTTTCGTGAAAACGCCATTGATGTTCCGAAACGAATATCGAACTTCGAGCTGGCTTTACCGCGGTAATTTGTTTACTGACAGTTTCATTGCGTAACTGGGGGGGGCTATGCAGTATGTTATATAACAGTAACTGTATATGGCATTGCAGTAAAAACTGACATCTGAAATAAATGTTCCAGTGGACTTCAATGGTCCACATGAATATGGAAGTAGTGTGGAGTGAAAAAACAGTTCAGTGTGGCGAAGATTACGCTGCAAAACGGTACAGGAAGTGTGCCAATCCTTGGCAAATGTAAACAGACTTTATCCTCTGGTTAAAATAAGGCTAGGTCACTGGCCCGTAGCATGTTACAAAACAGTTATTGGAACTAGCCTAAATTCCCCATGGACGAGAAAGGCCACTAAATGTAATTTTTGCTCCTTCTTCTTCTTCTTTAAAGTAGTACTCTCCACGTAAATGTGTCTCGGTTTATTGAGATTGATAAAAATCCCACAGAGAGCAATATTTCAATCTCGGTTTCCTGGTGTTTAATATTTAACCTGTGGAATAGGGAAGTTGAAGGTACATTATTTAACCAGTAGCAACAATAAGTAGAACACATAATTCCAGTACAGACCTTTGCTGAGTCATAGGTCTTCTTCACAACTCGCTACTTGCTTTTTCTGTCATTTGTTTTATCCAGTTGTTTTCTTTTCCGGAAAGGTGTTGGTTACATTTTTTTTAAAGATCTAGTCCACAAAATATGAAATGACTTGTCAGCTTCCTCTTTCAATTAACAACCCACCTGAAATTTTGTTCTTGGGCATATGGGCATTGTTGTCCCGGAGAAACATCCATTGAAATAGACGTCAACAACGGTTATTAATTTTCGGGAAATGGACAAAATGAGGTATGTAAAAGGGTACAGAATAATCTTTGGTGATTTTTCTATCATACGTGCTGCATAAAAAACAATAATAGTTCTATGTTCAGTGTTCTGAAAAAAATATTATATAATTGTATTTATATTTGTCACATGAAAACTAATATTGTATAAAAACATTTTATTTTGTGCCTCTGATAAATGTAGATTATTTGCTTTTAAAGGAAAATAAAGTATTTTAGTCTTAGATTTTATTCTGAGCAAAGTACTAGACCATTCTAAGAGATTGGAGATAGAGTAGCAGTGATTTTGAAGACTATTTTAAATATGCAGTTTATTGATCTAGATTGTCATTTCCAAACAACATTATGAAAGCATCTGTTAAAAAATTAAGACAAACATTTTAATAAAACCTGTCTTGTTTTATTTATAGTTTATTGACTAGATTTTGCCATTTTACCTACTACCTACAAATACTGTTATCAGTTAGAAGCACGGTCCACATGCGAAAGCACCAGTAACATACTAAATAAGGAGATGGAAACATTAAAGAAAAAAACAGTCAATCGTATATTTGTGGAGGTAAAGTACGATACTTTAAAATATATCACAAGGGATTAAGACATTAAACATACACACACTTAAAAATATACATAGGGATTGATTTTCTTCATATACATAAGTGGATAAGGTTTGCTTGAGGTTAACAATTAAAGCTACGGGAGTATCAGAATACAGCAATCTGCAGTAATACTTTTACATTACTCTCCTGTAATTCATATGGCACTATCAAAGTCCTAAATCGTTCATGAAGCAGAAGTTCAGTATTTTCATTCAACTTGCACTTCCTCTTTGAATTCATTTGTTTTTGTCATTGTTTTGTCAGGGTCTACAAAAAGGAATAAGAAAATCTAAAAAAAACGATCCAACTTAACTTTAAAAAATCAGATTATAGTTTATAGATAATATAGATTTTGAATGGATTTGCAATACATCTTCATCAATGTTCCATACCTTAATATACAATGGTTTCTTATACAGCATCCATAAGGGTTATCTAATAGCCCATGCTAAAATACACATTAAAGTATATAATGCACAATTATAATGCACAATAAAGTTGTGGTGTCTTCAGCAGTCACTCACAGTGTTTACCAAATAAGATGAAACACTTGGGTCAATTAAGATGTTAAAAATAAGCACAAGCATTTGAATTAATGTGCTATATTACATTATATATACAGCTAAATCAGTTCAAATGTAATGTAAGTCTAACTCTCAAATTTAAGAAATATAAATAAATAGGAAAATGTGGGTCATTTTTAGTACAGCGATGATTAAGAGAAACCTCGGAGAGTTATGTTTACTGGCACTGTCCACTCATTATGTTGCAACTTATGAGCTAATGTCCCTAAAGGATGTGGCTTTCTCTTTCCATTTGAATTTTGCTTTCTGAACTGTTTTTTTCTGCACCTGGTTGTCGCAGTTAGAACAAAATAGTTACTGAACTCAGTGAAGCAGTCAGCTGCATCTGCTGTAACCTTCAAAATTAAAAATAGAATATCTATATCTGTATTTATGTCTGAAATTTATGGATTCTATTTCATACCATGTTTCATAACTTAATATCAAACATGTTTGTATTTTTGTATCTGTTAAACTAAAAATGACATAATGTATGCTAAATTAGAATTACACCCATTTGACAAGAACAGTGTCAAAACATAACTTACTGTATATTAACTTTTACTTACTGTATATTTGCACTGTATGCATAGATTTGAATGGTGTTCAATTACATTAATATTTTTTCACATAGTGGGAAGTCTTTCAGTTTTAACCTTTGCTACACAGTGGTCTGACCACCAGCTTTTAATCACAGTGCCTATCACAACCAAGAGTCATGTCAGGTGTTTCAGAGGATGAATAAAGGGATTACACAAAAATGACATGCCTTTCACAAGTAGAAAAACACAAAGAAAAATACACTCAAAGGACCACAGACACACACGTTCATGCACAAGCAAACATAAGCCTGTGTTCTACAAGCCAGATCTGAAATGATCTTCATTTCCATAAGAATATGAAACACCTCCCACTCAACTGAAAAGTTCCATCTCCTACTACTCTCTTATGGCCTGCAGGGAGTTAGAAAATGAAAACGTTGCTCTCACCATGGAGTGACACCTTCAAAAATATTTTTTCCACCCTTTTATGTAGTCAAATAGATTACCATTTGTTATGCCTAGAAAGTATTCCATGATGCCAGCAATAGCAAATTAAAACTTTTAACATCTGAAGCTAATACTATTGGCCCTATTTGTTGTGCACAGAAAGACACAAAAGTTGTAATATGCAACTGTGGAGCTGTATTGTTCATGAACAAACATATATCATCAAACACTGCCATCTTGCTGAACTGCAAAAAAGCCAAGTTTATCTATCCAGCCATCACATTGGCTTCTGTCAAGAATCAGGTGGATGAGATCCTCTTATCAGTCAGGTTCTAAAAAATAAACTAGGTGGCCCTCTGTCATTTGTGAACATTATAAACTCATAAACTCATATTAACCTTGATACAGACAAAGCTAAGTTTTCATTATACCAGAAACAAGAACAAGACTGTTCTCACCAGTCCTCTAGCATTAACAAGATTGAAATGTTAAGGAGGTATCTCATGAAGAGAGTAGGGGGCTGTGTGTGATTATGCTCTGAGACATGATGGAGACTCAATGTCTAACACCGGATGGCACCTACTGCCAACGACTGTGGCAGAATTCCCAGCAGGGATATTTTGTCACACAATATTTGATGAAAAAATTCTCCCTTAAAGGGATTCCCGAGTTCTTTGATCTGTCGAGAGAATTTGCTGAAGAAGTAAACTGAGCTCTATGATCCAGAGGTAGTGACTTGGGTTCTAGGTCACGGATCTAGCCGCACTGCCAGCAGAGCACTGCTAGGGATTAGCCAGCCAGCAGTCTCCCAATTTTCCAGTAGGAGGCAATGGGAGGTGCAGCTCCTTGGATCTTTGGACGTTACTGGTTCCGGAGATGTCGGTGATGTGCACTAAACCAACGGCTTGGTAGGAGGGTAGTTTGGATGGAAAGACAGCCAGTTTCATTCTCCTAGTGCAGTACAGGAGTCATCGCGGTGAACCAAGATTAAGAAATAATGGGTGATCCCTAGTCAGATGGGTTCAACAAAATACAACAATGGCAAAGTACCTGCAAATCGTGAACCGTGTTTGCGTTTCATTTTAGAAGTTGGATATATAAGAAATGCTAAAAGATGTTTTTTTTCCTTCATGTTATTTCAGGAAGACGCATACTGTGATTGTTTCGGGTTTTGTGTTGAATAGCCAGCGCTGGCAGTCAACTACTCTGAAGTGATTTTATTTCAATTTCAATGTGGATTGTAATTTAACACATCACCCGTTCGCCACCCACAAATGATTTCCTTTGTTGCTATTTGCTACCAAAAGGTTAATGAAGCATCATAATATAAACACATCAGACAATCAAAACTATTTTCATTTAATCTCTGCAGAATCAGGCAATATTCATCTGTTTTGTAACCACTTCTTCCAATCCAGGGTTACAAGGCAGCCGGAGCCCATCCCAGCAAGCAACAGCAGGATAGACCCTGGAAGGGAAGCCAGTCCTTCAGAGGGTAGACAGACACACTCACACCATGGCCATTTTTCCCAGAAGCCAGTTAATCTACCAGTATTGTTTTGCCCTGTGGGAGGAATCCAGAGCACACCAGAGCAGGAAACCTACATGAACAAGAGCTAACATTTAAACTCCACACAGATAGAATTCCAGGTCTGGAATTGAATCTGGGGCCACAATCCTGTGAGACAGCAATGCTAACTGCTGTGCCTCCATGCCACCCATCAGACAGTATGTGTTTTTAAATATATGCATATACTTTTATATACATCATATATACCATTACTAATTCAACGAATGAGGTTTGGAACACACAATATTTATTGTATTTTAGGGAATCTCAGCATACAGCTTATATACAGTATGTCTTATTTGTGCATTTTTACAATTTCAGCTTTTACTTTTATTGGCTTTGTGGAAGTGTGACATTTCAGTTCAAGCTGCCATCTATATACTTCTAAAATATGTTAGTGTTGTTCACACTATGTGACCCAATAACATGCACAGACTAGATGCACATAAAGACTATGGACTTTTAACATGATCAAGCATGGCATTAAACTGCTGTAAACACCAAACCCACAATTACTCTTCTCATTCACACCAGCTGTCTGCTGGGGAGTGTCTGATACCCAGAGATACACACCTTCCACGTCTCACCACTATGTGCAGGTTTAAGATCTTTCAACATGGACTTTCATATAGACAATGAATTACCTAATGGTACAGACATTTTTGTCTTGAGATTATAGATTGTTTTTACTTTTTTTCCCCTTACTGATGGAGAATAAAATGTTCACACCCAATGGTTTTAAAAGCGAGGCCTTCCATTCTTTTTGATATTCCCATTTTTTTAAATACTCTTGACACAATCGTGTCACCAGTTCGTGCAGTAGGGATGTGAACCCATACCCTGTCAGTTATGAGGCCTATCCACTATACCAGCTCAATTATCATAGCTAGAGATTTACAGATATTGAATCAATTAGTTATTATAGCGGGAAACTGGTGAGATTCAGACTTATTTCAGACATGTTTATCGGGCTGAGGAATAGTTTTCCTTCTTGAAATGAAAGCTTATTTTTGAATGACCAAGAAGACACCGCATGTGCGCAAATCAAAAGGTTCTCCTTCTAAAATAACAATGACTGAATGGACAGCAGATTATATGCTGAGAAGTTTACAAGACTTGTAGTGATGTGGAAGCTCCTTCGAGTGTCCTCTTGGTGTGTGTTGTGTGGCATACACAATTATTCTTATTAATGAAGGCCAGATTTGTATTCCAGTCAGAGTCTCTTCCCTTTGTGACGTTTGTATGTTCCCCCAATATTTGTAATGGTTGTACCACATTTCTCCCACCCTGACATACTGTACAAAACCAAGACATCCGTGCCGGGGTTCATTGGCTATACTGTACCTATCTGTCCCCTTGGGGTTCTGTCCCCAAAGGAAAGACCAAGTCTCCTTATTAGCCTCAACAATGTACAGATTGGTCTGAGTGGCTTTCTCCCCTACAAACTGTTCACAGGCTATGGAGCTAGACATGTGGATCTGTATATTGCAGAATCAGAGCCAGAAAATGACAGGATTGTCTCATCACTAGTTTAGGAAAGAAAATTTTCTGAAGATCACTGTACCACCTCTGCAAAAGGAATTATACCACAATATTTCATGGTAGATGTTGGTTTAGTGAATCTGATTAGGGGATAAACTGCTGCTCTTTAGTACTTTCTGCTTTTGGAAAGTAAAAAGGAGAACTGTCCTTTTTTTCCGTATATGCAGATGGTTTTAAATAGCAATTGGGTTTATTTCCTATTTCTTCACCCAAGCAGGTGTATACAGTATGTTAAGAGCTAGTCTGGTTCAGCTTTACCAAGTGTATGCCAACATGAGGACAAATGGGTTACTTTGAGAGATGAATCACTGTAGTCTAGACCATGGATGTGTCTATCATCGGAATAAAATTGGCATTTAAGATAGAAATTTAAAAGGTGTTTGAATTGGAAGTAAAACAGTGATAGCTTCTTTCTCTTGGATTCCTGCAGAGCAGGAAAACTAGATTTTTAATATAATATATAAATAAAATATATAAAAACATCATCAAGAGCATTACTGCAGTCTTGGCTACTAGTATATTAACTGTAGTATATTACTTTACCTTACTGTCTGCACTGGCAGCTGAAACATGCATGTTGTTTTCTTGCGGTATAATTTCAGTTTTAGAGAAATGCTTTTCGATGCGCAAGCAATCATCAGGAATCAGACATCTTGTTCTTGAGTACCATACTAAGTACTATATTGCCTTTTTGTTTTTACTTCAGCTTGTATTTATTTATTGGACCAGTAATTTTCTTAATTATTACTGATTAAAGCTGTAGGACTATTGCTCTTCAGAATCCAAGCTGCAGTAACTTTTGATGCCATTTGAAATAAAGCTCTGCTTTCCATTACCCAAACGTTGGGTACTTCAGTCCAGCTGTTAACAGTAACAAAAATAAAAAGATATTCATTTAAATCCCAAATTACACTGACCTCTTTACACGTTGAAAAAAGTTTTACTTCTTCTAAACCCCAAAAGCAACTGCGCATGTGGCGTGCTTTCGTTTGACCTAATTACAATGGTATTCTGCCGTGTAAAAAAATATCCAACGGTACAGTACATAAGGAAAACAAAAATCCTTAGAAGGTTTCTTTGAAAATCCCGTATAAAAATAGGAAACGAAAGTTCGAGCTTTTATGCCATAACCGTCACAAGGAATCTGAGGTTGCGCAAATATCGCCCTGTCAGACTTCTAAGATTTTGACTTAATTTAACTGGCAAGCGCGGTGCCCACAGAAACGTTTACGGTTTTTGTCCAATAAACAGTTGATCGCTTAACTCTAGTGCTAAACACCTGACGTCTGAAGTTCAAGGAGTTCACGACCCACACGTGGAACAGTCTCATCAGCGGCCACGGTTCTTAGCCACCTACAGGCATGATCGCCCAAAGAAACTCATGAGGAGAAGAGTTTATCATCAGGAATGTAGACTGACTCTGGGTACACAAGATGGAAAGATTAACCAAAATCACTGCTCCTGCTGGAGAGAAGTTAAGGTGAGGACGCGTTTACTTTTCGCATAATTTGTTTAATAAATCTTAAAATATTAGAACGTATGTTATTCTTCTCGCGTTTTTAACATCTCATCATTATCTGTATATTTTGATATTGTACTGATGTGAAGAATCCGTTGCGGTTCTTAAAGCAACAGATGTTTCCTGTATAAATGTCCGCAATTTGTTTTATGATAGCTAGTGCGTGGCAGGTAAAGAGAAACGTTTCACAAATCATTTTAAAATAGCTTTACACGGTGTTCATTACATTGAATCACATAATTATTTAAATTACAAAGAAAATATTCTCAAATAATCCTGCATCTTAATTATATATAGCGATTTGAATAATTAAAAACGTCTGCCTTCTCCGTACGACTTACGCATGCTTACATTTTCAGACCGACACAACAAATTGAATTTATTCATAAGTAATTATCATCAGCTGGAACGCTTCTGATTATAAACAATCTTGCTCATATCAGGTTTAATCTGCGTGTGGCTGACCTAGTGACACGGGAACATACGAACTGTCGACGTTACATAGACCAGGAATTGGACTGGAAAATAAACTGACACATTTATTTGTTACAAAATTGTTTGGGGTAGACTTTCAAAAAATACTTTCAAGTAGTTCAGTGCGAATGTTAGATTTAAGAAGTCTGATGTTATGTCATATTTTGCAATATGTTATATTGAAAGATATGTGTTTATAATTCGTTATAAGTAATAGGTAGATATCACGTCCACAAAACAAAATTGGCCTATGCTACTCCCTCTTTTAAATGTTTATAAAATAAAAATGCAATACTACTTAAGCTCCATCAAGTAAATGGAAAAATAGCGACGAATAAAGCACAACTGATTTATGTAAAAATCTTAACTTTATGTGTTTAGATTTGTAGGTGTCTCTGACAGCATACGTTTCCTAGTCCTTTTTCTTCATTTTCTCTTTTGAAAACTGTTTTTCCTTTGCTTGTATTATTGGATGTTAAATAAAACCTGGCAACCGTACCTGATTATTGTTTTGTTGTTGTTGTTGTTGAAAATAAATGCGACTGACTCGTTATTGAAATTTCTTTGTGTGCACAAAAATCTGTGTATCTTCTTATCTATACTTTTCGGATAGTCCATGTCATTTATTTTAATACGTACTTGGATGTCATATAATTATAATATAATATAATTTGTCATACTGTGGTTTTTAACATTGTGTACAGATGTTGCTTTTTTGGCTGTTCCTTTATGATAGATTCGCTGCTTAATTTTTATGAAACGGCTAGTGTTAATTTTACTTCCTCTAACAATAATAAGAAAGCACTAACTAGTGATCTAGTATGCTGAGGTTTCTATTCAAAGCGATTTACATTTTCGCTCATCTATCGAGACAGCTGTGTATTCTTACTGGAAAAAATCTGGTAAAAGTACCCTTCTCAGGGGCGCAACAGCAGTGTCTCACGTGGGACTCAAACCCACTGTTTTAAAGCGTGGTGAGGATAAGGGGGATTTCTCTGAATCTTCCTTAGACGCTCAAGGCATTACTTTAACTTTTATATCGTACTGTATTTCTGAAAATCTAGCTCTGTACTATAGGGATACACTGTATCAAGTGTAGATATATCCAGTAACTGTAGATTGTAGAAATGTAGTGTTATCTTACATTATACACTTTTAAGTAAATAATTGAAATTGCAGTACATGGTATAAATGGCCCGGTTTATTAAAATTAATTTCAGCACTGAGTATAATGAGTATTATTTTAACCAATAAGATACATACCGGTAAACAACTTTGCTTCCAGGAATTATGCGTTAAAAGATTCTCACTTCTGAATTGTCCAAGGAAGTCAGATGACAGTACAAACCCAAGAAGTGTTGCATCATCGTATTACAACATAGAAACAGGCCGCATAATGTGTTATGTTGCTTCACGGCAAACGAACATACAATTAGCTTTGATAAATTGTATGTCATTTGAGAAGGAATTTTTTCGAAGCCTGTTCACGGTATTTAGTATGTTTGCGTTGCTCAGCTCTTTTGAATGTTGTGCGCCGATAAGCAATTTCAGGTCAGAGGAAAATTACACCAGTGTTTAGTTGCTTGGTTAAGGGTAGTATCTTCATAGTGTTATTATAACAGTTTATAATTGTTGTTGCACAGTTATTAAGAAGTGTTGTCTCTGTCCAATACAGTACTGCATATTGACAAACCAAGAAGAAGGTCTCCTTTGTTCATATCTTATAAAAAGCAAATACTGTTGGGCGCTGAAATAAATATCAGGGAGGTTTAGCCTGCGCAAAGCAGGGAGAATTCATATTCGCTGGGTCGGTGCACTCACTATTGTTCAATCAATTTACAACCTATCCTTTTATGTGAGAAGATGTTTGTCTCAACGGAAAACCTGCTCAACCAGTCCACATTGCATAAAAGAAAATCAGAAACCCAGCAAGGTGTTGAGTAGTGTTTCAGTCGTCTATGTATACGAGTATGGAACAAGGTCTGAAAAGTGCAGTTAGAAGCAGTGTAAAGCACAAATACTGAAGGAGGCCATGTTAATCGCATTACCAGGCTTTGAGGATTTTGCCAATGCGGCAGGTTATTTTTTGATATGTTATGTATGAGCTTAAAGAGGGTTTAAGATATCGTTGTGCCTGTTCGCATTCACGTTGTTCTCCATGATCAGACACCTGGACAGGGCTTCAACAGCAATAAAAGAAATCATGTCACCTGATGGTAAAGGCTCCAGATCACTATGACCTGTCTGTATGCCAACAGCACGTGTTACAGTCTGTGAGGTCTGAGCAGTGATATTCATGAGATCACTTCAGTTTATTACACAGCTAATGGTGTAGGCTGCCATGTAAAATTCTACACTCTTCTTATCAAATACATTCTTTGTCCACACGTACAGTATCTGTTATTCTGAGTAAAGTGCCTGATGTTGCTTTTCACCCAATTTATCTACTTGATAAAGAAAGCACCTTCAGTACAACCCTGAAAGCAGTAATTTATTGCTTTCCATAAGTGGTATTTCCCATTCAGCACCACAAGCAAAAGTGCACCAGAAGAAAAGAATATGGTGTTTTCTACTAAATTGTAAAGAAAAGGAGTGGTTAATGGGGAGCTGTTTCGATGTAATGACATGTCTCAATAAGCCACTAGAAGTGTTTGCCTCTGACTGTAATTAGAAGCAATGTTGGCAGTGGACTAACCCAAGTATGTCTGTAGAACATTTGTTCCTAATTCACATCTTGTCTTTATAACCCACAGAGAGTGTATAAAAACTTACAGTGTTAAGGACTCTGTAATCCATTCGAATATTTTGTATTTACACACAACATTTCTTATTACTGAAGAACAGTGGACTCCCATTTTGCTCATTCAGACACAGTGTTTCAGCAGGTTTCATTCCAGCTCCATTCTTAATGACCCATTGGCTTAATTGAACCAATTTACCGAGTTCCCAGCTCTTTAGTGGTGCTGCTTAAAATAGAACCAAGACATACTGGTGGGCTGCAGGTAAAGAACTGAAAAAGTAAAGCATGCCCATGACACACGCCCATGTTGGGTGTATGCTGAAAATGACACATTCATATTATTACCAAATCTCTTATTAATAAAATCTGTTCTAGAAAGGTTATGGCGATCCACTGTACTGTATATTGTACATTTAACAAATAAATGTAATGTTTTTGTTTTATAGGCAGCTTCAAAAGATGGTGCAGGATATAAAGAAGAATGATGGAGGCATTATGAACAAGTTCAAGAAGTGAGTTTTCTGTTTTTAGAATTCAGTGTTCTCAAGGTTGAATGTAATATTTAAACAGTTTTTTAAACTGATACAAACAAGAGTTTTACTCTGGATTTGATCGGTTCCCATTGGTGATTAACATGTAGTACCTTTTTTTCTTATAAATTGCCATCCCTGAACCTTTGCCATTCTTACATTAAGATTAACATGAACTTAAAAAAACAGTTTCATGATAATAAAGGAGCATAAATCAGCCTTTTTTGAATGGATTTTATTTGTGACAAAGTATAAATAATAGTTTATTTCCTATGTTACTAGTATACTAAATACTAACATAAACCATTAGAAAGCAATTTGTATTATTTATTTAAAAAAACATAAAGAAAAAAATTACAAACATGAAAAGAACTTTTAAAACTTCTTTTAAAAGAAATTATACAAGATGATGATTAAAAAATGTATTACTTTATAAAAAGTAATTTTGTAGACCTTGTGAAAATATAGCTAAGAATTAATAGTTTTTCATATTTTCAACATAAGAAAATCTGCAAAGGTAAGGCAACTAGTAGTTCACTGAAGTGAGGATTTCTTCCTGCTCCTTGAAAGAAGATGCCATGGTACCAGCTTCAACAGCATGACTGATTAATTTTTTCCTGACTTCTACAACACAGTGTTTCCTAATTTTATAGCACTAGCCCTTAGTTCCCCCTTGTCCATTGGTTCTAAACCATTTCTCTGTTGATTCTGAAATCCACTTCGTTGACACTATCTGTGCCTTTTGCCTTTGAGGATTTTGAACACTTCAATCAGGTTCCCTCATAGTCATCTCTTTTGGCCTATTGGCATAGGATATTCCTTTGAACTACTGAAGGGACCTGTTTGCATGTCTCTGGACAGGTTCCTAAGTGGTAATGTGTGTTTTGTTCATCATGTTAACCACAACTGAATACAGTATACTATATTCAGCATGAGGTCTTAATAGTCCACTGTACAATTTTACCATCAGATCCATTTAAAATCAGCTCCTTATTGTTTTTATAAAACTTCACTGGGTAAATAAGGGCATGACTAAACAATGTGATTTGAATTTTAATCATGTTTTTAGGCCAATGCTCTAATATTTGTTGAAAAAATGAGAAAAAATTATGAATTTCCCGTATTTTTACAGTTCCGTTTTAAGCAAACTGAAACCAGATGAAGAAAAATGTTTCTTTCTTGCTAGCTTTCTTCTCCTTTTAAAAGAGAACCACATTCAGAAATGTCACGTACTATTCCACATTTTGTAATATTGTTTTTTTTCTTAATACCCTGCTATGCTCTAACCAATATGTATTTCTAATTCAGATTTCAGATCACAATTTTTTTCAGTCTTTTCAAAAGAGTAGGGATGTTAAGACCTGTTTCCTGGCTGAATTCAGTTCTTTCCTAAGGTTCTCCTTAATTCAAGTGTGGTGGGGTAGTTTCACTTCTCCACCTGAACTGCTGTGTAGTAAGACAGCAGGCAGATAATGACTGTTGCTTACTTCCCAGCGTGGGAGCAGGATGTCAGTGGTGGAAGAAGTGTGTCCACTTCCACAAATAAAGCACTTTGGGATCCTCGGAGGTGGATCCCAAGATAATTTGCATACCTTACAGTTCAGCTACAAATTTTTCTACTTTTACTGGGTTTTTGTTCGTAACATGTTGCAATAACAAGATAAATTATGAAATAGTTTGAAGGTTAACGCATGTTTTTTAACAAAAACAAAACTGTAATCGCCTCAAATATACAAGGACCCAATGACCAAAAGCACAGCCATCACAGTAATGGGCTAGTTCAGGACATTAATACACCTCCCTGTTGTACAGTGTTACAAAGACACTGTGGAGTAATAACAACAATAGACAGCTAGGCTTCAATACTGTTATCTAGATGACTTACAGTAGGAGAGAAAACCTTAGTTGTGTAATTGGTAATTCTCTTAACATCAAATTTAGGAAGTTTCCATCTGTTTTATAGTGGACACCAAAATGCCTCTTTGGTGCCATATTGATACATCCAGGTACAGTATGCATTGCTGAAATGAACCTTTTGACATTATTGCTTACTTTAGTTATATGTTCTGTATACTCAACTTTATTCTCCCTTCTATTAACTATGCAGGTTTCAAAATGAGCAAGTGGCTTTTATACGCAAAACTGGAAAAAACACTTGGGACCGGTATGAAACTGTGATGCACAAATGTCATTGCCCTTTGTGTCGCTGAGCAATAATCCTGTCACAGTAACATTTTTGAAAGATCCTGTGCTGCATCCGTGCTGTCTGAGTGTCATGTCTTAGATCTGTGTAGTTATAGGCTCTTCTGCTTTCTAACACCCAAGCCAGTGATCCTGAAGGACTACAGTGGGAAGAGTACATGATATGGGAATTGTAGTGAAGTCCTGTAAGAGAATGATGAACATTCTGAACAAATGTACTCATTTTCTATGGCCTTGTAAATAAACGATCTTTGAACTTAAGGTTTTTAACCAGACTTGGGGTTAAATGTGTTTAAATGCAAGCAACGTCTTGTTGGTGATATTGTGAATTTGAAAATGTTAAGTGCACATACTTTCTAGTACTAATATTGAACACAGTGCAAATATGTGACTGCTTCAAACATTCTTTGATGTAAGACAATTCTTTGGTTAAAAAGCCAACACAAATATTGATTTTGACCATAATTTGACAGACACCTTTATCTGGGGCAAACACATTTTAAAAATACATTAATTAAACATAACAGTATAGCCTAATTATGCATAATCAATAAGTGTATGATGATGATGATAATAATAAGTTATATTAATGATAATAGGTGAACTACGCAATACAGCCTTTGCATTATTTTTGGTGGTAGCATGTGATCAATTTGAGTTCTAGGATGGAGGTGACTTACCTCACACAGTTACTTCCTCTGTACTTTCAAGGTTGTAAAGATACTGAACAGCCGTTTTTAACTGAGATCAGTCGTGACAGTTGGCACAGGTTTGGATTTGCAGGTTCCATCTAGGTAGATAGGAGCCAGACTGGTGAATTAGGTTTGAACATTGTTAAAGGGTACTCACAGTTATTTCGAAATAGTGTTTAAACTACCATATGTATTTAGCATACACATTTATGCAAACACTTGTGACTCAGAATTTGCAGGTTTTAAGAGAAAATGAAAATGTTATAAACTTAGTGTTTAGTTGTGCTTAAAAAAAACATTCACCTACCTTTGACCTCAAGTCTATCTTCAACACAGTACAGAAACATAAACTTTGATGCTACAAAATAAGAGATCTTGACAGGATTCGTTTAACTTAATAATGGTTTGATGAAAGTCTTAGTATTGTGTATACTATATACCTATGAATTTGTATATACTGTACCTGGAAAAACTTTAGGTTTTGCACATAGCTTCTTAAGATATTGTTAGCCTCATTTACAAATATTTTGCAAATGTTTACAAAAGAAACATATATGCATCAGTATCCAATTAGATGGGTATTATTTACAAGTTGAGTGTTGCATCTTTTGTATTGCATAGATGTGTGCAATGGTAATGAATAATGTTTCATTATTAAAGCCGCATGTGTCGAATTAACATTCATGTGTAACTTAAGTGTTTAGTATCTGTTTCACTAACATTGAATATAGATTTGCTTCTCTTGAATGCACTAACAAATATTAAGTTTGATTTTCAGATATTTTGTATTGTCTTTATTAATCCTACAGTACCAGAAGCCATTCATCCATCTGGAATGGATTTGCTTTCCCTGTCAGGCTTCTGCTTCCTAACCTACTAATGTGTGTTGCTGTTGTTTCTCAGAGAATGTCCTTGTTTTTCATTCAATACCTGTTGTAGGATAACCAACAAACCACCACCAACAGTGCCCAGAAGAGACTATCCAGGTGAGATGTGGTTCTGTGGGTTCTTTGTACAGTTCTTAAAAAATTGAAATTGAAGTATTCCTATTAAAATCAGCCAGTATTCAATACTCACTTATGGTGAAAGTTATGGTAATTAAATTAATTAATGATCAACTGAAATATTACTATTGGAATTAACTCAAGCAGCTTTAATGCATCATTTGACTGTATTTTGTTTATGAGGGGAGTGTTGTATAGTCAGTGCTCAATTAATATGTTGGTCACATACTGTATTGTATCGATGACAACACACACTGATTGAGAAGAATTTCATGGTAACAGTTTTCAAGTCATTTCCCTCTATACTTGGACAGCATATTGTGATTGAGAATAAAGCCCTTTAATTATTTGCAGGGCAAAGTAGACATATTGCCTGCCTGTGTTTGCAATAAGCATAAAATAATTCACATTACAGCTTATAAGAGTCCCCTTTCTCTCTTTCTTGCACAGCATTCTTTGTAGGTTACATGATGATGAATAAAATAGACCTGTCCTGAATAATCTGCAAGAGCCAGTTCGTTCAGTGTTTAAATAAGCATATACAAAATTCTCAGACATTTTCTCTGAGTATTCTATACTACAAATACTGTGTTATGTGTGACTTCACAGAGAAATACATCTCATGGCTTGGTCCTTTACTAGTGTGTATTCTGTGTGTACTTGATATAGCTCCAAGCAGTGACAATAATATTAATTTTTATTTTAATGTTTTAGTCATTAAATGCACTCTTTTTGTCTCTTTCACAGATGAAGATGATGAAGATGAACAATGGTCAGAAACAGAATTTGTAAGTTGATGACATCTGATTAGCTGAAAAAATTGCCCATTCATGCAAAAATGATTTTGTTTCGGGCTTCTCTACAGAAGAGATTAGATGCCTTTCTTATTTGTGTGTTCTGTTTTGTCATGTTAATTTAAACATCAAATGGCATTGTAATATTTTTTGACAGAATCAAGTGTATTACAACTCTGTTTTTTATTCTATTTTTTGTTGTTGTCTTACAACAGGGATAGCCAGTCCCAGTCCTGGAGGGTCTGGGGATTTTCATTCCTGTTGAGGAGCATTTTAAAAGCATGTTCTAGCCCTTCAGGCACTGCTGTAGTAAGCGTACAGGCCCCTCCAGGAGCAGGACCCCTGTCCTTCAGACTGCAATTCAGAATTCTTAAATTTGTTTTTATCTCTGAAGAACACAGTATCCTGATTCTGCTGCCAAAAACAAATTGCCTCTAATTAGGTGTTAGAAAATTGGCTTTTTTATATTGAAAGTGCATTTTGATCATATCGGGACTAAATCATTAACTGAGACCTAACGGACATTAATTTCAATAGCATTTTTACCTCTTTATTTAGTTTTACATCTTAATTAAGTAATTTATTTTAAATTAATCTCATCCATATACAGTATATATGTCTTTATACAAAGGAGCACCCTCTTGTTATTCTTTCAGTTCACTGTAAAATTCCAGTTTACATACTGCACTATTGCAGTGAGAGAACTGTTGTCAATTATCCATAAAAATTAACAGCGAATAACTCAAAGCCTCCAATTAACTCTCTTGTAAGTAAGCAAAGAAACAGTATTCTGTGGTAAAATAAGGATAAGAATAACTGGTCACAAAGTGAGCGTGATTATCCTATTAAATGTTAATTATTTCAAATACTACAGCTGTAAAGAATGAAGTGTTCAACAAGATGATTATAGTGAACAGGTCTATTTTAAAATATCTAAAACAAAAACTCACATATTGGTTTCTTTGTGGAATTTATTATGAAAACACATTTTTCAAATACAAGATTACTGTGTGCTGCTGTTGCAATTAGTAACATGATAGACTTAATTTTCTGTAATCTAATTTATCATTTGAACATCACATCATAACATAATGACTCTAAACATATAATCATTGTTTGACTAGGATAAAATACCAAAATTGATTACATCCAATTTCATTTTACAGAAATTATCTTGTTGTTTTTTGTGTTTATTTTGTGAGATCAGTCGTGCAATCATGTTGGTCTTACCAGAAGTACTACTTGTGTGACACACAAAAGAAAGAACATACTAGGTAAAGATGAGCTGCACATCTAGTGCTTGCACTTAGAAGTTAGCATTTTCTTTTTCTTGACATCTTTGCATAATTGTACTGATCAACATGTATTTGTTGTGAACCAATTAAAAAAATTTTAAACATTGAATACTGGAACCAAACCATAGACTTTTTCCTCCACTCTCAGCTTCGTAATGCACAGAAACCCTCTCTGAGATTCTACCAAAGGACCCTAAAACAATCATAATGCAGCCCTACAATTCCAACCATTATCCATGGATCTGAGCAGCACCATAGAACTTATATCAAGACAGGACAATATCCACTGAAGTTAGGAAAGGAATGTAAAAGCTCTCAGAGCAGATCCAACATCCAGTGCCTACCTTTTTCTAATTGGCAGGACAGTGATTATGAAAATGCCGATGACCACTCGGAAACCTATGAAGTTCCCTTGGAGGACAATGATGACAGCTACGAACCTCCCCCTTGTGAAAAGGAGAAAAGGAACATTACCTCTGTTTCATCTCTGTCTAAGGGAGACTATGCAGGTATAGTAATTCATCTATATAAATAGGTTAGAAATGGGAAGGTTTTATCTATAGGTCTATCTTCATTCATGGCCTTGCAGTGTAATAAGTTTACTTCCCTTTCTAATTTAACATCATTATACTTAATAAAATAAAAAGCTTTTCACTAACTAGGGATACAATAAAAACTGAGTTTCTGCTAATTACTGTTTTAATAACATAAACGCCACATAAATGGAGCCTCCTAATTATCCCTTTTATGCCTCATAAAATGCAATTTGTCATGTACAAAACCAGCATAAAACATCCCCCAAAAAAGTAACATTGAGCAAAAACAGAGGTTTGGAATTTTGATCGTTGATGAGGGAAGGGTGTTTAAGAATATCTTTTTTTATGTTTGCATGTTTGATATTGTGGTTGCAGCACCTAAAAACTATTTACGGTAAGGAAGCCACCATTACTTTTAAAGTGGTAATTCAAACTCAGAGAACGTAACAGGCATGAGCAGTGAATGACAGTGCTGCCAATGCAATAGCAATTAGCAGAACAATTCTGAGTTTCTAATCTGTCTGGCTGTGTGCTTGTGTTTACTAGCCCATGAAATAAGGGGCTGAGTAACCAGCTGCGTACGCAAATAACATCCTGTCGGTCGGTTTTCATACGTAATATACTTTTTTACTCAGACAAAAGAACAGAAAGTTCAAGACTCCCTCCAAGGAAGCCTGTGCCCTCCATCCCCAGACCCCAACAGCCAGTCTCTCCTCAGAAGCCACCCAAACCACAGTTACTTGTGAAGCCACAGAAGCCAGAGCAGGATGATGTAATGTACCTGACTTCACCGGCTGTTGTAACATCCATCATTGTCTAACCGTTATATCCAGGACAGGGCTGCGGGATACGCCAGAGCCTACTGTACAGTATCTGCTCTGGGGGCAAGCAGTGGACGCAAGCCAGGACACATCCTGGACACAGACACAAACACAAACACTCACATCTAAGCCAATTTTTTCCCAATCTACCTATACTGTATGTCTTTTGGAGTGAGGGAGGCAAGCAGACACAAGCATGGGGAGAACATACACACTCCATGCAGAACAAAGCCTGGGTCCCAGCAGTGCTAACCATTGCACCGCTCTGCACCCCTTGCTGTTGTAACATTTTTAGACTACGTTTAGACTATGATTATCTCCATATCTGCTTCTATGCCTAGGCCATCTGTTTGTCCCTTTCCCTTTGCTATATTCATTCCTACACCCGGGGGCCGAAAGCTGGCCTTCTGTTCCACTTTTAATTGCCATTTGTGCTTTTAGGCTGATTACATTTGCCCAAAAGAAGATGGAGAAGATGACAATTATATCGAGCCCTCTGAAAAGAGTTCTGTACAAGGTAAGATTAGAACTAAGGGCCTTGCAGGTCCTTATTCCAGCCTTTTTTAGCAAGGAGAAAAATGTGTATGAGCAATAATACTCACTGAAGTGTTCCTTGATTTGTTTCTGCAGATCCTCCTGCCGTTAACAGAGATACAAAACCGACAATAAAGCGCTCTCCACCTCCTGGAGGAACTCACGAGCCCACTGGTAACCCAGCTGTGTGTCCTGCTCTCTTTAGAAGCAGCCGCAAATGTAGTCTTGACTAGATGGTATAGTAATATTAGCATTGGTGGGGTTAAGCAAGTGCTGAAAGTAACTATTAGTGCATGTTTTTGTCTAGACTTTTCCATTGCTTTTCTCTCATGCATAATGGCAGTTTATGAATTAGAGAGTCTCAGGTGTTTTCTTTTAATTAGCATCTGAATTGTTTTGTTGCAGAGTTGTACGAAGTGCCAGACCTGGAGGTGAGTTCCTATAAGAACTAAAAAAGTACATTATTTTAAGGTTCTAGTCTGATGTGTTTTTAAAAAATCATAATAAATTTTAAGTATTATGTATTAGATCAGTAAGTAATTACTAAAATATTTTCTTTTCTAAGTAGTTTTAAGAATAAGATTCACACATTATCATTTAAGTAATTAAACATATTTCATGTTGTTTAAAAATATTTTGTTTTTCTTTGTTTAAAGGTAATACCTTCTGCATTCAGCAGGTTAGTAAAGATCAAGTATTGTTATTGCAACTGCAGGAAAGTAGCAGCCGTATGTTTTATGTGGTGCCTCCGTCCTCTATGAATATCAAATCTCTTGGTTGAACATTTACCATGGGAAAAGGGTTGATTTTGGAAATTCCACCATAATGGCTGTTCTGTGTTTTTAAAGGGTAAATGCTCCCACACCTCCGAAGGCACAGCCCCGTTCTGCTGGACGAGACGGCCCTCTCCCCATCAGTCCCAGGTACCAGATCCCAGCAGCGAAGGGCTTTGTTCTAGATAGTGTTGTTATCACTGCACACACCTGAGGGTCTCACTGAGTCAGGAGTCTCACTTTGCTCAGCTGATTCTAGACTGCTAAACATTCCAAGGAGTTCTCGTCGTATGTTAGGGCTGAGCTTTTTCAGCAGCAGCCCCTCAACTGGGGAATGCTCTTGCTTCCCAACCATATTAGAAATGCAGCTTCTGTTAAGGTTTTTAAATCTTGCCTTAAAGCTTCATTGGTTTCCATGGCCTTTTAGTATTAATCTATTAATTAATTCTTTTTTTAAAAAAATTCTATTTAAAATTATCGAATTTTATCACATGTTATGCATACAATACTGTTTTTTAGTACAGTTTAAGTAAAATGCCTTGAAAATGCTCTGTATTAAAAGGTGCTATATAATAATAATTATTTTTTAATTTTGTTCCTAATTACAATAGTCTTGCTGGCTCTAGAGAGTGTTTCTTTGTTTTTTAAGTCAGAATATTCTCATTAGCTGTTTACTGGGACACTGATGCCAAACAGTTCAGTCTTAAAATAGTAAAGAATATCAGATTGTAGTGTATATGTGCATCACAATTGCTTTCTCCTTATCCTAGGCCCCCAATCAAGAAATTACCTGCTGCTTCTGTAAGTTCTGCACTCATTACAGACGTTTGTGTTTTTAATACTGTATAAAACATTCATAGTCAGTCTAAAGCCTTAAACAAAAATTATTAACTCATAAAATATTTTCTCTTTGACTGTTCCACATTTCCTGTATTATCCAACATTTTTCAAATTATGTCTTGAAATAAATTCGCTCCCTTTTTTTCAGGAACCAGTAGATGAAGATGAATATGAAGTATGTGATCCTGATAACAGTACGTATATCTTGAATTGTACTTATCTAGTTCTGGAGATCCACATGCCGCAGGTTCTAGTCAAGCTCTCGGTTACATGATTGAACCCATCACTGACTTGATTATAGGATTTAAACTGAAGTGTTTGACTTTGACTCAACATGTTTGGTGTTGCCTTTTTGTGTTTCATAAGTAAATAAAAACCCCAAACAACTTGTTAGCTCAGTTAAGACTTCAGTTAGGCAATAAAGATGAGTTGGAATGAAAAGCAACAGGAGTGCCCTCCTCTGGGACCAAGTTGGGGAATCCCTCGTTTGGATAGCACACTTTTGCTGAAATACTGAAAAAAGTTGTTTAGTGTTGTTCTTTCACTCACATTAACGGATATCTGTGAGTGGATAGGGTTTGTGTAAATTGGGCTGCTTTCATCTGAAAGATGAAGGGGAATCTAATTTTTTTTTTCAATTTTCAAATTACACTCAACCTTAAATTAGTACCTGTATCTACTGTGCTCACCCTCATAAGTCAAAAGAGTAGACTGCTGCTCCAGAGGTCAAGTTGGTGGAATTAGTCTCTGGATAAACAGTGCCCTCTGGTGGTCATCCAGGACACTCCCAAAGATGTATCATTATTTGCTGGGCGCGTTAGGTGTTTTTATTATTCTTCAGATTGTTACATACTGGCACACACTTTTGTCAGTTAATTCCCTTCAGGTTGCGGAAATCAATTACTTTGTAGGCAATAAACGTTTTTCTCATATGAGCTGACAAAAATGCATCATTTTTTCACAGGCGAAAGCAGCCTTAAGTCACAGCCCAGCACCCTCCACTCACTGAAAACCCCAGCACCATTACCACGAGAAGGGTAAGTAAGAGTGTTATTCTGCTGATGGTTCTGTGAGGCAACAGAAGTCTAAGCATAACAGGACATCACTCCTGTCTTGTGGAATGTTAATGTTTTCTCTTTATTTTGCAGGAAGAAACCAATTCTGCCGGTAAAACCTGTAAGTACATTCACCACATGAGTTCATTACTGATTCAGTCATTTTCATGGAACAATTACTAGGGAAAAGGAATAAGAATATGGTTTCACCTTATTCTTTATTCACCTTTCAGACCTGAGCTTTTATTGTGATAATGACTGAAAGGAATCTGTGTATTCTTTTCAACTTCAAATCACAGCAGGCAGTCAGGTGTGTGCTTGTGTGGAAAAGGGCGGAGTTTTCTTATGCTTGTCATGCTGTTCACAATAGGAAGATCAATCCAGTGGATCTCTTCCTAGAAAAGATACAGACGAGGCAAGGGTAAGGGAATCTAGTGCCCCAGCCTGCTGACAGTGAAAGTGTGCTGCATTCTTCTATAAGCTATAGCATTTCTCAGCAGCTTCCAGTTTTAACTTTTGTTTCTGTGTAATTTGCACAAGACGTCTGCAGAGCGCTTATAACATTTGCTAGTGTATATGTTCAGAACCCAATGACAAGCCGACTTGCTGTGCGGCACAGAGTTTAAGAACGTCTTTGTATTTACGTTTAGGAAAAAAAAATAGGAAAGACAGGCAAAGGAAGTATAAGGTATGATCATAAGAAAATACATTGAATCCATTTTGGAAAAAATTGCGTTTTATATTTGGAATCTTCAAATCCTAATCATCCCAGCTTGTAGCTGCAACTTTGGAATGTGCACAAAGTTAAGGAGGATTGTACTACAACACAACTTGCTGTAATAGCCATTGGTTATTGGGCAGGTTATAAGCTCCACTGTACCTCACAAACAGAGTTAGCACAAAGTAGAGGAGTGGTGCGTGTCTCATTGACATGCACTTTAAGCGCACAGGCATCTAGCAGATCCAAGAGGACATGGTTTTGCAGTATACTGAGGATACTTTGGTCAGCTCAGGCCTACCCATCTCTGCAGATGGGCAATCCCAGTCACGTCTACAGATGCAGCCCTGACCCAGCCTGGTGAGGTGTAGACTAAAGGGCTCAGGTTTGACCTCTTTCACTGCAACCTCAGTACCTGTCTACAATGCGACACCTACTGTATACTAATTCTACAAGCGCACTGCTGTTGTGTTGTATAGGCTTGTGAGGAAGCATAATGAAAGAAAGTATCCAAAGTAGTTAAATCATTCTCTGTGCTCACCTGTGCTTGAGCTTCTAATGTTGCTGTGCAGACTTGTGATATTTATGTTGTGACGCCTCATGACTACTAAAATTACTTATTTTCTATGTGCAACAAAATGCAAATAAAGTTAATTTTGTTAAAAGTAAAGATTTATGTTCTTTTAATAAGCCCATTCTCCATTGTGTTTAAGTGTAGAACTGTGTAGATATACTGTAGTAGGAGGAAAATATAGAAGTAATATTTCAGTATTTCACATTTACTGCCAATGGATGAATAAAAGTAGATAATTTAAAATTAATTCCTCTTTTTTATTCTCTTTCCAGAAACCTGTCATGAACTGGGAGGGTGATGTTAAAGGTTGATAAATTTGTTTTTTCTGTTCAACCTCTTACATATGTAAAATGTATATTAAACCTGTGTAAAACCTTCAAAACATGTTAGAAACACAACCCCAGATTCAAGACGCACATCATTTTGTCATTTGAATGTTTCTGACAAAGGTTCAGAATTACATTGGGTTGGAGGGTGCATTCTCAGCTGACTCCGCTCCACAATGGATCAGTGTTTGCCGTATACTTAATCACAGATGCCGCGGGCATGTTCCTCAGTTCAGTCTGGAGCAAAATTGCTTGGCCAGTGGTGTTATAGGGTAATGGTTCATGTGGACTTGGGTCTGATTTGTCCAATGGATGCTTCACTTGGTGTCCAGACGTTTGTTAATGGCCCTCTATATAATTGCTACTGCCACAGAACCACACAGCAAGCATTTTCATGGTTTCTCCTGTATGCGTTGCTCTATCATCTCCAAAAGAGACTCACCGTAGCTACATGTGTGCAGCTCGGTGACACTGAGTGGAGGCATTACCACTGCAGGGGTATGTGATGACTTTATTGGGATTTGGGGTGTCTTACATGATGCCTTAATGTGTTAGCAGCTGTTATTCTGTGAAGCCTCCTTTAGGTGGTCTTTCTTAATCAGGTGTTCTTGGGTCTTAGTCATCGCAAGAGCATGCTGTCATTGGGTAGCACTGCTGGAGCCCAACAAATGTTTTCAGACATGCCGTGAATGTCTTAGCAACATTTCTACACTCCTGCTAGCAGCTTTCCAAAACCGTGTTCTCTCTCTCTTCCCTGAACTGTGGAGATCGATCCCTATCAGTCTTCCTGTTGCCTATTGTGCATTCACACACGGCATGACCAAGCAGGTGTTAGTCACTATACAGTATGTCATTTCAGACGTGGTTCATTTGTCTCTTCCTCACAGAAAGGGTATGTGAGCTCCAATATTTTCTACAGCCTTATTTCAATCTCTCATAGTATCAGACTTGAACATGATTATAAGGGAGATTTGAATAACTAACAATTAGTGGTGAAAATTCATTTCCTAAGGGTTTAAGTATACATTATTTGTATTGTGTTGCTTAAATTCATTTTCATTTTTAATAAGTGACTAGAACTTACTGGCATGTGTCTTGCCACTTGTTGCAAATTGAAATATGATGCTGTATGCCATTATTATCACTGGTATCATATGTCCACCTCAACCTTCTTGTTTGGTCTGTGTCACTTCCCAACAGCCAGGCCCACGGCCATGAAGCACAATAACCTGAATACAGCAACGGACCTCCCTCCCCCTGCTGCCAGAGCAAAGTAATTCCTTTTTAACAGGTCCTCAGTGGTTGTTTTCATGTTGATCAGTGTTTACCAGCTTCAAAGTTAATCTCCTAAAATGTATTTTCAATTTACAGGCCTCAGTTGTCTAAAGGAATGAGCACAACCCCGCCAAGTGAGTAAAACTACTTTTCTTATTGTGCAGAATATATGTCCTGTCGATTTGTGATAACCGGTCATAATTGGTGTAGTAATCTGTCATAAAATTAGGTACTATGGTTTATCCCTGTATAAAACACATTTTTTTTTAATTGTCATAATAAGCTATCTCACGATTGTTGTGGGAAATTCTTCATCAGAGGATCAGGACACAGTCTTGTTCAGATTCAGTTTTATTGAGCTCAATAAGTTCAACAACTCGCACCAGTTCTGCCCCACATAACGGATAAACTGCAAGGGTTTCCCAGCTCTTATATACAGTCAGAAGAAAGTTTGTTTCACAAACTGAGAGCTTGTCCTGTTCTTTGATATGCAGTAGACATTGGTCTGGTTTATCCTGTTTGTGGGTGTTGTTCCTGTCTTTTATTATGTAGCGCTAAGCCACTGGGGCTGCTAAAGCAGGTCAGCTTTATGGCATCTTAGTGTAACTTTTGTTTGAGTCTAAATTAACAGACCCCACCAACACCTCTCACAATGTGCTTAAGTGGTGATACTGTACTTTGATGCTGGATAAATGAGATATACAGTATGCATGTGCCACTTCAGGATATTTTGGAAATTACATTTTCAGCCTCTTCCCAAAGAGGATGTCAGTTGATCTAAATGACAGTTGTTTTTTTGTGCAAATGTGCAAAGGTTTGCACATAAAATTCATGCTATATAATATTTGCTTATAACTCAAAGTTATCACAGCAAAGTGTTTCTCTTTGCTTGAAAACTCAAGTTCGCTTCTAACGCTATATCTTTCTTGTTCCCAATAGACAGTTAAGAATTGTCACCTTTATAAGTTACCCACTTGGGGTTGTGTAATTTAGTTAGTATGCCAGAGTCATGTTCATTATCAAAATTACATTTAAAAAACTGTCCACCCATAGTACGGCCATGCACCGCCACCCACAGACTGAGAAAGAGCTCAGTTCCCATTTTTCTGCTGAAATTGTGTGCCATACAATTTCAACAACAACACCTGTTGTTTACACGTGTGTAAATTTCACACGTATGACGTTACTTCTGGTTGTTTTCTACAGGCATATCACATGTAGTTTGTCCTAGTATAAGATGTCAACAGAATAATAGGTGAGATTTTAACAATTAAGGGTGAACATATATAATCAACCTGTAAGATTTGCTTAAAATCAATAGCTTCAGTAGTAGTAGCAGCTGAATAACAAGAAGTTAATTTGCCACTTCAGCAGAACTGCCATGTCCTTCCTTGTGCATTACAGAGCTTCCTTCAACTGTGGCTCGAGGGTCTCTGCCTCGAAATGGGCCAACTGCTGCAGAACAGGTGAAACAAAAGCTTGAAATGATTAGTCCTAAATCAATTCAACATTTTTTACCTCACAACTCAAAAGTGCAGCTTTTATACAACATAAAAGAACTTGTGCAGACAATATTTAAATACAGCATTACTATAGTATGCCCAGAAAGCTCCTGTTAAAAAGTTAAAATGTTGGAAGTACTAATGGGTGTAGGGTGCCCACTGGGGCATTGAACCCTGAACAGTTCTTTAGTCCTGGGTTCGATTCGAGGACGAATATGTATGTTCTCTCCATATTCACTTCAGTTTTCTCCGTGTGTTCTGAGTTCCACCCCATTCCAGACACATGCAGTCAAAGCCCATTGCGAAATGGTCTTGGAATTGTCCCTGTAGCTTTGTGTATGTGTACTATAGTGGCCTAGAGTCCAAAGTGTCTCCCCACCTGGCAACCCTGTGCTTTGCTGGAAAGGCTCCAGGTTCCTTGCAAGGAGTTATTAAATGTATTCAAGCAAGACTTGCCAATACTTCAATGCTTGCATTTATTGTATTACAGATGATTGACAATGAATTGTACATTTTCACCCAAGGTGTGAACATTACCTGAATCTGCACCTGACAGCTTTGTCATTGACCTTTCAGGAAGCAGGTGTTTACAGCAAATCCTGGTACGCCAGCACTAGTGAACGGAAGGTTGCTGAAGACGCCCTTATGAAAACAAATAAGGTAAGCTTGATTGAGACCCCTTGCAAGAGGCAACAATAATAATTCAGTGGAAATTAAAACTGAAATCGAGATAAAATGAGCCAAAATTCAATGAGGTAATTAACACACATTTTAATGGTATCTCAGTTAACACCTTGTGCTAAATGTCTTTCAGTTCAGCCTCCAGTGAAATTTATCTGACCAATAGTTTTAAATCCAACCTTTTTAGACCTGAAAGTGAATGGCTCAAAAATTAAAATTGTATACAGTTTCCTAGTTACCTTCAGGGGTGCAAACTGATTAAAAAGTGTTTATATCTTGTAGAGTATTGTACTTTTTAGGAACAAGTGAAGGTTGATTCCATGCTAAAAAGAGGAAAGTAACACAACGTTTTGGCTCCACAGATCTTAATTGTTCCTTTGCAGCCTACACACATGTTGACGCAGCCACCTAATTGATTATACTTTTTATACTCTCGATTGTTTTTCCACTGTGTGATTTATAAATAGTACATCATCAAAACTGTCAGTATGTGTAAACAGACATTTTATCATTAACCTTAATGTAAAGACTCTTCATTTTTTGGTTACCACATTTTGGTTGTCTCATTGTCTCTTCTATGGCCATATTCACACTACTACACAAATATGTCACTCTTTCACAAGTCCTGTTAATTTTGTTCTAGATTGCATTCCTAATCACACCCCACCCTTCAAATATTTTGACTTCATATTAACAGGATGGATCATTTCTTATCCGAAAAAGTTCTGGTCATGATGCTAAACAGCCATATACCCTGGTGGTATTCTACAAAAAGAAGGTGTACAACATTCCTGTGAGATACATTGAATCTTCAAAGCAGTATGCACTTGGAAGGGAAAAGGCTGGAGAAGAGGTACTACTTAGTTTAACTACCATCAAACTAATGACGGAATATTCTAATGAAAATAATGTGGGGAAAAAATAGCAACTTTCAACTGTTTATTGTTTAAGCGCACAATCGGCTGTCCTGTCTTCTCGAGTTATTATTCTACTAGAATAGGTAGTTATGTTGAACATATGAATCTGTATCTGTTCTTACATACCACTTTTGAACCCAGAGAATTCTTAAGGCACATTACATAAATTATACATATAAATCATGTGAACAAAAATATATGCATGCAAAATTAAAATTCAATTGAAATTAAGAATTGAAGGCCACTGAAAACAAGTTTTGAGGCAGCAGAGGCAGCAAAAAAACAGCAGCAGAGGGTGCATTTTAATATGATCAGGAAGAGTAGGGTAAAGTCAAAAATCACCCTAGGTTTTTAACAGACTTTGAAGGAAGAATTTCTGTATTAGCAAAAGTGAGTTTTACACAGTCTGATTTTGAGACTTGATGAGAGGAGCCAATTAAATAATCTTGATCTCTTTGTGTTTAACTGGAGATCATTTCGAGCCATCCACAATGTTGTCAAAACAGTCTTTCTAAGGTTGATCACATTAAGGTTTCACCACTGGACTTTAAGTAGTGATGGGAGAACAATGTCAAATGAAAGGGTGTGTAACTCACCTGTTCCTCTTCCGTTTTCACACAGTGGTTCAGCAGTGTGGCCGACATGATCGAGAACCATCAGCACAACCCCCTTGTTCTGATTGACAGCCAGAATAACACCAAAGACTCCACAAAACTCAAGTATCCTGTGAAAGTCTGACAGTTCCTGGGAAAGGTTGGGGCAGGGGTGGTCGGTCTGGGAATTGCTTTGTTCCAGGCTCATTTTTGTTGTTGCAAAAACAGATTGACCTGGAACACACTGAAGACCTCATTGCCAAAACAAATGCCACCAGAACACACACTTTGCTCAGATGTACTGACTGTAATGTAAACTTATATTATTTGTAATATTTTTTAGAATTGTCACAGAAGAAATCAGTCAAGCTTCTTACGGTGTACCAAATAAAATTATCCCAAAACACGCGTAAAGTGTGCTGAACATTGTGAAAACACTTTTGACATTTGCAATGGTTTAACAAAGACAGAAATTGTGCATTGAATCAATCTTGTTAATGTGTACATCATTTTTGTACACAATACTGCATCTGAAAATGGTCCAAATAGACTTTTTAAAGGTTAATTTCCATTCCACTGTTTTAATTAGAGTTGATTTAAAATTGCTTGCCTGTTACTCCATTATGTTTTATCTGCAGTCTTTAAATGTGCAGTGATTCTCTTTGATTGTTTTCTCAGAATTTCCAATGCACTGTATACAAACATTACAAAATGCACAAGGCTGACTTTTCAAAGTATTTACATTTATTACAAATATCTTCCTACATATAACAAGAAAGCATGGGGTTTTACAGTACAATGTAGTGTTAACCTGTAACAACACATTTCAGGCACTTTTTAAGAGTACAAAAATATATTGAACTATTCTCCCTGCCCCATTAGATAGCTATTAACAATGGAAAAATTCTCCGGTTTGTAAGAGTCTGAATCAAAAATAAGATTTGTAAGATAAGCGAAGTAGAAAGTGTACTTGGCGATTCAGTGCTGGTCTGCATAAGGAGTCAGAAGTGATTATGATGGGGTCCACATTGTTAAAAAAGAGGCAGTCAATGCCGAGACACCGAGTGAAAGCAATGCAACCTGCACATCCATTCAGCATCATGTCAGAACTCGACTGGAAAGAAACCTGTGGTCCTATGGACTATATCCAAATAATGCCATGTAAATATCCTCTACCTTTTTTTTATTTTACAGGATCCAGTGTGTGGAGATTAATATCAATATTCCTTGTTAAGCACCTGCATAGACACACCAGCCTCTAATTTACTGAATACAGGTGTACACAACACACAATATTTGAAATTAATTCATGATACAGCATACATATACAAGAGTTAACTATTACATTATTTTTTGTTACTTTTTTCATTATTTGAATAGTATAGGGAATTACTTGCAGCCATTAAAATAGTCAGAAAAATAAAACCCAGTGTTACACAAGAAATGTTTTCAAATTACACAGATCCCCATTCCTCAGTAATGGGAAAGTGAGGAGCACTTATCTAGGCACAATAGTTTTTTCCCCAAAAATCCCTCATTGCCCCACTGGGCTATTTGTCTTTATTTTTTGCTGACCACCAATTAGCTACATGTTAATAATTAGCTCAGCTTTACTTGGATTTTTCAAGTCTTGTCAAAATATTGGTGTTTTTCATCACAACACTGAATGTGATGCATAATTACACACGTTAAAACTAAAATTTTATTGATTAAAATACAAATTATACAACTCTTGTCTATGCTCTTTAAGACGCACCTTTGTTTCATCTTTTCTTTACTGCTGTCCATTTTAATGTCCTACCACTGCCAAATTCATCCTTAGCGGCAGTTTCAAAGTTTTCAGTAAAAGTCCATTTCAGGAAGCAGTATGAATGACGTCTTTAGTGGTCTTGGGAGAGATAGTGGAGCTTTCAGAGGCTTGAAAGAAGCACCAATAGTGACTGGATAAAGTACTGAAACTGCCTCTACCACTGCAGAACCAAGAATGGCTGTTAAAAAAAATGTAACTGAAATACAGAAAGAAATAAACTGGGACTAAATATGTACACTATATAAACCAATTGTAACAGTTTTTGCAAATACTTTCCATAGGAACATTTTTACACATACACAGGACATATGCTATATGAGGTTAAGGAGAAAATATCAACATTTTAGATACCCGTAAATGAAACTATCTTCTTATAATGAGAATGGACTCCTGACAATATGCCAGAAAGCTAGTGTAAATGTTTCCAACAAATTACATATTTACAGAGCAGAGCATTTTTGGTACAGAGAAATATATATAAAAATATTTTTTGCACGGGTTGACCTTGCGTGTTTGTAATGTACAGTAATGAAAAAAAAGTAAATGAACATGATGCAGAATTCCTAACAAAATATCAGTTTTCCCTGAAACAAAAGTTATAAAATGCTGACGGCTTGTAATTTTTTATGTAAATTACAGAAAATTGTGTATGTACTTCAGTTCATAAATGCTTTTGTTTTTTATACAAATAAGCTGGAATCACCTGAGTTATCTCTGCATTGGTGTATGTAAAGATCACCAATTATCAAGTATTGTCAAATGAACACGCACCCCTTCAATCATGTTCATGTGGGTAGCATTATTCTTCACCTATATACAAATACAAGACCATATGCACATCCTGGCTTATTCACATTTCCACTGAATAATTTAAATAAAAATAAAAAGGTTAAACCTCTATAAATTTGGTTTAAAGTTGCACCAACGAGACACACCTGTTAAATCTCACTTTTAAAGAGATCTTAAAAAAAGGACATTTTGGAAAACCATATTTCCCCATAAATTATACAGGAGCAAGACAAATGTTACTGTTTAAGTATAACAAATCGTACACTTTCTTTGTGAAACTGGTAAGAAATTTCAACTTTATAACAAAATATACACTGTATATTTTTGTTTACACAATGGCTCTTCCAGTGCCTCCAGGAAAAAGTCCAATGGATTAAAGGCACATGACGGGACTGAGTAAACATACAACAGCCTAGGTCTTCACGGGCGCTGCTGCTGCACTTGGAGGTTTAGAACAACTTATTCCAATCTCTTGTAGCTTCCATCAGATGCCTCTGCCCATGGCCTATCCACTCTTCCTGGTTGTCAAAAATTCGACCACAAAACCAGCAGCTAAACGTTGGTTTTTCAGTGCTGTCAGAGGTAGACTTCACAACCTTATATTTATTCCTGCTCGTCTTTTTCAACCTCAGCTTCAGAATATACCTCTCTTTCACGGGGCTAACTGGCTTAGCTCTCCGGCTACGAGTTGCATGAATATTAAGTGAAGGATTTTCGTTTAAAGGGTCACAGTTCAATTCGGAGAGGGCATCAATTGTTCTTTGGGATAATGCTACCTTTAGTACATGTCCTTTAAACTTGTTAATTGTTTTCATGACATTAACCACTTCGGGCACATCTGCGTCTGGGTGATTAAGTACTACAACAGGTTGGTTTCTTCGTGGGCATTTGATACGCTGTGTAGCACTGAAAGGTGAAAGCCTCAGTGTTCTCTCAACGTCCTTAGGCACCGGTGTTGCACATAGTTCATGAGCATCTGCTGGACCTTTCTCTGTTTCTTTCCATTTTTTGCTGAGTGGTTTCTTAGCTTTTGGTGAGGGTCCCGAAGACTCCTCAAGTAAAAGCCCTCTTTGCCTTTTTTTTCTGATGGCCAAGTGGTTCTGCTTTGGTGATGGCAGACACACTCTCTTGATTTTGCCATGACTGTTAACACCAGACTCCTTCTCCTTCGATTTACCTTGCACAGCAGCAGGAGATGAGCAATTCAACAACTGTGAAACTGTGAGTGGTTCATTGCTGGAGTCTTGTGAAGGTCCTGATGTCTTATAGCCTGTGGAGACATTCACAATTGATTGGTTTGATGACCTCGAAATACAAGAGGACTGTAAAGCACCAGTAGTCAGGTATACAGGTTGGTTTGTCATAGCAAGTGTTTGTATTCCATTCAGTTCACCAGTGCTGGATGGAAAACTGCTACCAGACGCATTTCTAACAATCTTTAGTAAAACTTTGTTACCTCCACTTTCATTTGATGTACAGTTCTGATTCAAAACTTTTGCTTCAATTTGACTGTTCAGCAATGTCCCTTGTTTGACTGGAGTCACACATTTCAGTAAAAACGCTTGTCGTCCAGCTTGTACAACAGCAGGTTTCTCTGGAGAATTTATCGGCACAGCTAAAACAGGGCGTTGTGGTTGACCTTGAATATTATGACTGACAGTAACACCACTTTGGCACGAAGTGCTCGTTACCATGGGCAGCTGTCTCTGGACTAAGAAACATGTCGGCAAATTTGAAGTCCGTTCTCCAGAAAGAGACTGAACTGAGTTTGATAAGATCAGGGATCCTTTCAGAGGCATGTTGTTGACAATATAATGACCTGTGCTGGAGCCACAGCAAAGTACTGCACTTTCTTCCCCATTTCCCGCACCACCACTTACCTTCTTATCACCTACAATCTGTGCAGTTGTGCCTATTCTGCCATTATTCAAAGTAAAGGTCAGTCCCGGTGGTTTTTTAGGTCTTTCCTTTCCAGTATTTAGGTACGACACATTTATTTGAGGATGTGAAGACCCTGTAATTAATTGAAATCCTTGATTGCTTCCAACCTGAATGGGTAGAGCAAACCCATTTTGACAAGGCTTAAGAAAAACTTGCTTCTTACCCTCTGTGACATTAATAGGTTGAAGAATCCTCAGAGTTGCAGCAGAATTCTTAACAGGATCTTGATTAGCAGAGGAAATCCTCTCTTTTTCCAGCTGCTGACTTATAATTGCATCAGAATGCTCTTCAAGTATCCGTCCCAAGGCAGTGGCACTGCATGGATTTCCAACGGTACTCTCCCCTGCAGCAACTTTTAACTCCTTTTTTTCCTGTGCGGAAAGGATAGATGCTTTTTTATTTTCTGTTTCCAGCACTTTCTCAAGAAGCTGATTAACATCCAGCTGAGGACCGTTTTCCTCACTCTGCAATGAAAAAACCGATGTGATTTTGGGCATGAAAAGAGAATCCTCGGGCTCCTCCAAAACATCAGAGGGCTCAGCAGAATCCTCTTCAACAGTAGCAATGCATTCATCAACTTCAATTTCACTGTCTGGGACTTTTTCCATCACACCCTGACTGGAGAGTTGATCTGCAATTATCTCCCCCATTTCCTCATCTACTTTACAGTCCTGTGAGTGGGGTGAAAGTACATCTGCTAAAGTCAAGCTAGTACCAGTCAAATCCTTCGCGCACTGACTCTGAAAACTATCCTTCACACACACATCTGTCATGAGCTGTGAAGCTTCCTGATCACCACTCTCTTTTACAGTATCGGAGGACTCACTCGAAGCCCTGTCCTTCGAGTAATTATGAAAGCTAAAAACTTCTTGACGTGAAGAATTTAAGTCGGAGTTATTTTCATTGTCCACTACAATACTCTCTAGCAGAGTCTCTTTTGAGCTTAAACTTTCTTTGTCCATTTCTGGGCTCGTTTTATTGGAAGCAAATTCAACCAAGGAAGTGTGTTCGCTCTGCTGATCCATTTCTGCTTTGGAGGGATGTGCGATTTGTGCTTTCTGACTTGTAGTGTGGAAGACTTTGCATGTTGTTGGGGAAGCACTGGAACTGGGCTTTTGCTCATCATCACTAATTGGATGTCCATCATTAACAACTGTGTGTGACGTGCTACTGCTTTCCTGGTTCTCAGCTTGAAGCAATTCTTTAACAACAGAACTGCCTTTGTTAATACTTGATTGAGAGTCTGAGCAGGCAGGTAATGTGCTCTGTGATAAAGATGAATGAGAGGACACTGGCAGGCTACTACATTGTAATGCTACATCTTCAACACAGATGGGACCATTCATTCCTTTCTCTGGACCACGGCCTTTCGCATCTTTTTCAACAGACGGTGCAACAGTTTGTGGAGAAGAACCTAACTTAGCAGCAGGTATTACTTTGAGAACCAAATGTCTTTTGCCATCCACCATCTTGAACCCCATGAATTTAGTAGTGCAATTAGGAGGAATAGAAATTTTATTTTTTACCATGAGCACAGAGGATCCACTACCACCAGTTTTTAGGAATCCTGAATTAGAACCTAAACAGCTTTCCATCTTGGGCTTCAATACAGCAGGTGTTGATGGTGACAAGTATTGCTGTTCACTCTTTCGAGCCTTAGCCCACTGAATACAGTCTTTCTCAGAGGCTACAGTTCTCTCTAAAAACTGCTGGGTCTCTTCCAAAGTCTTTTCTGGATTTGCCAATCTTCCATATTCATCCAGCAAACCTCCTCCAGACAAAGCATGGAATCCGGCAGTCCTCCACTGGGCGTCCCTTGCAACTCCAGCTGTATTCCTCTTCAACAAAAGCTTTAACCCAGATTTTGCATCCGCTAAGGTTTTAGCACCATCTTCTTTGTCCTTCAATTTACATTTTCTTTCAATCTCATCGCTGTGCACAGCATTCATGTGCTTTAAAACATAATCCTTCCGCGTTGCCCCGTAGTCACAGAATTGACATTGGAAAGGAAATGTGCCGGTGTGAACCAGCAGATGTCTCTGAAACTCCCCTTTTGTGTAACTCACATGTTGGCATTTGCCACATTTGTACTGAACCTCACTATGTCGATGTATATGTTGCACAAACGTTCCCACATCTTTTGTGGAGAACTTGCACTTTTCACAACGGTAATGGCCATTTGAGCTATGATATGAACTGAAGTGTCTAGTAAGCTGTAGGAGGCTGTACTGTACATTGTCATTACATATTTCACACTTAACATATGTATCCCGATGGCCTAACCGATGCTGCTGAAGGACAGGAAAATCATTAGCTGTAAAATTGCACATGTCACAAGGATATGTTGGTAGGCATCCTTGGTGAGCTACCTGAAAATGCTTCAACAAGTCATTAGGACTGAATGCAGCTTCACCCTTGCATTCGGAACAGCTGAACCTGAGTATTTTCCCAGAAATTTTTACCCCATCTTGTGGGCTCTGCCTGAACTGATAGCATGCACCGGAGCTTTCTGTCCCTTGGCTCTCTTTAAAAGGCTTCTTCTTGAAAGACTTCCTTGCTGTCTGCATTTTTGGTTTCGCAAGTGTCTCTCGAATTTGTTGTGAAACATACTGGTGAAGATTATGCGTCACTGGAAGTACAACTGAGAGATCTTTTAAACCAAATTCCATTCTTTGCACATTAGTAGGAAATGCCGATGGCTGTAGCTGAGAAATATCCCATTTCTTCTCATCCCTCTTTCCATTTTCTACGCTTTCTGGTGGGTCATCTGGTGTTTTGTGGCCTGGCTCCATGGTTTAAATCACCAATGTCTGTAACAAAAGGTAAGCACTATTACTTACATGGCATTGCAAGCAAGGCACAATCATGAACAAAAATTTAAGAATTCAGCAATAAACATTAATAGACAGATTCATCTCAAAACAAACTGAAAAGTTAAAAACAGTAACTACGTTTGGGTAGTTATGCAATCCATCTACTTGGTTACATTCATGCACAATCCTGAAAGAACTCACAAATAAAACAAATATTAAGATTTTTATATCTATTTGGTTTCTAGAAAAGCGTGTTTTATGCTCTGATAAGTATTTAACACATTTCTAATGGCATAAAGCAGGAAAACTATAATAAAAACTCAAACTGAGAAATGGTCCAATGATCCTAATGTATACATTTGTTGTTGTCATTATTTTTTTGTAGAATATAATTGTTATTTGGTTAAGAAAAAAAAATATAACTAAGTCTCCTAATAACAGTTACAAAATGAGAGGGCCATCTAGCCCTGTTTCTTGAAAGAATCAGTTTCTTGAAAGACGTTATTGCCCTTAACAACATGACTGGGTAGCTTGGTCCATATTCCCTTAACCCTCTAGGTAGAGGTGACTCCTGTTCTCAGTTTTAGATGCACTTTTACATAGTTTCCACTTTCTCCGGCTGTGTTTCACAATGTATTCTGAAGAAATCTATTGAGTTGGCTTTCATCATTACCTTTGAAGATTTGGAATACTTGCATCAGGTTCTCTCATTACCATTGCTGTTCAAGCCTAAAAAGGCTTAGTTTTTCAGCCTGTCAATATAGAACACTCCCTTAAGCTCTGGAATGAATCTTTTTCCTTTTCTCTAGACTGATCCCAGGACATCACTACCTTTTCTAAATTACAGTGACCAAATTTGTACACAACATTCCACATAAGGCTATACTAGTGTCTGTTTCTCCATTGCCATACACACTGCCCTATCCCATCTGGATAAAAAGAACACATACACAACACTACTATTCATTGACTTCAGCTCAGCTTTAAACACCATCATTCCAGAGAAACTAGTCAAGAAACTCAGTGCACTGGGTCTTGACACCACCCTCTGCAACTGGATTCTGGACTTCCTGACAGGCAGACCCCAGGCTGTCAGGCTTGGAAACCACACCTCCAGCACACTAACTCTGAACACTGGGGTTCCCCAGGGTTGTGTGCTTAGTCCAATGCTTTACTCCCTCTACACCCACAACTGTAAGGCCAAATATAACACCAACTCCATCATCAAGATTGCCGATGACACCACAGTTGTAGGTCTGATCACAGACAATGATGAGAGGGCCTACAGGGAGGAGGTCAATCTCCTTACAACGTGGTGTGAAGACAACAACCTCACCCTCAACGTCAGCAAAACCAAGGAGCTGTACTTCCTAAGATGGTTGAAGCAGGCTAAGAAATCTCCCCAGATCCTCACTAACTTTTACAGATGCACTACAGAAAGCATACTGACAGGTTGCATCACAGTGTGGCATGGCAGCTGCTAATTGCAAAGCCCTACAGCGGGTGGTGAAAACTGCCCAGTCCATCACTGTGGTTGCTCTCCCATCCATCCCAGACATTTATGACAGATTGTACTTAAAGAAAGCTCTAAGCATCATTAAAGACCCCACACACCCCAGCTACAGACTGTTTGACCCTCTACCATCTGGAAAATGGTACCGGAGCATTTGGCCCAGATTACCAGACTCGGAGACAGTTTTTACCCCTGCACTATCAAACTATTAAAATCCCAGCCTCTGTTACCTATGACCTGAACCCTTACAGTGCCTTCGCTCTTTATCAAAATTCTAATCACACATTGAAATCTACCGCTACCCCACATCAAGAATTCACTCCCCATAGTTTTCTATCCTTTATTTCATTCTGGTGATGTATGATTTTGCACAACTGATGTTGTTTTGTATACTACCTGTTACCTGTTGTTGTTTTGCACATTGCCTGTTGTCTCTGTCTTATTCTTATACAATTGTATTGTTGTTGTTTTTTGTACTGCTTACCGTCTGAGAGCTAGCTAAATAGCATTTCGTTATACCATATACCTGTGTATGAGTATAATGACAATAAACTTGAATATGAAGTTTTTTTTTAATTTAAGATAACATCACTTGATTTACAGTCTATGCTTTTAGTTATATTTATATTATTTTATTTACCTTTTTAATAGATTCCCCATTGTCTCAAGGATGTAAATTATTTGTCAACGGAAACAGACAACTCTTTAGAATATATAGCCTCTTCTACCTCAGCATTTCCCATTTTGTATTTACAGTTTATTTGTACTACCGGCATGCTGAACCCTGAATTTGTCTAACTTAAACCCCATCTGCCAGTGTTTACATAGTCATTTTCTATTTTTTCTTAATTCATTTGCTGTTTCAACAGTATTTGCTGATCCTCCTAATTAGGCATTATTTGCAAAATTGACTAGTTTTTAACTATACCAGAACATAGACAATTAATATCAATTAATTAGCAGTGGTCTTACTGTAAAACACTGTGGTATCCAACAAATCATATCACTCCAAATTATTAATTCTCAATCAGTAACCTTTCTTTCTTATTTTTCATAATTAATTCCCCAATTCCCAATCCAAAGACATGTGTTTCCATGAATGCATACTGCCTTTACTTGATCTAAAACCTTCTGAAAATCTAAACACACCAAAAAGCTCTAACAAATTGTCTGGTTAGGCAAGATCTAACTTTTCTAAATCTGCGTTGGCTATTTTCTAGGATATTATTTTCATATAAGTGATCCTCTAGTTTAGTTCTAATAATGATTTCCATAACTTAACATGCCATAGCTGTCAGACCTATTGATCTATAATTAGTTAATTGTTTTCTCACCAATTTTGATGGATTTGTAGCTTATTACTCATTCTCTCATCCCTGGGTACTGCTCCTTTCTCAGTTACTGTTGGAAGAGTTGCGTCTGCGGCATCTGAAGAACATCTCACCTCCTTCAGTACAACTGGACAGGGGACTTGAGTGCTTTTAGTACCTGAAACTCTCCTGTCTCTTCCATCCTGATCTACAAGTTGAGCTTCCTCTGCCTGAAGAATGCTGTTGACTTCTTCCTTAGAGAATCCCCGAGTGAAATATTAGTTCAATGCGTAAGAAATTTGCCTTTCACTCTCTAGAAGTTTAACACATTTATCCGAGATATATTTTACTTCGTCCTCGATAAAATTGTTGGTGTTGTAGCACTTAAAATTTTATTAATTATTTCAGTTCCTTTGCAACATTTCTTTCATTTTCTCTCTTGGCCTTTCTTGCGTTCTCAAGAATGTCACTGTATATCCACATCTTCTTATTCCTGAAAGTGTAGTTAGATACCCTAAACTTTAAAAGACAAATAACCCCCAAACACACACACAATTCAAACAGGCCAGTTGAGTCACACAATAAGCACATGATTATGCTCAGCAAGCTGCTAACAAGAAATTAGCCATAAAGACAGGTACAGAACAGAAAGGCCTATAGTACTCAGCACAGTAGAAGTGCCAGTGTCCAGTTGCTGGTGGTACAGAGCCTGACAGGAAGGTGGGGTCGCTGCTCAAATAATCTTTTGGGTGGGGCAGCTATTCCTGAAGTCTCATGTGCAATGTTAGGGAAAGCAAACAATTCAAAGAAAGTGCACCACTGCCTGCCCACCCTCTCACCCCTGACTGCAGAGTCATTTTACTACAATGCAAGGATAACAACTCAAAAATCTAGTTTTTCCATCAACTACAAAAATGTATAGTATATAAAAAGAAAAAAGAACAAAATATTCCAATAAACAAATTTGTAAATGAATAGCGAAGTGAGGCAAAAAATATTGACACTGCTTAAAAGCTCAACTGATGACTTTGCTGTGTCTAAAACTTGACTAAATAATAAGCTTACCTTGAAATAAAGACTTGAGAAAGAGCATTTGCCCAATGACTAAAACAGGCTGTGTGGCAACTCTATATTTTATGCTATACCTTAAAACAAATGGGAGAAAATCTGAAGTTTCTTTTTGTTATTACTGCTATTTCACTGTTAGAAATGTCTGTTACAAAATGAAGAATAATAATCATAGGCCCTCTACCCACTCACTACAAGCGAAAAGTGGAAAGCTTCACTTGAAATCTTTAACATTAACATTTAACATAATCTTTAACAGTACGCAAATGACTTCACAACTATATGCCAAGAAGGTAATAATGTGGTCTGCGTGACACAATGTGGGATGTGGAGTGTGTCTCTGAGTGATCACAGCTGGTGCTCTTCTTAGAAACCACAAGAAACCTCTCAGGGCGGCATACTTCTTGCTAGTGCCAGTCATTGGGGAGGTGCGGTTCACGCATAATTAATGATATTACTGAACAGCAAACAATCAATCAAAAATTCAGATAATGGGGCAAAACAAACAGGCCTTCATGGGAGTCATTAAATAAAAATTTTGCAATTAATTATCGGTCAACTCAATAGGTAGTACTTGAAAACATCTCTTAAAACTACATATTGTAGGTAATTCCTTTAGTTTAACTGGCAAACTATTGCAAACTTTCACAAAATCAGCAATAGCAATACATGTCATTATACCATTATGCTGGTGGGCCTTGCCTTTGGTCTTTTCAGTCGATCGCCGAGTTCTCACATGGGAACCCCTGGACATCCTGCACTACAGCTTTTTTGTGCCGCTCAGGTTAAGTCAACCTGAGCAGGAAAAAAAAATGTGAGGGAATATATACGTCCCAGACTTTCTAAAGAGAAAGATTACCATCTCCAACCACGTCTTGGATAACACAAAGATGAAGAGGCAGAGAGTGAGCTACAGCCTGGGCACATACTTAAAGTGAGCACCTGCAATAGACTGTTCCCTGTCAACACACACCCCAGAAATCAGCAAGGACTCCAAGCCAGCAACGGGCTACTGTCCCCAAACCAGTACTGCTGATCCTGCACAGAGCATGATGTTCAAGCAGTCCTAGCATTAGGTAAGGACATACCCCCACTGTATTAACCCTGCTCATTGTTTACTGTATTTATGAGTTTGTCACAATACAAAAAACACTCTGCTCCAATTATAAAAAAAATATTTTTCCTTCTTGAGTTACCCTTCTCAAAATCATTGTGTATGTATACTGTATATGTATATATACTGGAAACAGCACTTAAAATTCTTGACCAAATGCTCTTAAATTATGAAGGTCAGACATCTATAAGTCAATAACGCTCCATCAAATGGAAAATAAATATTTATCTCTGCCTAAATTTAGTTTTTTATGCATACGTTACAGTAAAATACACATTTGAATATGATTTCAATGTTGCTTTGGCAATGTCAATTCATCAGCTATTTACAAGCACTTCACAACTTTACATTAATTTTCACTTTCAGCACATTTGCCAAAGTGTCCTGAAAGATTTAAGTATTTAATCTGGAATTTAAACTGTACAAATTACATGGTGTAGATTTGTTTCACAGAACCTAAACCTTTATCTGAATAACTACTGACAAAAAAAAAGCTTTCAGCCTGCCCTGATGCCAGATCAAATGTAGGCATAAATTTGTCTTTAAAACGTAGGGTGGGAAGAAAATGCTTAGTATCCAACAACAGAAATAAAGGAGTGGAACACTGAAATTACAATGAAGAGACAAGGGCCCTGTGTGCAGTCCTGTTACTACGAGTCAATAGCATGCATGCCAAATAAGCCTGTCGGCACACAAATCATGTCAGCTCGAATCATTGGAGAATAACAAAAATACATTGCCCACAGCTAAAAAGGTTATAAAGGCTTACATATCTATTATTGTAATTATTCTGAGCTTAGTACTATTTTTTATATTTGTAGAAATGTATCTCCAAAATGTATGGATATACTGTATACTGATGTAAAAAAGAAACGCAACACCTCCTCCTCCACACTCTGGTCCTCCCATCTGCGTGGAACAGGCTGAAGAGTGACTCATCCGCGAAGAGGACCTGATGCCACTGCTGACGAGTCCATCACAGCCTCTGTCTGGCCCAAGCCAGTCGGGTGTGACGTCTAGGAGGTGTGAGTAGAGGGCCTCCGACAGGTTGCCTTGCTCTAAGGCCAGCAGCCTGGAGCCTCACTGTCGTGTCACTGATGCGGGCATTGTGTCTGCCCGCAGATTCGGTACAGGTGGCAAATCTGAAACAATCTTTGATGTTTCGGTCCTGCTCTGGTGTGGTCACTCGAGGGCGACCAGATCTTGGACGGTCATCTGTCCTGCTGGTCTGCTGAACCCGTCTCTGCAGTTGGGACACAGTGGAGCGGCTTACTCCATAGTGTCTGGCAACGCTGGCACATGACATGCCTGCCTGCAGCATGCCAGTGGTCCTCTCCCTTGCTTCTGGTGACATTTGAGGCATTAGGGAATGCACAGAAAACTGACTAAGTGTGGCCTTTCTCTTGGAGTGACCTATACTTTCCTATTCCTGTTTTATCCACTGAATGGATTAATGTGGGAAACATTTTTTGGTCCCCAAAAAACAATTCCGCCCTCATTGGCCAGAATGCCTCCAATTTAGACAGGCAAAAGTCCTGCCAGCTGTCCACTTATTCATGGGGCACACCCTATGCCAAAGAAAGTCTCTCACAATCCTTCCAAAGCCTTATCAGTCATGAAGCATTAACCCCACTGACCATGTGTGAGCTGTCCTAAACCCATTCCCTCAAAACCAATCCCAGTGAAGCAACTACACACCACTCCATCTTAAAACACATCCTAAACAGGCAGAATCTCCAATCCTGCCATCCAGAGTCAACAATCCTACCAACACGAAGTAAACGAATAGATATATTATGAGTGTATATTTTTTGGAATGTAAATATATAGTCGTTCAATTATGCACCTCATACCGATTTCATTATTGACTTATCATGATAATTTATGTTAACACATATGCCAATCTAAGGATGTTCTGCAGTTTAGGTGGAGCAATGCCTTTCATGAATCTGTTCTCTTCATGGGACAAAGACACCAGACGCAGCTGCTTTGTGTGATTAGTGCAGCACACCCCGCCCCTGTCGGGATTCGATCCCGGTTGCTCGTAGGCTCCAAGGATGCACAGCGCCACTCTCCAAACAGCGGATTACTGTGCTGCACCAAAAGACTGGTCATCTTCCACAGCAGAGTTTTATACTGTCTAGAGTTCAGAGGGGGTGATGTCACTTCTGTAACTGGCTCAGTGCATGAGCCCTGTTACATCTGCTCTGATAAGCCCCAATCAGGGAAAAACTGGTTTGTAGTTCCTGAACATCTTCACTGCTTGTTCATCTATGAGGATACCAACAAGACAAAGGAACCACCCTTCTGGTTTATATATTATGTATGAGCACACACACATTTGTTTATATAACTATTATTTGAGAGACAAAAACATGAATTATTATACAAGCATATCAATAAAAAGCAGAATTCAGGATATAAACAACTTTACTATTAGTTATTGATACTGGACTAATGTATTTATAGAAAATATAAGTTAACCAGCACAGAAAAGCTTAAATATAAAATACCTTAAATTCTTGACTTAAAAGAAAACAAAGATTACACTGAATTCCACACAAAAAATAATGTGATTTTTTGTAACGAGGCCTTCTCAATTTACTACTGCTGCTGCTGACTTTCCAATAGAAATCTATTACATTCTCCAACTTCCAGCGCGGACGGATACATCACCACGCGCAGTAATAAAAACGCATTACGTACTGTTGACCGATATGGCGTAACAAAAACATTACGAGTTTTAGCACGTATTTAATACTACGTTTTTTTACTGAACTAAAAAATATGTTTTTTTGAGTACTATGATAGTACAGTCTGCAACAAGACGTTTGGCACTATTTGATCACAAAAGAAGCCCCCACCCACGCTTGAAATAAATAAGCAATTGCACATTTAAATTGCACAAATAAAGCATTTACTCTGGCGATCAATAAAACCCTGAAACTCAAATAATGTATGGTTTAGCTTTATTGATCATAAGATGTGCGTCCAACAAAGACTTAACTTGAAATTACCTTTCTTTCCTCTCTAGTCCTGCAGCTCAGTGACGGCGGCCATGACAGTTCCATCCGGGTATTTTAGTTTGAGCTCAGTGTCTATGACTGAGGAAGTACAGGCGGATGAATACGGATTACCTGAAAGTGTACTTTAAAGGTTGCCTTTATTATGTCGGATTGTGAGAAAGGAATAGAAAAGAGTATAAGTAAATTAAGATACATGTTAAACAACCTTTGTCGAAAAGATTGCTTCAGCAATCACTGAAGCTAAGAGTGAAACTAAGGAAACCTGTTACCATGCTACAGATGCCTGTTCTCATGGTGTATCAGCAGAGCTTATTACTGTGGTATTAGCCCTCAAACAAAAGAGTTGTGAGAAGGTTATTTAAACAGCCATGACAACAGAAGAAAAATCTCAAGTATTTACTGACACGTTTAAGTAGAATATTTTTTCTCATAAAAGCAACATACGTATAAAGTGTGTTTTTTAAAGGAATCTCACGGTTTATTTGCAAAACATTAAGGCACCTTTAATGTTCTTCCAGCAACATCATATTTACGCTATATGATTGCCGATTTTCCGGTGATTTAAAAAAACCATAGTGTTAAGACATTTTTAATAAAATCATCGTTTTAAAAAAATTAATTCACAATGATACAATATGAATCACCAGGCCAGTAAGATGCAATCATAGATGAAAGAAACCAGGGATAATGTGTGGAAAAATAATATTTCAGTATTCTATATTTTGATTGTTCAAGACCCTGCAAATCAATCTCTTAATTTCTGAGACAATTTTTATACCATAGAAAGAAGAGACCAGCCCCTGTTCTAGTTCGGCAAGTCTCTTGTTCAGTATATATACAGTATACATACAATATGCTACTCTTAAATTATTTAATCACTTAAATCAGAAATGGCCACCGAATTTGAGAAGAAAATGAGAAGATTCAGCAATCAAACAAAACTTGTTCCAAGTGTTCAGAAACTGATTATTTAAAGATGACCCATAAAACCTGTTGGACTGTGATTCCCCAAAAATAGATGTGACCAACCCTGAATAACAAATAAAAACATCCCACCCTGGCAGAAATGTACTAAAGGTTGTCATGATAATCCATGGGTCTTTTGAGGAAAGAAATACTGCTAAAAGTGAATTATGTTCTTGTCAAATGACATTGCCATTCTCACAGGTAAACAAAGAACGTACACATTTTCAGTTCCCAGTTCCTGTATGTGATTTTAACCTACAAATAAAACAAGTTTTAAGAAACAATAGGTTTATTCCACGCTGAAAAAAAGAAGAAAGAGAACACAACGTTTCGGCCGTGGAGCCTTCTTCAGGTTGTCACGTTGTGTTCTCTTTCTTCTTTTTTTCCAGCGTGGAATAAACCTATTACTTGTTCCTTTTCAGCAGCCTACGCATGCTGACGCAGCTACCCACCTGAAGTTTTAAGAAATACCAGGTTCTCAAACCCACCCCACTTAATCAAAATGTTCAATTAAAAGCGCACTTACAACAAGACAAGGAAATAAAAACATCTGGGACTATTTCTTGGCTTGCAAATGCCAAGCCTACTTGTTTTTCTTTTTATTCCATTTGGTCTGCTGTGCATGTGGTTAATTCTTACATATATTTGAGTGTTGCCTTCTCTGACACTGCCTCTTCTCTGGAGAGGTTTTACCTGAGATATGCAGAGAGGACACCCTGTGAGAGGAAGCAAAGTTCCACAATAGAGTTTTATAATTAACCTATAAAATTGATCATTAAAATTGGGTGATTGTAATAAATATTTCTGGGTATTTGCCAATCTGGTCAATCTCTTTTATTTCAGTGCCAATTTCTGTGTAAAATTGGGGATCTTGAAAAAAATATTGTCATCTTCTGTGGTGTATCATCTGTGTCACATCTGTGACTCCTGCTTTGCATCAGTTTTCAGATGCTGTCTTGGTGGGATTCTGTCCAATTCCTCCCCTAGAGTCCAGGCGTGTGCCCACACCACCCCACAGATGTTCAGATTAGGTGAGAAGGACATCCAAAACATAACTGGCTCTCACTAGGTTCTTGTAACATTCTTGTCTCGCAGGAAGGCTGTTGATCCTTGAGCAACTGATAGGATATCACATCATAGGAAGAGTAGCAAGTCAGATCTCAGAACTTGATTAAACCAAGCTCCATAGTGACTAGACTTTCCTGCCCAGACCATCAAAGACTTGGAAAAGCTCTTCAGTCACCACAAGGTGTGTCTCCCAGATCATTAAGCAGTAATATAGCTTGCCAGGTTATAAATTGCAGTCTGTAAACACCAGCATGCAATAACTTACTGATTGTGAGCATGCCGATGACACAGGGGTCTTGTTTTCTTAACCATATGTGTTCCTTTCTGGTATTCTTTCTGGTATTCTTTATTTACACCATGCTTGACATTACACAGGTTAAATCACTGCATGACCTGTGACCAGTCAGCATTCTCACATACAGTATTTAGTACTTATCACTGCCATCATCAATATCTCTGTAGTGTATAACAGTCAGCTGTGAATGATCAATCAATAGAAATTATGTCAAAAACATAATTCAATATACTTTATATTTTAAAGATATGCATATGTTTCTTAAAACACACTGAAATTCACTGATTTTTGTTTGTTCGACAGGTTTCTAGATGTGAATCCACTTAATAAAGAGGATGAATCTATGGAACTATGGAATACTGCTGCTTTTTTCTTATGTTTAATAACCAATAACACTTTGATAACAATACTTACCCCTGTTTAAGAAACATTGTACACTATCGCACATCATTTCTCATATCTTAATAACAGATTGTCAAATTATTATGTATTATAAGCCATAGTGAAGTATTGAAAGCAACAATAAATGAAGCAATGAAAATAATGTTTTTGTAGTTTTTGTACTTGGTATGGCAAAGTGTCAAACACAATGGTAAAATGTCATTATTATTGTAACATTTTTACAAGGAAGTCTTTTCCCCATCAATCTTATATGTCTGCATTAAATTAATAAAACATCAGCTGATGTTAGAACAGGTGAAGTGTGAATCATTCCCCCTCAATCCAATCAGAGTGGTTGTTGACACAATTCAGAGAAAATTAAAATGCTATTACTAACATAGATGCATTAAGATCCTTAAGATGTTCAGTGCTGTATAATTTAGAGATACAAAATGCTAGCTGTTGGGTGCAGAATCAAGATCAAGCCACAATGAAGTCCTGCCCTCTGACCCATTCAGGTGAATGAATGGGGTTGCTGATATAAAGTCCTCTCTCTCCCTTATATACTTGCTGGTGGTACAGATCTTGAGAAGTTGAATCAGAGATCAAACTCAACCTCTATCCAGTACAGTTTGCATTTACATGGCCATGCATACTTTTATATTTGGAAATCATTCAAGCTGAGCTTTGGAAAATGAACTTCCACCACCCCCTCTCCCACAGAAAACAATTCACAGCACAAGTTACTCATAAGACAGGAGGCACAAGAACACAGTACTTGTGATTAGTCTCACCCGTTGAGACACTATCTAGGTACAAACACTACTGTAGGTCTTACTGCATACAACAGCTGAAGGTTGTCACCAGCAAGGGGAACATGCCAAGTAGGCCATAGCTCATCGAAAAGTGATTGGAGCCTTCCCTTCTCTGGTCAATGCAAAGTAAGAAAATAAGAACTAAAAAACCTTTTGCTGTTGTCAAATAAACATGGTCATACAATATTCAATATACAATGAATTATGTGTTATAAAAGACATAGGCCATTTAATGTGGCAATTCTGTTGAACTAGAATATCCACAGCATATATATATAATGTGATGAGGACCATGAAAAATATAATTCTCCTAAAAACATCAAAAAGTGAAAAAAATGTATAACTGAGACTTATTAAAAATCTATGGATGCAATTTAAAAAATCAGAAACCTAAATTATATTGCTTGCAGATATTAGGATCCTGGGTGTTTCCACAGGCATCAGCCAATGACGTTTTAAAGTGAAAAGCCAAAGGAGGCAAGAAACAATGATTTAATCCTATGGAAAGCCAAGGAAAATAAATACATTAACTTTATAGGGAATTTTAGTTCTGTGTGAGAGGGTATGCTGTCAGAGGAAAAGTGCTGCTGGAAAAATGACCTTGTCTTGTTCTGTACATTTCATGTTTTAATCTCACTGGTGTGCTTCAGCTGCAGACCAAGCCTTTCCAATGTAACAGTGCACATGTCTCAGCTCTCTAGAGAGAATGGCAAGGAGAAAGGTCTGTGTTTTTTTTTTCTTTTCCATATAGTTATGACTTGGGTTATATATATGTAAGTCTACAAATATATATATATAGGTCAGTAAATATATCTATCCATTTTCTAAATGTTTTATCCATTAGCAACAGGTACAAGGCAGGATACACTCTGGACAGGATGACAGCCCATCAAAGGGCACATATAGACACAGACATGCACACACTCAAACTAAGGGCCAGTTTTTCCAGAAGCGAATTAACCTACCAGTATGTCCGTGAACTGTAGGAGGAAACCCATTCAAACTGGAGGAGAACATATCCACTCCATGAAGATAACATGGATCCCCAAGTCCAGAATTGAACCCAAGGCACCAACGCTGCGAAGCGTCGATGCTAACCACTGCGGCACTGGCTCTGCAAATACGTAAGTACTGTATGTAAATATATATGTAAGTACGCACTTCGACCTGATGTAAAGTATGTAAAAAAACAAATGGGAGTCTTTTTTTTTACAAACTGTCAATGTATTAGCTAGGAATGATGGATGCTTAGACATTTAAAGATGCTGCTGAGACAATGTATGATCTCTACATAACTCTTTTTTAGCCTGAAGAGCGTTGTTAAATTCATCCGATTAGTCGATTCGTTAGGCCAGTTAAATTGGCAAAACGGGAGGACACAGCCATTCTAAGGACCTTTTCAACAATTATTATTCATAACCTGGAAATCAACCAGAAACATCCGTTCTCTTTTTCACTGTATTTTAATGTACAGTGTTATAGGGAAAATCTTTTTAGATAACATTCATGACGTATTCTACTAGAATTTAGAGGACATGCTGAGAGTTGGCACCGCAAAAATGGTTCGAGATCCACTTCTCTGTTACTTCAATGAACAAGAAGTTTGGAGAGTTGGGTAAAATACGACATTTCTAAACACCAGCTTGATTACCAGGGTTTTTTCATGATAGCGATTAGATTTATCAATTATTAAATCTAACATCACCTTTTTCCGATTTCCTCGGTAGTGAAACCTGACGTGGTTTTGAATGTTTGAAACGTTAAATGATCGTGTACTGGATACGAAATTGGCTCTTTTGTCAATGTAAGACGTTATTTGGCATTTTGTGTTGAATATCATGATGCACAAAGTAAATAAAAAAGGGCCTTATTACCCGAACTAGCATGCTTTTTTTGTGGTTAAATGATCTATGACAAATGCAAGCAACCTGCAAATGACTTTTGGATCTCAGTACCTTTGTTAATTTGTGGAAATCCAGATTGAGGAAAGTGATCTAAGCCTAACGATAAAACTCTTTCAAGCCAACAAAGGGTAATAAAAGTAGTTATCTAAAAAAATAATTAACCTAAACACATTCAGTTTATCCTGTGCTTTTGTGCAAGTTTCGGTTCCTGTGCGGACGTCCATGAATCCCTACGCCTGATTGGAGATTTTGGGAGAGGAACGGAGTGTAAGACAAGTTTCAATTGGCATGCGCACTCCAGCATGTGTTCATTGCAGGCTTTGTATACACATACTGAGCCTTTTAACAATGGATGAAACAAAGTGCACAGCGCAGTGATTCAAACTTCGAAAAGAAACGTTTGCGTAAGGCTTGTAAAAACAGAAGATTCATCCTCCCGTCATTACTGCGCGCGTGAATGTGTTTCCTCTGATTTCAAAGGTAAGTTTCACTCCGTTTGTGTCCGACTGCTTTTTCGCAGTTAAAACTTTGGTCTGGAGGTCCACAAGGTTTATCGCCAAAGATGCGAGCGTAGTTTACTAGGGAACGTGACAGCAAGTCTTTGTTAGTTTGAGACTCAATCACTGAACTAACATCTAAGCACTGGTGATTAGTTCAAATTCCCGGGAGAACTTTACACGCAGTGATCACATCATATTTTAAAAAGAGTTTCACATAGTTCTAAGTCGTTACTGTGTATTGTGACAGCGGAGATCTTTGTAAACCTCAGGGATGGTTGATTGGCCGGCTCTCGCAGCTAAATCCACATTATTAAATCTCCACAGAACCCCCGTTTCTGCTATAAAGCTGCTGGCCGATTAACTTCCCTTGGGACAGAGGTGACAATTCCCACCAGCAGACTGCAATTCCTTGATGCGATTTTAGATCATCTAGTCGGTTTTGTGAGAATGTAAAGAGGGTGGCTGTCGAAACGATAAAACGAAAAAAAGGGGGCTAATTGGACGGATTCGTTGTATCGTTGTGAGAATATTGAGCAACAGGTTTAATTTGCTGGGAATTAGATTGGTGTCACTTAATTGGGAAGTTCGTGAACGTTGAAATTTCGCGACATAATCTTAAAAGTAGAGTGTGATGGATTGTTTTTTTTCTTTAAGACAAATGAGGAAAAAAACTACATAACAACTCCACTTACTTGCAAATATCTTTACCTTAATACAGGCCACCCGACACCTTCTATTCAATGGAGCTTGAAGGCGAGTGGTGGAAAGGACAGCTGGCTGCAGATATATACCACGCTCTTCGCTATAAAGTACGCTCTATCTCCGGCGACTTTTTTCGCTCTTCGTCTTCTGTAGGTTCCAGTAGGTGAATGTTGATTCCTTCAGGAAAAGTCGTTATTTGAAAGAAAAGCACCGTAGTGTCACTTTCTCGAAATGCTTCTTTAAACGGATATTTAAACCTTTAGTTTGTGGCTCAGCATTGATCTTTATATTTTGGTTTTAAAATGGGATTTTCGATTTTAAACAATTGTAATGACCCCTTCCCCCTCCCATTCTGAAGTGTGAACTACAGAATTTCACGACCAACTGCAAAAAAGCGCAAGCGAATCTAACGTTTAAGTGTTAGGAGGGAAGTGATCGTATCACGAAGACTAATTTAGTCCTTCGATATTGCTGTACGAAATTACCTGGCCATGTGATATGTTAAAATGATTATTTTTATTTTTAGATGTCTAAATTCATTTTTATTTTATTTACAATGTACAGAAAGTCCTTTCTTCTGATCCTTTGGCCTTCGGTTTAAAATGATTAAAGCCGTTGGTTGTGTTCCCATTTTTTTCTGTTAGGGCTATTGTTTTTAAAACAGTACAATAATGTATTTTCTAGGAGCTGAAGCTGCCATCTTATAAAGGTCAGTCCCCTCAACTCAGCCTGAGACGCTATTTTGCGGACCTAATAGCCATTGTGAGCAATCGCTTCCGGCTGTGTCCCGCTGCTCGTCACCTTGCGGTCTACTTGCTGGACCTGTTCATGGATCGCTATGACATTTCCGTGCAGCAGCTGCATGTGGTCGCGCTTTCCTGTTTACTTTTGGCAAGTAAGTATAGTACAAATCACATCTCAAAGAGTTTCAGGAGTGCAATGCTGGATATAAATTCTACCTTAAATTGCATTTTGTTTTGTTTTTTTTTTTGGGGGGGACGCTTTCTTTGATGTTTCCCGTTGAATGTATGTTTCTTTTTTGTTTTTGATTCAAGGCAAGTTTGAAGAAAGGGAAGATCATGTGCCAAAGCTTGAACAGCTGAACAGTCTGGGGTGCATGACCAACATGAACCTTGTGCTAACGAAACAAAGCCTGATGCATATGGAGCTCATGTTGCTGGATACTTTTCAGTGGAACCTGTACTTGCCCACTGCCGCCCACTTTATTGATTACTACTTGTCGATTGCTGTTCACGAGACCGATCTGCATGATGGCTGGCCCATGGTTTGTCTGGAGAAAACAAGAATATATATGGCAAAATATGCGGATTATTTCTTGGAGGTTTCACTCCAAGGTAAGTTCTGACTGAAATGACCGTTTGTTTTTCTTTAAGACTCTGACATATCATTAAACTGTGTTCCCTCCAGCTTTAACATAGTTATTAATGTCTTGTAATTTATACGTGTGCTCAAACAGGTCTCCTTTTTTTGTTTTCCCTGCCAGATCACGTCTTCTTAAATTATGCCCCTTCGCTGGTGGCTGCTGCTTGTGTAGCGTCTTCCAGAATAATTCTGCGACTGTCGCCTACATGGCCCATTCGTCTGCATCGGCTGACTGCCTACTCTTGGGACCTCCTTGTCTCGTGTGTAGAGCGTCTCTTAATGTAAGATATACTTTGATAGATTTATACTGAATTGCAAAAATAGTTATCATTTTAGAATGAAATTTGGGACTGATGGCTTTTCCACTAGATGTAGGGCGTATGTTAGCGTCTGTTCTTTCTTAACTGTAATGAGCAGTGCAGTGTCTTAAGTTGTAACTAGGTTTTAATCTTTTTAACAAGATCTGTTAGAATCACGTCAACGCACTGGTAGGTGTTGAAGCAGGAATATTGATTTTTCTTTTTGTCTCAGAGCCCATGATAATGATGTCAAAGAAGCCAACAAACAAAAGTGTCAGCAGCCCAACCCACAGACTGGGCATACGGTATACCCGCCACAGAGCCAAGGAAATGCAGCGCCGCCTCAGATACAGCAGCATCTGCCTCAATACCTGCACCGGCAACAGCTTCAGTACCCGCAGCAGAATTGTGCGCAGATTATTTCCACGGGACACATGCCTTCTTATGCCATCCAGTCCCACCCTACCAGTTTACAAGCCAGCATTCAGCCACATGGACATATACAAGCAGTGACTGGCATGACCTTGCCAGCTCCCCTGGATGTGAAGGTCAACTTGCCCTACAACAAGTGCTATCAGGTTAATGGACACTATACCTGCACAGCACCTTGTTTTGATAGGTGATTAACACCTCCTAGGGAGGGTTTTTTTTTATGTGGGCTGGATGGAGGACTGTTTCTGAAATGACTTGCTATATGAGCCAAAAAATGTGTTGCAGAAGAAAAATACTGTTTTTAATTTTAAGAAGGCAAGTTGAGCACTGTATTATGTAGGATAAGATGTAATCTTGAACTATGTGCAATATAATTACTTTGGTGTACAGTCTTTTCTCTTTTCCTAACCTGAGCCCTCTTTTAAAAACTAGACATTTTAAAAGTATTAAGCAGGCCTCAACATCACAGTTCATATTGAGGACTGTAATAAAAGGTTCGACTTTGAGACATAAAGTTAGCCAGATTAAACCTTCTTTGTTAGCCAGTCTAACCCTTCTTTCTTGAGAATACTGCTGTATCACAGTAACAAATGATCTGAATATCAAAGCTACCTCTGTTGAAATGAATGTAAATATTTTCTATAATACAGTTCTTTCTGCATTTCATTTGGTATACCTTTTTGTTTTTGAAGGACCAGCTAATACACTGTAAAGGAGTTTTTGTCCTACTTTAATTTGGAGGATATGTTTTGTACGATGCCCTTCCTGAATTACTTTCTAGCTTCTTTGGCAGAACATTGTAAAGTCATCCTTCCAGTGTACTACCTCTGAAAGTAAAAACAGTTATCAGTACATTTATGTAGATTTTTGAAGTAGAAGAATTGTGAAAGGGTTTTGTGCTACAAGTCTTTATACTAAAAAGTAAAGTAATTTCAGGTTTACATCATGTTCCTCAAAGTGTAAAACCTCCATGAGTGCTGTGCACTTAGAAAAGTTTTTTTTAAATAAAAAAACAACTTTGTCAGTTTCTTTTTTATTCTACCGACCTTGTAACACTTGTTTTACTCTATTTCTGTCTTTCTGATAAAAGACCAGATATTAAGCAAAAATTTTAAATACATATTTATTATAGTTACACCCTATAAGTGACTCTGAAAATGTCTTATAACAGTAGTGCAACTGCAGTGTAAAATATTACTGTTTAAGGAATAGAATGGGAAATTGAAAGTTAACATAATAGAAGAGGCAAAACATTTTGATATTATCTTGCACTTTAATATTTTCTATATCAATCTGTTTATTCTTAAAACTTTGTTAATTATTATGATCTTTGTTGAGGAAACATTGGTCATTAACAGGAAACATTTTTTCTTTATGGGTAGCAATGCCCATTTCCTCCTGACAATTGAAAACTTCCTTGCTAATGTTTGACCAGGGCTGCAAGAAAAATCCAGAGTGACAGGATATTGTTTGGATATGGATTTATATAAACTGCAAGAGCAAATTCCGTTTCAGGAATTTCAGTACTGTGAATCCTGGTACTGTAGACTGTTTCAATTACTGTTTCCATATCAACATAAGGTATATGAAGAGGGAAGCCTGTAACCTGTAAATGGAAACGTAAGCAATCTTTAACATTGTAAAATTTCAGAAACGCGTCTAAAAATGTAGCTACATTTTTAATTTTATTTCCCAAGATGGTTAATTTAAGAAGGATTCTCTCAGAGGATTTCAGAAGGACACATTTATAAATGTTTTTTAAAAAGATTGATAAAATCTCAAACTGAAATCTGTGAACTCCTGAATATCTTCACTAACAACCTGTGTAATCCCCAATAAAGTTTTGAAAAAGTTCATGCAGGTGATAAACACGTATTTTTTCTAAAACATTGCACTCTGCAATGTAAGTGCTCTAAGAACATAAGAAAGGTTACGAACGAGAAGCCATTTGACCCATCAAACCATTTTGGTGGTAAGTTGTTAACAAGTTAACAAGACTTCTCATGAAACAAAAACACGGTATCGGTTTCAAACTTTTGGCTTGGTAAATGTTGTCTATGCAGTACCTATTCTGTAGGTTGGTCAAATTCTAATAAAATGTGCCAACAAATAAAAAGGCATTGCATGCTTAACATTTTAGTGTAAACTCACCAGAACTTTGGCGAGCTCTGTCACAACCCCCCTTTATTTACAAGGAATGAACAAGGGAGGCAGCCGCAAGGGTGAAGTTGGAATGGAGGGAGAGGAGCTAAGAAAATATGTGCACAGAGTAGTGGGAAGTACTCTGCAGAGAGTATTCATCCCTAAGAGACCAGGTGTGTGAGATTATAATTAGATCTCCCAAGTTTTTGTTAACACTGGCAGTGCCTTTATATATCTATTAACATTGTATCTCTACTTATGAGTCTGCTTTTAAGCCACATTAAACTGGTGGTCCTTGCTAAGATGAACATGAAGAAGAGGTGTCCTCCTACCCTTTTATGAGTCAAAGAAGTCTGAGAGACCCTGCTAAAACGTCCTGTGTTGGGATGTAACTAAAGCAGGCTTGTTTTCTCATCATAGGAAGGTTGAAGATGTCCCATGTCTTTAAAAATAATTATCTAACCTTGTATTCTTTCATCTTCCTGTAAATCTTCCTTGATTCCTCTTCTATAATCGAAGCACCAGAGTAGTGTTCCAGTTTTGTAAGAAACTCCTGGAGCAAAGCAATGCACTGGTGGTTCCATCTTGTCCGGTGTTGTACTCTCCAATCCATTATGCATTTTTTCAAGGTTTTTTCAATTCTGAGTGGAAAGATTAAATTACGTATCATACCACTGCTATATATTATTGTTTTAACTTTCCATTTACCATCTTTTTCACTATAAACAATATTAAAGTCCAAAGTGAATACTTTTTTCTAATTAAAAGATCAATTCTGTGTTATAACTGTTTTAAAACAACTGACACGTACAGGAAGCCTACAGTTAAACCTGTTAAATATACATTAGAACACCTGTAAGAAAGTAGCACTCTGCTTCCACCATAGATGGACAGACAGGCAGGGACTATGAAGTACTGTATACTATATTATGTTTCCCTCATTATTAGATAGTTGAATCCACTTTATATTAAAACATAATTATTAGGTTTACTAAATATTTTTTAATTAATAATATTTTCTCTTTGACACACCTTATATTGCTACATACATTCTCCTATATATAAATATGCATTTTATTTCCCATTATAGAATGCTAAATCTTTTTTTTAATTACCTCTTCTGTAGTTGTTTGACATTTTCCATGTTTGATGTAAAATAATTGTGTTTTGTCTAAAAAAGAAAATAATTAATTGTAAAAGATAACATGGATTATAATAACATTTTTTCATGCACCATACTGGTACTGTTAACCATTTCAAGCACTATTACTACCACACAAGCATTATTTCAGTATTATTAGTAAATATTATTTTGTTGCAATTAAAAAATATTATTAGAAGTAATATTTTGTCTTGTAGCATGTAGAATGAATTCTCATTCATGTGCCTATTATTCATGTAGCTCCCCATGTTACTGTATGGAACAACAACAATGTGAGAAATCTATCGAGCTCCTACATCTCTAAACTCCAAAAAAAACCCTAAACTCTGCTAAACACCCAAACCCTTATCCTAAACCTCAAATCAGGCAGCCAATGATATCTCAATTTTCTCATGCCAAGAATTAGGGCAATAAAGTTAAAAAAGTAAAATGCTAACATTTTCCCATTTTTCAAAAAGAAATGCATTCGCCAACCTGTAATATTTGCCTAAATGAACACTACCACTTCAAGGTGCAGACAATTGTGAAATCAAGGTGAATTATGCGCTTTGCACACTTCTTCATTCAGTTTTTTTGGTACTTATACTTTGTCCCTCGTTCAGAACTCTAGTTTTATATTAGACCATTAATACTGACATAAACCAAGACTTTTTATGAATTACTGTATGTACTGTATGTATAGCTGTTGTATATACAGTATTACCTTCAGTCTTATTGAAAAAAAATGTATTTTCACCACTGTTCCATGGAGTTTTTTTAACTTTTGTCTTAAAAAAAGATTCTACAAAGTTTGACCCTTCCCTCTATTATTGATTTTGTCCATTTTAACTACCTGCAAAGGTGCATACTCAGAAAGAACAAAATCAGATGGAAACAGGGGCTTCCATGAGGAGTCCTTTGACACATCAAAACACATGGACATCACGCTGTTGTCTGCTGAATTGAACCATATCTAAGGAAAAGTCAAATAAACACAAGAAGCCCTTTAAAGCAGTTTTTCTGCTTAGAAATATTTCTATGACTCACCCCAAAGACAGTCAGTAAACATTCAGAATTAAAGATTTATCCTTATACATCATGGGATTTTGTATTTTTGTATTTTTTAACATTTTGTTGTGTACAAATGTAATTGAGACAATATATTGGGCTAAAAAAATACTTACATTTTGACCATTAATTAAGCAATCAACTGTTTTCAGTGGACAAAACATGTCAAATTGCTCAAAACATTTTCCATCACTTGGATTCCAAAGGATATACTTTTTCATTTCCTGAGTCAACACATAAGCTGTTTCTCCCTTTAAAAATGTTAAAATCAAAATCGAATAAAATATCATCTTTGTTGAGTGAATATACTGTCACTATGTCAATGAGATGATTTCTGACATCTTAGCCTATAGTAAATAAACCTTACAGCAACAAGTAGAATTACTGTTAAAAATCTAAAATACTTTTAATTTCTGACTTCCAGTAACATAAGAAGAGAAAGACAAATTTAATAAAAACTAATATTACAAAATTTAGAAGAGACACAGATGGATGCATTATATTTTGTATTAAGACTTTGTATGGTATGCATTAGACTTCCTGTGTGCTTCATAATGCTATCCTGGTGATAAAGAAAATATAAAATAGTGAAAGCTAAGTTAAATAGTAATTCTGAGACTTAAACACATTGAAATTGTACATAAGGACTGATTGTAACTAGAAAAACTATTCAATTTCTGTGATAATTCACACTGACAGATAATCCAAAACCAAAATACATGATGCTACATAAAACAGATACAATATCCTGGTCCCAGGATAACATTAGAAAAGATTCTAATATTAATTGTAGTAAAATTATGTTGTAATCAGGATATCTACTCAAGACTGGAAAAAAGATATATAAAGTATTACCTTCAAAACAGATGTTCCAAGGATCAGCCAAGCCTTCTTGCCCAAATAAAGAAAATAGTTGCACAGTAGAATAGCTAAGCTGACTCTATTCCCAACAGCCAAATGAATGCATTGCTGTAAAAGTATAATGAATGTAACAGACAGTATAAGCAGTATTTCCTTGTTAAAGTAGTCTTGTTAAAGTGTTCTTTTTTATGGTGTCTACATTACAGGTTAAGTGCAAAAGTAGATTTGTGTGACAAAATTATTAAAATAATTTCCTGATGAAGTAATGCCAATGCGTACAATGAAACTACCTAAGATTTCTGTAAATAACAATGCAGTACACAATTGTAAATTATTAAAGAAAATGTACAGGCCAGCAGTATATCAAAATGCACCAAGCCTTTTTATAAAAAGGATATGAAGATTTAAACATACGGAGACTTGATTTACTGTAATTACCTCAGAAGTGATCCACATTTCACATTCTTCTCCAACATCTGTGGAGAAGGGCAGCAGTGGAATTAAAGATACAAATGAAACCACATGGTCCTGAAAAAAAAACATTCAAGCACATTGGAGTAGTAATGAAGTGAACTGAAGTTAGTTTAACTAAGTTACTGTAATTGTCACAGTAGATCTATTTACTGTCCATAAAAGGTACTTGATTATTACCGTGACCCTCACCAGGAAAAGCGGAGTGAAAATGGATGGACGGTACTTGATAATAATTGAATGTTGAACATGTGTCCTTTGGAAGACAATTTTGATTAAAACAAAACATGCTGTTTTATCATTTAGATATAGACAATGGTCCAGAACGTCTGAGACGCCAACTACAGTAATTGGAGCTGACAATGTAAATGGCATAAATAAGATGGCAGGTTAATGCATTGTGTCAACTAAAAATCTATCATCAAGAACAGAATTTTTTGGTTTGCAATAGTGGAGGGTCAGTGTTTTGATTTATTATTCAATTTATTGATTTTATCTAGATATAGATTTATTCAAAGAGGCATTTTCCAGAATCTCCTACTGAAGATGTATCCATGTCATCGTGCAGGAGCTCTGGGGGAGGAGGCAGTGGTTTTATGAATCTTGTTGCGAGAATCTTTTTGCCTTCTTCATTTACAACAGTAGTTACAACCCTCCTCTCAGGGTTGGCAGCCTTGCATTGTTTCTCAAATGCATACACCATCTCTAATAGCTTTCTATCTTCACTTGTAGGAAACTGTTCAACAACAGAAGAAGAAAAATAGTAAAAACTGCAGAAATAAAGGAAACATTTTGTGAAGTGAGCTTAAAATTGAGCAACTTACCAACCACAGGGGTTTTTGTTCACAGTCCTACAAGAAATAATACATTGAAAAAAGTTGACATATAAAAATGTCTTAATTCTATAATTTATTTTTCAACATATTTGTTTAACGCTTAATATATACTAAGCATCAAAATAAACATTTCACTTACAGCTGCGATAAATTATGTATCTGAAAAATTGGCAAAGTGGCAGGTATACTTAAAGTGGATAGATATTGTAAAGAACAGACACTACAGAGGTAAGTTCATTATCTTGATTAATGCTTAACACAGACTAGGCTTATCATCAGAAACATGTTGTGAAACATGAACAGGATGTAGAATGTAGCATTGGAAGTACAACAAGCTGCACGTCGGTGACTCTTGCTTTGCACCAGGTTGCAGATGCTGTTTTGTGAGGTGTCTGTAGCTGGACAAACATGTGCCTGCTCACCAGGCTAACTAGCTCTAAATGCCACACTTGATACTAGCCCATTCTGCAAATGTTCAATATCTGGCAAAGAGGGCAGCCATGGCACACTGTCACATTCTTGTCTTGCCAGAGAGGCTTGAGCAGAGTGAGAGTGTGAGCTGTCCTGTTGGAATGCTGTCATGTCATGACGAACCCACAGGAAGAGCAGTATGTCAGGTCTTGATCAATGAGGCACCATGAAGTCAATCTGCCATTACAAGTGGAGTTGTGTAGACTTGACACTGACCAGAATAGCACACCCAGACTTCCCCATTGACTGGCCTGTTGTTCATAATAATTAGAATAACATTCTGCACATCTGCGTCACAGAATTGTCTACACAACACCTTGACTCATTGTTAAAGAGCACTTGGCTTCACTGCTGATAAGTCCAGCTAAAGTTTTACTCTCAACACCTCATTCTGTTAAACCAATGAAAACCAGTGTACACTGATGTCCCTGTGTGGTTCACTGGCCCTGGTAAAATGACTATAAACAGTAGCTTCCTATTCACATTTGAACAGGTGACTTGAGGATTTTTGCAACCTAGCATTTCTGATGCTAACAACAGATCACATACAGTAGTTACACAGATAACACTGAATTCATAACAATAAATTAATAAACATACATCAATCTATTGTCTATTAAAAAGTTAACTGCAATACTTAAGGTACCTTTCCTGTAGCATCTTCTTTTACAGAAACTGGAGGATCGAGTGTAACAAAAACTGACAAAAAGCAAGATTCATTTTCACTTCCTCTCATGTCAGGGAAGTTTTCTTCCGTACTCCATGTGTATCCCAGCAGGACTGGTGGAGTACTGATACGTAAGATGTTATTCACCTATGGAGAACAATAAAAGCCTGTTTGGAAATCTAGGATGTTTGTGATACATACCAGGATTACATCAGTTGTTATCCGTTACCTTTGATTGCTGAAGTATAGATGTAAAGGGTAGAACAACACATCCCAGCCACTGCTTTCCAGAATAGGTTTGAAGGCTACAGCCTTTAAGGGTGTTGCTCTGTTAACCACAAGGTAATGAATAAACTAGATATTGTATTTCACTTATCACAACAAGAAATGACAAATATAATAATATTATATTATACTGTATATACAGTAATATACATATAATGTACAGTGAAATACACTTAGCAATACACTTTTGTTTCACAATTGTAAATTACAAAGATTCTGTTTTTATCATAGGTGATACAAAACACCACATTTAATATTTTATGAATAATACTAAAATATAAAAGTATATTTCAGTTATATTTCAGACACGTTCTATTATTTTTTAATAAAATAATGGAATTCTTCATTATTTCAAACATACCTCCTTTACCTCTAAAGATATTTCATCAAAAACATTAATAATTATATTATCCTTTATTTTTGATAAACTTGAAAGCCTGTAATCGCCTCCAACTGACCTGAAATGAAACAAAAACAACTGTACTTAGTTAAATTATTAACATATTTTCAAGTTAAGACAGAGTGCTTCTTTAAGCTTTTGAGACATTTAAACAGTCACTATTAAAATAAAAACATACTTGAAATCCAGGAAAAAGTCTTCATTCCAGTATGGGTTTGGCCCATTTGCTGTGATAGTTTCATGAACAGACTCCTGAAATGTAATTTCAGCAGATGGTCTCACCTGAACCTGTGTTAAGAAAAAAGATGTTCACCATTTTTTTCTTTTACATTACATCCTAAACTGGGTGCCAAGGTGGATTATAGTTCTGGATCCTGTGTTCAGTTCTGGACTGGTGTGCCTTTTGTGTTGAGTTTGCATATTCTACCCTTGCCTGTGGAGGCTTTGCTCATGGTTATCTGTATTCCTTGCAAAGTCCAAAGACGTTCCAAGTTACTGGTGCCTCAAATACATGTGTAAGCACATGAAATGCATGTGTTTGTTTGTGCCTAGTGACAGACTACTGGCACCCCCTTCAGGGTGTAATTCTGCCGTGTACTGTGCCTACTGGGTTAGGCTCTGCCACACTGTACCCCTCTAAGGATAAAACAGCAACTGAAAATTGATGGAATTTGTTCCTAAATAGTATTGCCCACCCCCTTCAAAATCACCTCAACACTGCAACCCAGCCAAAGTCAGGAGGAGTGAAACTTGTTATTTGGATATTCTGAAATGTAGTCAATACCCACCTGCTCAGAATTGACCTGACTCTCTATGATTCATCCCCACATCTGTTATGATTGCTATATATTAGAGTTATTATTATATTGTTATTAGAGTTGAGATGAGATTCATTTGTTAGGAGACTTGTAGTTACACTGTAGTTTCAATTGACTAGCTATTTCAATTTGTTTGGAGCTTCATTCACTGCTTTTTTCATCTTTAGAGATTAATTATTTACAATAAAATGTAACAAAATTTAAATATTACTCATTCATGTATAACTATGCTTTTATATTATTTTACCTTTGGGATTTCAGTCTCTGAAGTGCATTTCTTAAAGAAGTGTCTACTGCTGGATATTCTTGATAGAGAACAAGCTGATCCTTGGAAAATGGGCTGCCTTTGAAAAAGTTTAACACACAGTTTTATTCTTGGACTTCACTGAGTAGGATCTTTTAAAATAATAACTTAAATCTCGATTTTATAGATCAGTCTTTTTTGTCTTCATTATTTATACTTCACTGATACTTCCTTACATTTCATACTCCAAACCTCAGTTCTAACTTTCCACAAAAAAGGAATTAGTCATTCTTCAGTATTTAGAAAATCTACACTTCTTGTTTTATGTTTTTATAGTTACATGTAAATTAAGCATCAATGATGAATACAAAATATGTATGATTATACTGTTTAGTGCATGGTAATAAACTGAAAGCTTTTACATGGTATGAATAAGTAATTAACTACGCGCCAATATATTAAAATTAGTATAATTGTTAAAAAACTGGCTGTAAATGGTTTTGTAAATTCTAATTAAATTGCTATTGTAAAATGGTGTAGGTAATTAATATTGCCAGCAGCCATATTGCTCTGCAACTCACAACTGGCAACCCACTGAAGCTAAAAAACTAAGGTTTCTGCTGGAAGAGGTGTTAGTGGGGCCAACAGGGGGCGCTCACCCTGTGGTCCATGTGGGTCCTAATACCCCAGTATAGTTACCGGGACACTATACCGTAAACAGGTGCTGTCCTTCGGATGAGATGTAAAACCGAGGTCCTGACTCTCTGTGGTCATTAAAAATTCCAGAGTCCTGGCCAAATTTCCAAGGCCCAATTTCCTGGCCCTTACCAATCATGGCCTCCTAATAATCCCCATCTATGAATTGGCTTCATTACTCTGCTCTCCTCCCCACTAATAGCTGATGTGTGGTGAGCATTCTGGCGTACTATAACTAGCGTTGCATCATCCAGGTGGGTGCTGCACATTGGTGGTGGTGGAGGGGTACCTTTACCTGTAAATCGCTTTGACTGGAGTCCCCAGAAAAGCGCTATATAAGTGTAAGCAATTATTATTATTAATATTTAAGACTCATTCAACTTGAATTATAATGATTTCATAATTACTATTGTATTTCTCCTGTTTACATTGAAAGTATAATGTTTACAGTAAGGTTTATAGCTTGTAATATCTATTTAAAGTTACATTTCTTTGTGCGTCTGTGTGTGCCCTGCGATGGAGTGGTGTTCTGTCCAGGCTGTACCCTGCCTTGCGCCGGCCAGCCTCCGGTTGTGCCGCGACCGTGAATCAGAGTAGGCAGAAATTTATGGAAGAGTCACGTTTTTGCTTTATCTCACATTTTCCAGATTCCTTAGTAATAGATAGAAATAACGCTGCTGCATAATCGAGATTAAAGCAGAGTAATCTTAGTTTAGAGGCTGCAATATTCTGTTAACAAATTCTTTTTACAGACCGCATAATATAGCATTTCATCTGATCTCATTTTCTCCTGGTGAGGGTCATGGTGGCAAGAGGCTCAGCAGGGAAAACCTGACATCCCTGTTAATATGTTATGTTAATAGAACATTAATAGAATTAGTAATCTTGTGTTGATAACCTAGTAGGAAAGGAGTGGTGGCATAATTATTAAATCACATTGCTCTAGTATGAATACTTTTTTAATGAGTACTTCAGTATTAAATACTTTGTTATCTGTTTCTAAAGTGTCATTTGCAACCCATAAAATAAAATGTTACCAGAACAGGCTACCTGAGCAGGCTACCTGAGCAGTGTCTGTTTGCGCACTGGGATATTCTGTGCGCTCCGCAGGCCGACATGAATCTTGAGATCTCCATCTCTCAGAGTATGCGCAGGTATGCTTTTCCTGTTTTCTCTCCTTGGCTTTAAGGGATGCGCTCTCTTGAACATATTGAAATTTAGTTCCCTTAAGAATTTCAAAGAGATTAAAAATGATTCGTTTTATATTAAAACTTGCAAATCCACATTTAAAGGTTTAGAAAGAAGGATTAAGACTTAAAAGTCATATTCATACTCACACAATGTTTTCAGCATCTTGATATTCTGTGACAATGTCTGATAGTTTATATCTTTTCTTGACCCTAGCCAATCTTTTTCTTGTTTGTTTCAGCACCTTTTCAACAAATTTAATAAAATTAGTAACTAAATGAAGATGTGAAAATAAAAATAGAAAACAATTATGGATAAGATTATTGTTCTCATAAACAAAAGTGTTTGTTGTATATTTAAGGTTTGAAAAATAAAAACATCTATTACTCGTTAATAATTTCGAAACAAGTGAGTTTCCATGCCCTTACCCAAAAAACGCTTTTCTCAAAATATCAAAATATTAGCAAAATAGAACAAGATTATATCATCTTGAAGGCAAAAGTTAATCCATGAAAAATCTGATTATGTTTCTGCTATGAAACTTGGTGTTGTTCCATTGTACATATTTATGTCATTAGTTAATAGAACTGCTTAATTTTTTAAAGTGCATTAAATTGTGCAATAACATCTATATTGATGCTACAATAAAGAATTAATACAACCTTTTTCACATAATTAAAAGAATGCATTCTTTGAGCTGTAATTGGGTCTTCATCACAAGTAGTTGCAGTCTGGTGGGATATCTCACAATCCTGTTGATAAATAAAGCACATTTTTAATTAAATGAGATGAGTGCAACATTTATGCAAAGTACACAGCTTTTCATGGCAAAATAAGGGCTCTCAGAAGGGATTTGAAAACAGTAAGATCATGATCGACTGATATCGACTGTATCGTCAATTGTATTGTTAAGCGCCTTGAGGCAACCTTGTTGTGAAAGGTGCTATATAAAAATAAATTGAATTGAATTGAATATGTACTCTTTAGCAAGTTTATTTTTGGTAACTTTTAAAAGTAAAAAAAATAGTAATAATAATTAATACTCATCATTATTCCTTGCACTTTATTAGCTCTTCTAATCCCAAGAATAAAGAATCCCAAAGCTATTCACGCACAGTGCAGGGAAAAAGATAGTGATAGCGTGTAATATAAATAGAGAAGAACTTGAATTTTTTTTTATCAGGACACCCTTGTTTAATCAAAAAGTCTCAAATAACCAAATAGGTTACAAAAAGTGAGAAATTGCAGGGTGAGATATGGAGGTCAGACTGTGGCATTTTAAGATGGAACTTAACCAGGACACCAGGGTAACAACTACAGTACTTTTTGTGCTATGAGACCTTTAATGATGAGCCAGATCAGTAATAAGAAACCAGGATCTCAGTATAATGTCTTATATAAAGGAGGACACCACCTATAAAATACACTTGTTCGTTTTTGCTGAAGTTTAACCCACTCTGAATTAAAAGTGCAAGGGAGGTTTATACATTACCTCAAACATTGAATCCGAAATGTCTCCATCATGAAGTGGCACCTGTTTGAGGCCAGAGAATTCAAAAACATCTAAATTCCTCAATTCCAGAAGACGGAAGCGTTTGGACTCTCGTAACTGCTCATCTGTCACAAAGCTGAATTCTTCCTGAAGAGATCCTAGCCGAAAATAATCTGGAGCAGGATGACTGTCTCCAGTGGATTGCTAATGATAAAAAAACAAACGGTCAAATCAGCGTGAAAAAAATATGCTGTAAAAATGTATTTAAAAAATAACTTAATACCCATTTTTTATATATATATATGATGAATATGCAAGACGTAATATATACAGTATATACATTTGTATTTATAAAGACACAACTCATTGTTTGTGATTGTAATTTTGCATTTTGTATGGAACCCCTGAAAAAAGAAATCACTAGCCTTAATAAGTTCTGTCAGTTCCACATTTGTAGGATCGTTTGGATCAAAGTAAAAATGTTTAATTGATTCTAAGAGGTTTCCTTTATTGCTACGCCAAGTCTTCTGTGTTGCACTCAGTCTGCAAGTAAAAGAATAGGATGTTGAGAACAGACAAACCAGTATGCATGTAAGACTATATAGTATATTGTTAAAAGGTATAAAAATACTAGTGATTACATGTGTTTGATAGTTGAATTAAATGAATAGCTTACTGTTTAAAAATAACATCTGTCTGGGGCATTGATGGTGCCATAGGAAAGCCGTCCTTATCTACAGCCCATGACAAAGAATAAAGCAGTTTCCCAGAAGTAAGTAAACAAATCTTTGCTGGTTCTCGCTTATCCAAATGGAAGAGTACATCTGAAAGGTTCACAAATTATCAATGAGAAAGACACAATGTACAATTGGTGCCAAGCATCATTAAAGGTAGCCTTTGAGAAAGTATACCATAATGAATCTGTGTGGTAATGTTGAAGTTTTTCGAGGGTTTTACAGTTGTTATATCACAATTTGTGTTGCTGCAGTAAAGTTCAATATGGTTAAACAAATCACATTCATGATTTCACTATGCTCTATTAAACAATCCACTTTACAACTGAGAGGAATGAGAGATTAAATTTTAAATTTTAAAAGAAATTGGGGCTCTTTAGTGGAAGTGGGTGCTGAATACTAAAGGACTAAAGCAAAATGAAAAGTATAAATACCTCCTACCTCATACCAGCTTAGACTGGTACTTACAGTAGGTACAAAGTTCAACTGAAATGTAAAAAAGGTACAGATGGTACAGAGGTTGAGGCTTATTACACAACACTGATGAAGTGACTTACTGCTTCCCACTCCTTCGTGCTGAGGTGCAACGATCCGGTCACTGCTAAATTCAGAGCATTCAGGTTTAGCATTGCTTGACAGCAAATTTCTGTCTGGAAATGGCACATAGATATTAGCCAGAACATTGGTGTCTTTATGTGTAAACTCGGAAACCTGTAGTAACAAAATAACATTTAAGAAGTTAAATTTAAAAAAAAATGTTAACTCATATTTCAAAATGAAAGGCATGAGACAGAGTACCATATCCTATCGTGTTAAACAATATTTAAAAATGGATGTATACTGAAAAAGTGTCCTCTTCTCAAACAGACAGCAAAACTATTAAGACAGACACTGAACAAACTACCCTAATGAAATGGTTTATTCTACTTAATTACAGGCAAATTTTAAAATATAAAACAGTTCCATGTTCAATATGCAGTGAAGAAATTTTGCATTGAGAATGTAAAAAAATAAAAAGACATGTAACGTTAACTAAACATTTACCTCCAACCTTAGGTATTCTGGACAGTTTATTATTAGAATACTAAAAATCTGCTGAAAGTCAACCCTGAAATCATTATTGAGGTTGATTTTCTTGGAGGAAGAAACATGCTTTTCATTGCAAAATATATTTACAATGAGCTTGTGCTTTTGTACATCCCATCTTCTCTTCTGCTCATCACTAAAAAAAAACAGGACAATTTATATTTGACTTGGTAGAAATGTATGCTAATTCCTCATTAATTAGTAATAAAAACTATGCATACATACTTAAATATTTCAGATGATAATCTTCTTTCAAAATGTATAATCTGATTTATCTAGTCAAATCTGCATTTTGTTAAAGCTATACACTTTATTGTCCCCACCACTATACTGGGGCATTAGGACCCACACAGACCACAGGGTGAGCACCCCCCTGCCAGTCTTACTAACACCACTTCCAGCAGTAACCATAGCTTCCCAGGGGGGTCTCCCATCCAGGTCCTAACCAGGCTCACACCTGCTTAGCTTCAATGGGTAGCCAGTTGAAAGCTGCAGGGTGATATGGCTGCTGGCTATGTAGAAAAAGCAAAAATATTAAATAGATTAATGCAATGGGTTAAAGAACAAATTCCCATGCAGAATAAATTTTCCGTGGACATTGAAATTACCAACTAAAAAAAACAGCTGAAGATCAGTTAACTGTAAAGTAAAACCAAGCTAATAGCATCAATGTTTCTCTTACTGTGGACAGAGTTGCATTGGAGTGACTACTTCATTCATCGTAAGCACTGGAACTAAGATAGGCTCTCTTGGTCTTTGCCACTTCTCTGAAACTCTCTCTTTTTGTATGTTTTGAAAAGTTGCAGCTTGATATGGGGTTTCACAATCTTCAAGTTTTTTAAGATCCTCACAGGTATACACTTGTGAGATTTCTATCTCTTGGTCACAGTTCCTGGATTTCTGCAAAATTAACAAAAACAGAAGAATTCAGAGGCTGCTGTGCTTATTTAGTTAATTTGGTTACTAGTAGATAAATGATCTATGGATCTCATCCTCAGACATTCTTCTTGGTATTGATTAGCACCTGCATTTTTCTTTACACTATATGCTACATCCAACAACAAAAATAAAAATATATAAAATTAAAACATTTTAACATATACCTGTCCCACTACCTTTAAATTGCCTGTTTCTTTAGGGTGATATCCATTGTTCGGTGAAGAATCTGTCCCTTGTTCTAATTCTCTCCTGATTTAAATAAATGAATAAACAAATAGAAACGTTCAGAAAGGAACCCAAATCTGAAATGAGGCAGAGGCTGAGGTTTAAACAAAAGTAATAAAAAAGGTAAGTCCTTGTCCATTGTCTCTCATACAATCAAAACCGTTATCTGCCCATTAACTGCAAATCATAAGCCCAGTGTTAAAAGTTGGTTTCCGTAGTGTATTAACAAGAATCTTTTGAAAAATAAAAAGCCACTAACAGATTTGTTATTTGCAACTGGCAGACAGGTTCAAGTAGTGATTTACCAAGGCAAGGTTTAAAAAAGATCCTGGCTGGACACTACAGTACATTAACAGTGCACTGAGAGAAAGGGGTTAATACAGACTCATTGACTGATTAGACATTACAGCACATTACACTGCACTGAGAGAGGAATTCATACAGCTACACTAACTGAACACTACTTGCAGAAAGTTATTAGCATTGCAATTTAATTTAAACAAAAATAGTTTGTTTATTTTTGTCACCTGTTATTAAAAGATTTAGCATTTACCTTTGTACTTGTAATTTTACTTTTGTACTGACATATTTATTAAATCTTCTCAGAGACTTGATGTGATTCCAGGTGAGTATAATATTCTTCATCAGTAAGAGATCTGTCTGTCTCTCCTTATCATACATCTTTTGTGTTTCTCTGAAACCCAATTGAACGACCATTAGAAAAAGCATTTTAAGTATCCCAGATAATGCTTTTGCATATTTTTTAAGTAACAGAATACACTACCTTACTTGCTGCTCCAAAGATTTTATTTTTTTCACAAATGCAGAACTTTCTTTCACATTCATTCTCAAGTTTCTTTCAGCATGCCTTAAAGCTTGTAGCTATAAGCAATAATGCAGAAGTAAAGGCAAAATGATAAAGTGGTCATCCTTTGGACTTTGAACATTACAGGTGCAAAACAATGCAATTTTATTGTAATACTCTACTCCTAAATATACAAGGTACTGTCCTATTACAGCTTAGTCATAATATAACTATTATGAATCTAATAATTAAAACTGTAATTACAATTTAAATACATTTACCAAATTACATTATTATCGTCAAAAAACAATTGTAAAGTATGTAGAATGCTAAAACACAGTTTAGTTGGACAACGCATTTTGAGTACAGAACATGAGTGGCACAGTGGTACAGTAGTTATCATTGCTGTTTGTACTGCTGAGATTCTGGGTTTTGTTCTGCATCTGGTGTCCTGTCTGCATTGAATCTAAATGTTCCCCCTGTGTTCTAACAGAAGGGTTTCCTCGAGGAGCTCTGGTTTCATCCCACAGTCCAAAGACATACTAATAGGTTAATTGACTTCTGGAAGAATTGGCACTATGTGTGAGTGTGTGCATGTCTGCCTCGCAATTAAATGGCTTTGCATCCCATTTTCTGGCCTTCCTGTGAACCATGAATTGGATCAAGCAGTTAGAAAATGGATGAATGGAACATTGAAATTACCTTTTCAGACATTAGGACAGTCACATTCCTTTGCTCTCTGCTTTGATAGCTGTCATAAAGCTGAATTAGCTTGGAAGCAAGCACATGCTCTGGACTGAATAGAGGATGATGTGTAAAAATCAAGCTTGAAATATTTAGATCCAGCTGGCACACTTGACCACACATTTCAGAAAATAACATTACAGAATGCTCTGGTTTGTTTACCCTTGCCTGCATTGAGAAAATAATATTTCAGAAACAAAGTTCCTCACTGAGGAAGAAACAAGAAACAGTTAAAGAAAATATATAATGGGATGCAATTCAATATAGCTTCATATTTGGTTAAAATTGCATATAAAAGGTTTTTGAAGAATCCAGTAATCATACATAATCACACTGAAGGTGTTACATCATGATTGAGCTATCTTACTGTTCTTCCAGTGTCATGAGTGTCAAGTGTCAATGTATATATAACTGATAATGAGTGTCAAGTGTCAGTGTCACTATCATCTGTCTCAATAAAGTTTTTTCCTAAATGCAATCAACAATTTACAATCGCAAACATGCAGTTACAGTATTTTATATGGAATGTCCAATCAAATACAGTTACAGACTATTGTTCTTGTACGTAGAAAAAACAGAAAACTTACTTTAACATACTCAGCTTTCAAAGCAAGATCATCATTCAGGAAAGGGAAATCCAGTTTATGATTCCAAGAATGTCTTACTGGATCTGGCAATGCAATCATATTGCCATCTTCGCCAAACCAGTGTTTTCCCTATGAAAAAAATAACTTAAATATGTACTCTATCTTCCAGCTTCACTGTAGTATATAGAATAGGGAACCTAATCATAAAAAACACCTGAAATGCTTTATTTACTGCTCAGATTTTGTTTTTGTTCAATTCGACATTCATGAGGTGGTACTTGATTAAGCCTAGAAAGTCATCCTGAGTCTTTTAATTCATCTGTGAAAACAATATATATTTTCCTATCTTTCCAGTGCAGTTTTTTTTTCAATGTTTCAGTTATATATACTGTACAAGCAGAGAAAATGCTTCTAGAACTGTTGTTAATATTTTTCAAAGTGCTGCTTGGGTCATGGGTTCTATTCCAGACTGAGATGCCTTCTGTGTGCAGTTTGCTTGTTCTGCTGTGTTTTCATGGGTTATGGCTAAGTCCTTTGGTTTGATCCCACCTTCCAAAGACCATTCACTGTGTAGTCCTTCCCAGCCCCCTGTGCTTCCAGGATAGACTCCACTCTGACCCTTATCAGAAGTAAGAAGCGTTCTGGTAATGGATTATAAATAATTGTTTTTCATGTATACCCTTTTTCCTCCCCTTGAAAGGCTCCCCTTGATCCTCCCTGCCAGGACACTCAATCTTGGCATCCTGAAGGAGCCACAGAACCTGACAGAAGAGTTCAAACAGACTGGAGAAGCACTCAGTTGCTACACACCACTGCAAGACTGCAGGGACCCAGAAATCTGCAAGATTTTGCTTGAAGCCAAGTGATCCCTGGCTGCTAGTCCAACACTACCCCTTGGGAACTCAAGTGTCCCGTTAGACTTTATTTGTAAATTACATATAAATGTATACAACTGAGCCCTAGGGAAGAAATACTCTTGATATTTGCATTTAAAGTCTTTTTTGTAATAGGACAGTAAAAAGAAAGTATTAGTTCTGATTAGAAAGATAAGCTACACATTTCTAAGATAAAATGAACATTAACACTCAGTATTCACTGTGTTTAAGTATATGAGTCAAAAGCTCTGTATGACATGCAGACAATGCAAATATCCAAAAGGCTATTTAAATATTTTGATAGAGTGTAATCAGCAGACCTTGAACCATCATGTATCATGTTAAAAAAAAAACTTTACCTCTTTAAGAAGCCGATTCTCCATCCTGTTCATTTGTTTTTTTGATACATGGGGTCTTTCACGGACATACAGTCCTTCCTCCTCCAGAACACGTTTGTTCATCTTTGCTGGTAATTTTGCACTGCAACTAACTAAACACCGTCTGATATGTTTTTTTCACACAAATATTATTCGATAAATGAATAGTTATTTCACTATCTAAATTCAGTTTTTAACAAAAAATACTATATTCTCCAGACATCTGTTTTTCAGAGACAGGTGAGTACTGTATATAAGGTATCGCTTTTTTCATTTTTACATTAGAATTTCTTATCAACATACATTATGATATTTTTAGCCTTCCAATTGGCATGTCAAGCATTTTTTAAATCTAGTCATATGCTACAATGTACAAAATCCTATCAAGCCAAAAAACATTTTCCAACAGTGTTATACCGAGTTACAGTTACAATCAACAAATCTAATGATTTAACATGATTCGCCAAAAATAAAAAATCTTTTCAATATCGTACCAGGTGAATCACTAGGCACAAAGACACAGGACAGACCAGCTGTATCATCTGCCATTTGGATAGGCAACAGGAACTCATGAAGATCATCCTTCTCAACAAAGGGAATTGAGTCTTCTGATATCTTGTGGTGAGTTCTTATCTTTGTAAAAAATATAGCATTGATGACTTTGTATTAATTGTCAAGCATATGAATTCATTGATTGACTGATTACATTTACAACAATTACATTTAACCAGATGTCAGAACTGACTTAATTTAATTTAAAGCATCATAATAAAATTAATTCTGTCATTTGAAATGATGTGTGCCTAAATAGTAAAAAGGCATCAATAACAGGCATTGACTACATTACACTTTAAAAAATACTGTTTGTGACATCAGAAATCAAGATTGACTTAATGGCACTGTGAAATATGCAATAATAATTAAGCAGCACTAAAAGGTTAGGATTTTAAACTGAACATACTAACTAATAATGAAGAAAGGCCAACAGCTGGGAATCCATGTGAAATCTCATCAAAATTACAGGAAAAGAAAAAATAATCTTCATTTCTTAAAGTAATGACTGAGAATGAAAAAGAAAGTAACGATTGGTTTAAATCCTAATTTTAAAGTATGTTATATTGACATTAATTACAGGGATAGTTATCTGTGATTACAAGGGAAATTAACAATATAAACATTTTCATTCATTAAAATATTTTAAAATTAAAACTTCAGTGAAATATTTAATGCAATGCATTTTTTTACATAGAGCCAAATGAGGCAGTGAGAAATCTTCATTCTAATATTTTTTTATCTTTACGATATGTGTAGTCCATTCTATTTAAGACCTAACATGTTTATGTCATCTCAAACTGTCGTGAATGACATTTCTTTGGAAATATAAATTTTTCTTCAAACAATATCCAAGGTAACTTTTTTTTTTACATATTGAGACCAAACTTGAAAGCAACATGCTAAAGAAGATGTTGCTGGTGCATTGTATGATCTTAAGATAGCATCCCATGATTTAAATAACATGCTTTACACCAGGGGTGTATCCAGTCTTGGTTTATTTTCTGCTAAGACTACCTGCTTCTTCAGGAATCCTTCACTCAGCTACCCTGCTGCCTACCATCTGAAAGTGCTGCCTGCTTCTTGAGGCAGCCTCTGCTCTGCTTCTCTACAGTGTTGTTCCTTTGCCACCTCTCATCTTCTCTCAGATATTCTAGCCTGCCTGATACACTTCTCCAGTCTGTCTTCTGTGTTGCACTGCTATCTCAGCATTCTGAGAACTTCTAGAGACTCATAGAGTTCTAGGCTTGCATTTTGCCTTGACAGATAAACACGGCACTGCTCTGCATGTCCACGGATTAACAATCTAAGCATACTAATGGCCCTTTTAATTGCTTCCATTATTTGTTTTGATAAGCACAAAGTAAAATCATGTTGAGCACCAGATATTCCATAGCTTTCTTCTTTCACTACAGTCATTCCTATCTCTCTCAAAAGTTTCACTAGGCCATATCTCTCTAGATAAAACTAGCTTTGCAATGAGAGCTGATCATTTTGGTGTTCCCCAGGGCTCTATCTAGGGACCCTGGCAGTTGGTTGTACATATCACCACTTGGTGACATCAATTAAATACAAACTCAGCTTTCATTCTTTGCTAATGAGACTCTATGCATTTTAGACCCATCTGACACAGAGTTGCTTGTCTTCACAGAAGATTTAACTGGAATCAAGTCAGTTCTGACATCTGGTTAAACTTAAAACTGGAAATAGAGATTCAGTAGCTCAGATTCAGATTTAAATTTAGTAGATCTAAGTGTTATTTATTACCATAATGTAATCAAATTTGCATAACCTTTGAAGACAATTCCATTCTCCTGTGTTAAGAATTTGTGTGCCATTTTTTACTCTGAGCCTTCTTTTTATTTAAATATTAAGTCTGTAATAATTCTAGTTCTTGCTTGTACTCGGTTCTCATAAACACTTTTTATTTTACATCTTAGTTTATGAGTTAATCTTTCATTTGAAGCTTTACAAAATATTTTCTGGAAATCTAAATACAGTATATCATGTCAAATATTGTATTTATTACTGATGCTTACACTTAGAAAGGTTACAAGTTAATTAAAAAGACTTTTCCAAAAGTCATGCTATCTCCTAGAATGATAAATGGATGTATCATTCTTTTCAAAGAATGGAGAGGAACCTGTCTTAAATGTCTACTGGACGATGCCAGCTAGTGGTTTATGAATAACAATCCTTATTTCTTTGAGTGCAATCTTTGTGATTGATAAAAGCATTTCTAGACTTTATTATTCTTCAGCCACTCTTATGCTAAAATTATTCAAACAATATTCAGAAGTTGACTTACATTTTTACCCTCCATTTTAACTCTTGGTCTGTGTCTCAAGGCTGCCTTTATCTTTGTCTAAGGGAAGCGTCATGTATATCTAAAGAATACAACACAACATAAATTTAATAAAGTAGAATACATATAAATATCCCTTTCAATGAACAGATTTAAGTTGACACTCATTACAACTACTACGCCAAGATTTATTTACTATTTCAATATAAATTTTCCTGAGTGAAAAATGAATCTCCATTTGAGCAGAAACTTTTTTTAATATTCAGAATTATGTTTTACAAATAATGAATTTTTTGGAAGTAAAGGACTTAATGTGAATACATTGACTGTATGTGAAAACCACAATTAACTGTCAATATTTTATTAATACGTTCATGTAAGGCCTTCTTCTGGGTACTTTTGATTATATCATTTTTCCATCTGTCCATTTCACAACCTATTCTTCTAATCCATGTTATATGAGCTGTAAAATATCAGCAATTTGTTATTAAAGGCAACTTTCCCATTTTAGTCTGCATGGCAACTGAAACGGGGAAAACTTCGTTTTCGTCATAACATTTTTGTGAGAAACTACAGAAGCGTGATAGAATGTGGTATATAAAAATCAAACTCGACTGCCCCCTGATGGTGTATATGAAAATAAAAACAATTCGTATTGTATTTTATTACATGGATTGACCAACAGTACACTGAAAAGAAATAAAAAAATATGTTATACTTACTCTGAGTTAATTATTTCAGTGCTGAGAAAGGAAAGTTATTGAGTAGCACATTTTCCAGCTAATATCTGATTCAAATAATGCACGAGAGGGTTCGTTTCCAACGAATTACAGAATAACGTTATTATTGTAGTTGCCACGTAGTTTAGTAAGATAATTTTAAGGTCATATTTAGTTCCAAACGGTTTGAAGGAGCATAATAAATGTTTAAGGGAATTACTGTATTTCAAAAGGAATACGAAATACTTTTATTCGGTGAATTTGAGCTGCTTAAGGTATTGTATATGCACGGGGCCAGATAATAATTTCATGGGGGTACATGTCAGGAATTTTGCTAACAAGAAAAACATTAACAGAGATAAAGATGCATGGTTTTACAGAAATACCTATCCCTCTAGTAAGCTGTAATTCAAGTAATATCACAACAGCTTCGTATGAATTTGATTTGAACTGACCATTTGTCATCATAACGAAACAACGGGAAGAATTAATAAATCTATAATGCATCAAAATGAACATATTACATAATTATATAAATACAGTAATGATAAATCAATGTAATATGCCCTCATTGAGCCTGGGCGTTTATATAGATGATGTAAGTTATTGCTTCCATATATATAAAGTCATAGGGACCTTTATCAATAACAAAGGTCTGTTATTGGCGATTCAGTAATTTACTGGCGATGCAGGTCGTATTTGTTAGTAATGCAATCTTTTGGGTTGCAATCTGTTGCATCAAGGACCTGATCTGCATTTGTTAACAACAATACAGTGCTGGGTTCCTGGCTGAAAACAGTTAATTCTACAAGAAGCTGGAGTGCGCGATGTGACATGGTATTTCTAAGTGTTGTAACTGCGATATGATCTGAAGGGACGTAGAAAACATTATGAAACTAGTCTAAAGGGCTCTTGAAAAAAACACAAAGAATAGTCATGTGATTAAACAATACTTTTTTTAATCACTGAATGCACCACTAACAGTGTAAAGAGCAGTGAAGGGAAGGCAAACTAAAGTTCACTTTTATGTTCTGAATTATTTTCTTGAACTCACAGTATTTCATTAGTATGAAGTTTATAGGTACCCGTAATTGTGTGTAAGATTAGATATAAGCAACCAAAACAAAAAATAAAAACTTTATAAAAAGCTGAGAAATTAATGCCAAGCTGGTCTCCTTGTCCGCTATTCCTTCCACTAGAAAACACGCCCCCGGCATGATGTGTAACTGAGAGGGTGGGGTCAGAGTTGACAGAGGCGGGGTTTATTTCTTTCGGTTTCCTGCCCTGGTCTCTTCCTGCTACTCGCTTACCTGTAAAACGTGCCCTGTGATTGGCCATCCGTAGTTCATGTAACCAATCACGCTCCGGCTACCATGGAGGAAGGAATAAATGCAAGATGGCTCCTCATATAAAACCAGACTCCTGGGTTCTCTTTAGTGAACAACAAAATTATTGTTTATTCCTTATTCGAATAAAATACCTTTCCGGATGCAGTTCAGCGGGATAATCTAAGCTTTAAGACTAATATAAATGTATTGTAAGGCGTTACGTTATAGTGCGAGGCAATCTGGTTAAACGGGGGAGCTTTTATGAAGCTATGAATTAAAAGCACCCTTTCGTCAGTCTGGCTTTGGATGGTGAGCGAAAGAGCTGGGCCTCTCCGAAGCCACCGGATCTTTTGAGATTAGAAAACCAAGGCAATAGGAAATAGATGGTTTATTTTTGTGGGTAGACAGACCACGCAAGATTACAGCTTTGCTCTTAATTCACCAACATGGCCGTATCAAGGTGGGATTGTTTTACATTTTATAAATTGAGTAACAATAGAATGCTCTTGTCGTCAGGCCCAGCTCGACTCCAGTCTTGTTACAAGTACAGTAATTTCGATTTTATTGTGAGTAATTAAACGCCGGTAGGACAAGGGCAGTTTCAGACGCTTTAAAGCCTATAAACATACCCCTTTTATAGGTTGTGTTACATCTGTAGTCAGCCAATCGCTGTAGACAATGAAAACACCATATATGTTTTCTTTTGCCTTCAAATTAGCTGCTTTGCTATAAATTACACAATTTGCGTTACACAGCGGGTGTTTGCTAGTGTTACAGATAAAGTGTTTATTCACTAGACCATGCATAGTATTAATTATGGAGTTTAGGAGATCACAGGAAATGATAGGTCGCTGATTTCGTTTGTCAAATCAAGAAGTCAAATGGGAGCGCTTAATTATCATTATCAATGTTGCAGTTAAAAGTGTCTGTAGAGGGACACATGCGATATTGTCCGAACATAAATCTTAATCTTTGCTATTTATATACGTAAATCTCCAGTCCAAAGCAGATGATAATGCCTGTTGCTCTACTGGCTGCACAGAAACCCCATGCGTGGCTGTGGCTCAAAGCTGCACACAGTACATGCTGAATAAGAGGGGGGGGAGATCGTGTAACACGTTCTTAACAAATGTCAGTCATTATATTTTTTGCGCTGATTAATAAACCACAATTTCACATTTGAAAGAACGAGTTTATATCTTTATGAACGAAGCGATATTTCGATTTAAAGGAAAATTAAGGCGTTCATGACCTATTTATATCATAGGTTCTCTACCCCTGAGACGAATACGGAAATGAAATAGTATCTAACTTTTAATTTAAATGTACAGTAAATGCTTCTGTTTGACAGTAACTTTTTTTTAGTCCAATGTGGGGAATTGTTTGTATTTCTGCGCTAGATGTTTTCTTTTATTATGTTTTTCATTTTCATTATTCGCTTATTGTGTACTTGGCACAGTGGATGGTTGATTCAGAAAGTTTTTTTTTTCCCCCATTTGTACGGGTTGGTTGTATGGGGATATATTTTAAAAACGTGCTTTAAGTTAGTGAAATACACTATATCAATACGGTCCGTTACACAGAATAAAACAGACATGCGGCATTTTAGGTGTGGTGAAATTGCAGGTAACAAAAGGAGCTACTCAGCGAGGAAAAAACGACTGCAAAAAATTCTAATAATAAAAGGACTGCCTAGTGATTAAAAATTCTTTTGTATATAGTATCTTGTTTATCAAAGCATTTCCTGGTGTCACCGGATGGTTTTAAAAGTGCGCATTAATTTTATGTGCGATGTTAAAACTTTGCTCATTGATTATCTACTTTGTGCTGAAGACCTTGGGAAGACCAAAAATATTTAGCCTTGTGGCAGTTTTCTAAGTTATGGCAAACTGAAATAATGGCAACCATGAATAAAATGTTAAGTGTTGTCTCTAGTTATCATGTCGGTAATACTCGTGAAACGAAGTTGACTGGCATTGAGAGGTCTGGCAGAAACTGTCGTTATCAGGTGGTGACAGTACTACCGCTAGCCTGCAAGTTATCAGCTATAAATGCATGAGCAAATTAATTTCTCTTTGTCATTTTTTCACCCACTGAAGATACTGAATACGTTTCTAGCATTTTAGTTTTGTTTAAAGGCAGTACTGATAATCCTCATATTTTTGGTAACATGCAAATAAAAGAAGGCAGAATTTACTTTCTCCATGCCACCTTTAAAGAGCTACAGTGCATTTTGCTGGCTTAGCATGTTGATTACAAAAGAAATATCTTTTGTTAAACAAATGAATGTTGCAAAAACATACTGTAACATTCCAGAACGTAGCATCTGTAGTAGTGTCTTATTAGAATAGATTATGATTCCTTAATGTTGACGAGATCTTCATGAATTCAGGTTTTCTTGGAAGTATGCAAGCAATTCCTGATGAGAATGTGCACTAATGCCCACATCTTTTGCTGTTGCTTTTGCTTTCAGGCTTGACCGTCTGTTCATTTTGTTGGACACTGGGACGACCCCAGTGACAAGGAAAGCAGCGGCACAGCAGCTGGGAGATGTGGTAAAGCTTCACCCACACGAGCTGAATAACCTCTTATCTAAAGTAAGTCTGGTGACCTACTGCATGTAGTTCCTGATCACAGGAAAATCAAGTGAAGGTTCGTTTCTGACTGCACTGCACTCAGGAGTATGACTTTATGGCTGATGTGAGCCTCCAGCCTTGTAGCAGTTAATTTAACTCAAAAGTCCCATTTGAGTACCAGTCTATAAATAGCTCAAGCACTGGGACATGAAGCATTTACTTCAAGATGGAAGCCTTTTTTTCTCCTGTTTTTAAAAACCACTGTAAATAGTGTTCTGTGACCCCGTATCATATAATGCATTTATCTTTTGTGAACTCTGAAGGTTTTAACGTATTTACGAAGTCCTAACTGGGACACACGCATCGCAGCAGGCCAAGCGGTAGAAGCCATTGTGAAAAATGTGCCTGAGTGGAATCCACCTGCGAAGCCCAAGGAAGGTATAATGTGCATCTATCACTTGTCTTCTCTTACTGACTGCTCAGGAGTCCTGCTCAGTATGTGCCAGTGTTGAGTTTTGTAACAGGCAGGTAAATTGGTGTTTAGCGAAGTGTATTTGTGAGGAAGACATGAAATGGAGTAGATTAGAGGGTTTTTGTGTTGGGTTTTCTGGATTTAAGTATAATTGTAGTTTTCAGATCATGAGAAAACTGTTCTGCTAAGCTCTGAACTGTTTTTTTTAACCAGCTCATGTCTATGTGCACCTTTGTTTTTTTAGCATGTTTTTGGTGGAAGTGGGGTTGAAGAAGATTAGAACTTGGCTTGTAGGTTTGCATCATGTATTATGAGATTTATTATTCTGGTGTTGAAGCCTGTCAGGTTGAGTGGTTTTGTTCTGGATAGCTTCGGCCATTGCCATCTGAATTCAGAAGTGACAGGATTGTCACTTCTGTCTGATCTAGAGTCTTGCTCCGACTTTTCCATGGAAGAAACGTCATCAGACCGACTGAGCTTCTGCAGGTTTGACATCTCCCGCCTGCTGAAACATGGAGCATCCCTACTGGGATCTGCTGGTGCAGAGTTTGAAGTCCAGGATGACAAATCGGGTAATCTAGTTGTGAATTCTATACAATTTCATTCCATGTAACTCGGTAGTATTAATTTTGCGATTAGTGAAATCTCCTGTGCATGATGACTGTAATCAAAATCCAGTAGGTAAAATAGTTTATCACCATAAAGTGGCTGTTTGTTGAGTGACTACATTTAAATTACCGAGCCTCACAGAACGTTAGTCTTGTATACCTTTTTTCTGTGCCTGATGTACAGTAACTTTGAAAATTTCATTTTTATCCCGGTTATTAGATGAACAACATTTTCTGTAGTGCATTAATAAATATTAGTTTATGACACTGAATGAATCATTTATGATAGAACAGTATTTTCAGAATAGCTGTTATGTGGAATATCCTGGAAATTTCTCAATCTATATAATTCGAAGATTGAAGTACTAGCCTTAAAAAAACTGCTGTTGTCTTTGATCCCAGAAGGGAGGAAAATACAGCAGTGAATAATGTTGGTTTTAAAGTACCAAAAAAAAAATTAACTTCCTTTAATTTGAAGCAGGCGAGGTTGATCCCAAGGAGAGGCTTGCTCGACAGAGGAAGCTGCTGCAGAAGAAGCTTGGACTCGACATGGGAGCAGCCATTGGCATGGACACGGAAGAGCTGTTCAACGATGAAGACCTGGATTACACTCCATCCTCAGGGCCTGCAGGAAATAAACTCCCTGGAGGAAAAGCCTCTAGTAGCCTTGCCCCACGGAATCATGCAGTAGGTTTGCTTTCACCATCTTTCTTGGAGATTCTGCTCCTTTTTAATGATTAATGTAGAAATGCACATTCTTTGAAATGTACAAGCATATCCAGAGATCTGTGAAACAAATGGATGTCTTTTTGTTTTTAAAGTGCTCTTTAAATATTTTTGGTCTTCTCTTGCACTCACTTTGTCTAACTTTTGTGCGTATCATGTACGTATAATTTTGCACATGACGAAAAGCCAGTGCGTTTTGAAAAAAGCTCAGCTTGTGCTGGTTTTCTAAAAATATGTTCTGTTTTCAGACTATGCAGGCAGCTGAATTAATCGACTCTGAATTTCGGCCAGGAATGAGCAACAGACAGAAGAACAAAGCAAAGAGAATGGCAAAACTGGTTGCCAAGCAGAGATCCAGAGATGTAGAACCTAATGAGAAAAGGTATATTTTACTACAAATTGAATGTAACGTAAACCTACTGCATGATTTGAGTGGGTGAAGTTGAGATGGGCAGTTTGAATAACCAATATCAATTTATGTAGAAGGCAGATATGATAGGATCCTCTCCTGAGGTTGTTCACAGGGTAGAACTACTGAATATCGTAATGAGCTTTTCTAGATGACAAGTCTTGGGGTTCTGGAGCAGAAAGTGTCATGGCAATGAAAGTTGTAGGAGTTTTTTGCATGCATGCACACAGTCCTTTTTTATGACATTCAGATTTCATGGTTTAGTTACAGTGGCTTAGCCTTTATTTTTTAATTGGTTAGCATTTTTTAAAAACTGACAAAGGCCATAACCTTGCAAGCAACAACTGCTAGCAATTCTGATCTTTAATTTGCAATCTGCTTTGTATTGTTGCAGTAATGACAGCTTTGATGGAGAGCCTGAGGAGAAAAGAAGGAAAACAACGAATGTTGTTATTGAGCAACCAGCAACAGACATCAAAGTCTTAATAGATAATGTTCCCGATAACTCAAACCTGTTTGATGAGGTGTGTCACACTGTAAAATATATTGCCTTTTATGCTGTCATTTAAATATGCCTTCTAAAATTGTCAACAAAAGACATAATAGTGTTAATGGTTTTGATCAGACTTCAAATTAATATCTAGATTAGTAGTTTAGCTAGTACTGAAGTAATTGGAGTTAACTTAAATTATTTGAAGATTGTAACTGAACCATTTTTCTTCACCACAGATTAATGAGTGGCCATTGGAGAGCTTTTGTGATGAACTTTGTAATGATCTATTTAATCCATCGTGGGAGGTAAGGATTTCATCACCTTACATGTTTCTTAAAGAATTTACTAAAGCGTTAATTAGATGCAATGTATATCATTTAATTGGTCTGTGTACTATCTTGCAAATTGTCTTTTAGTATGTGAAAGCCTGCAGCTAAATTTGTATTTGCCTTTTTAGCCCTGAATCTATGGGAATCTCTTGGCTTTTTTTTTCTAGTACTGTTGTTATTATTTTTAGATTCGTCATGGTGCAGGAACAGGTCTCAGGGAGATACTTAAATGTCATGGTACTGGTGGTGGAAAACTGGTTGACAGCACCCTAGAGGAGGTAAAGTTATCCTGATATTTAAAGTTACCTATCAGTTTTGTCATTTTATTGGTAATTGCATACGTTGTTGCTGAAACCCATGATTCAGTCCTGACAAATACCACACAATTGCTGATGGTGGCCCTTGAATAGCGATTTTCATAGTTTCTGCATATTCACCAGTTAGACTTGAGGATAAAGCTTTCAAAAGGGGGATTAAATTTTGTCCAGGTCAGATTAGCACTAGATATCTGTGGTAAATTGTGCTTCAAATAACATCAAATAACCTGATGTTAACTGTATCTCTGGAATGTGTCAATGCAAGAAAGAAAAAATTGAATTTTTTCTCTACATAACCTAGCTCCTCTTTCCTCCCCAGATGACTCGGCAGCATCAGGAGTGGTTAGAAGATCTTGTTATTAGGCTGCTTTGTGTCTTTGCACTCGACAGATTTGGAGATTTTATCTCTGATGAGGTAAGGTTTAGCTGTATTTAGATCGATTGTAAGTTGTTGTTTTTATGTCTTGTCTTAATGTCTTTAAACATTACTTTGATTATTGGTATCTAATGCATCTGAGGATCTCATTCATCTGTTTCACAAAGAAGCAAGGGTATCAGTGTATTGCAAGTTGTTACATTATTCTAGGAACAAAGTTTATACCAAGTGTAGTTGTTTGGTTATAAAGCTGATCCTGGATATTTTTTTTCCTCCCCCACAATAAAAGGTGGTGGCGCCAGTACGAGAGACCTGTGCCCAGACTTTAGGAGTAGCTCTGAAGCACATGAATGAACTTGGGGTGGAGAGAACAGTGGATGTTCTCTTGAAGCTGCTGACAGAGGATCAGTGGGAAGTGAGACATGGCGGGCTTCTTGGTATAAAGTATGCCTTGGCTGTTCGACAGGTAAGCGCATAGTTGTTAGCTCTGTTCACACAACTGGAGGCCTTCAGTTGGGCAGCTTGGGGTTTATTGTATCTTTAAGCTCAAATAACAAATTCTTCCCTGTCAATTTCATTTTTATTGGACCTTCCTGTTTCTAAAGCAGCCAATTGGCATTTAGAGGTAAACAGAAAAAAGCTGAGAAGCAATATCCCTTTTTTGCTTTATTTACCCAGTCTGACTGAGTTGCTTTATACATAGCCTTTCAACTACTAGGTGTCAATGTATTTGTTAAAGCTGTACTACATATATAGTTTATATCCTTAATATCTTTTAGAGATTAAATATTAGGGAGTGGGATAATATTGCTAATGTCTTGTCTGGTGTGTGCTTCACAGCAAACATACCTTAATTCAGTATAGTTTTTGAGACTGCAAGTACAGTACCAGTCACTTATTACACAATCATTTAGGCTGTGTTTTCTGTCACTGCCATCAGTGGTTTGTACACATTTGACATTAAATGAAAATCCTTTAGCTTTGTCTCCTTAAATCCAATGATTTTGTTTTGTGTTTTATAACAGACTCACATGTGCTTTACTTATTTGAAATAGCCTGAAGCTAGCTTTGCCTGTCTTGCGTTCTCCTATTCCAGGATATGATTGGAGCCCTGTTACCCAAAGTGCTGCCCGCCATCACAGAGGGCCTGCAGGACCTGGATGACGATGTCAGGGCTGTCGCTGCAGCAGCTCTCATCCCAGTTGTGGACGGTCTGGTTCAGCTTCTGCCCTCTAAGGTTCGTTGCTCCAGGTTTGAAACAATATGTTTGGTTGAAGAGGAATGCATTTTGAGAATTAAACCAAAAAAATACATTGAATGCTTAACTGACATGAACTATGTTGAAGGTGCCCTTCATCGTCAACACGCTGTGGGATGCTCTTCTTGAGCTGGATGACCTGACGGCCTCCACCAACAGCATAATGACTCTGCTGTCTTCACTGCTTACGTACCCTCAGGTCCGCCAGTGCAGGTAAGGCCCCATACTTCCTGTATTAGCACAGTAGTAGGTGAACGTTTGACAATCGCAGCGGAAGGAAACAAATTTATCCTTTTTTTTATAACATTAGTGTGGGTGTTCATAACATCAGTGTTGATATCTTTGTCGCTGATATTGAACTTGACTGACTTTCTTCTTTGCAGTATTCAGCAGTCGCTCACAGTTCTAGTCCCTCGCGTCTGGCCGTTCCTGCGGCATACCATATCATCTGTCCGCAGAGCCGCGTTGGAAACCTTGTTCACTCTCCTGTCAAAAGAAGATCAAGTAAGTGCTTTTTGTTTGGATCAAGAGCGAAAGACGTTTGCTCAAATACCTGAAAACAGTGTTCTTGGGGTGTAACAAAGACCTGTTGGTTTCAGAGCTGTGCTGTGTGGCTCACCCCAATACTCCAGGACATGCTCAGGCACATCTTCCAGTCCTGCATACTGGAAAGCAACCAGGAGATCCTGGACCTCATTCAAAAGGTATGTTAATAAAATGCTCTTCAGAAGGTGTGCCTTCAAAGTTATGAAGCACAGACTGCTGTTTATTTTTGTTTTCAGGCCAGCTGTCCTGTGCTTATGTTCATTTCAAGAAGGATTTTATTTGCTAAATTGTTCAAAAGAAAGCTCATGATGTAGAGTAACACAGTATTTTTTTAAAAGAGTTTGGCACACATGGACATGCCTGTGGTTTCTAGAAAAAAACAAAACTACATGATTGCCTTTTCTTAAATCTGTAGGATGCATAGGTGTATAAATGTATTAAACCTTTGCTTGGTTCTTCAGGTGTGGACTGAGTTAATACGACAGGCTCCACAGCAGTATGTTGTAGCAGCCAGCTGCCCATGGATGGGAGCCTGGCTGTGTTTAATGATGCAGCCTTCTCACATGCCAATTGATCTCAACATGCTGTTGGAAGTCAAAGCCAGATCCAAGGTAAAGACGAAACTTCACTGCCTGCCATATGGATTCCAGAATGAAATCTTTTTTTTTTTACCAAAGGATTGTTGTTTTTTGCGGAATAGGAAAAGACTGGCTTAAAAGCACGGCAGGGACCCAGTCAGGTGAAAGAGACGATCCAGGAGTACATAGCTGGGGCTGACACAGTGACAGAGGACCTGGCCACTAGAGATTATGTGGTCATGCGTGCCCGCATGATGGCAGCAAAGTGGGTGGTAGTTTTGTTTTTACTTGAGGGGTGGTTTAGTGTTGTGCATTATACCTAGTTCAATGCCATTTTTGTGTTAAAAAGAAAACTTATTTTTTTAATACGTTACCCATGCATGATGACTGCCTGTTAATACAAAGTTTTATGGTTTTTGATTTTGGAAGCATTTTGTATTTACAATTGTGTTTTTTATTAATTGCCTTCTCTTGGAATTAACTGAAACGACTTGACTTTAATAAAATGGCAAATCGCAAAACCACAGGGTCCTGAACATGCTGTTATTGGTGCGAAACGAAACATTTGATTTGTCTTTTCAGAATCAGTTCAGTGTAATCTGTATATTCATCTGTAATCATCTCATTAAATTAACATTAAAATTCTGTTTTAACATTTAACAAAAGGTTCTGTTAAACATTCACTGCTGACATGAGAATTTTCAACTTGTTTTTCCAAATTGTTAGTTAGACAAGATGTGTGTAGCATCTAATGTATGTACTGCATTTTGCAGGTTGCTCGGAGCACTGTGTCAATGTATATGTGACCCCGGGGTTAATTCAACAAGCCAGGAAATAAGGCCGGCTGAGTCACTGGCTCAGCTGCTGCTTTTCCATCTGAACTCCAAGTCTGCGCTGCAGAGGATTGCTGTGGCCCTAGTGCTGTGTGAGTGGGCAGCACTGCAGAAGGTGAGTGGATGGCTAGTGTGATACCTGACCTCATCAAACAGATCTTGTATGAAATGTGTCGGATGTTAGACAGCTACCTTAATGGTTAACTGAAGTCTAAAGTGATAGGTTTTGCAACCTGAGGCCTGACCTAAAACTTGACTTGTGTTTCTGGAGCATAGTTGAACTTGTCTTTCGAAATTGCTTTAGTTTATTACAACTGAAAATACAGGTTTTTATCGTAGCTGAAATGAAACTGGCTACATACCCTGGAGAAAACTAGTATGTGGCATTGAATACATTTCTATAGCGTGTATTTTAAAATTTGTTGAAGCAGCTGACTAAGTTGTATGCTTGTTTCCTGCACACCACCAATGTGGGTTTTACTCAAACGCTTAGATTAGAACTTCTTATTTTTTTTTTTTTTGCTCACAGGACTGTAAGACTGTCTCCAGTGCGGTGCAACCTCGGCTGCTTGCCATTCTGTCGGAGCATCTGTATTACGATGAGATTGCCATTCCTTTTACCCGAATGCAGAATGAGTGCAAGCAGCTGATCACTTTACTATCTGATGCACAAATTGACGTCAGGGACAGAGTCAACTGCAGTGTGTTTACAATAGATCAAGCTAATGAGCTGGTACGTGCTGCAAGATGAGGTCAGAGGTGCCCAAACAACTTTTTTTTTTTATGGTCGTGCCATTGCATTAATCAAAGTTCAGTGGCGTAGTGTTATTAGTGTTAAAACAGTTCTCTGCTGTTCATAATGAAACTGCTCATCAGGTGTCCAGGTTAACAATCTTTCAAGAGGCTGCCCAACTGCACCCAACAGGGAGCAGTGCTATGTGCTGTTCGTTATGTACCTAATAGCCTGACGGAGGGATTGCAACAGTAATTTTAAAATCTGAAATTAAAATGTTAACATTTGTGATGGTATCTGTTGGATGTGCATAAATTATAAATTATTCTCAGTCTTTTAAGTACAAGTTATTGAAGGTAGACTTAGATGCACAGTTCTAGACCACGCAATATTAGCCATGAAATTGAATGGGGAGCTTAGATGTGCTGTAGAATTTTGTAGGTTTGTTTTTGTGGTATTTATGTCCTGTTGTCATCAAATCAAATGGTTTACACGTCGAAGTCCCTTTGCTTTTCTTCAAGAACCTGGTTCTACTGCTTTTGTTTGGAACAGGTCACTACCATCTTTAATGAGTCCACAGCGGCTCTAAACCTGAAGTCTAAATCCTGCCAGCAGCTGGACAGCAAAAGGCAGCAAGTTCAGATGACTGTGACGGAGACTAACCAAGAGTGGCAAGTCCTCCACCTGCGGGTTCACATGTTCACCGCCTGTGCCATCGTCAACCTCCTGCTGCTGCCAGACAAGCTGAATCCCGTGATCAAGCCTCTGATGGAGGCGGCAAAAAAAGAGGAGAACACCCTCGTACAGAGCTACGCTGCCACCTTCATCGCCAAACTGCTGCAGCAGTGCATCCACCGGACGCCCTGCCCCAACCCCAAGATCATCAAGAACCTCTGCAGCTCTGTGTGCGTGGATCCCCTGCTCACCCCTTCCGCTGCCTGCCCCGTGTCTGTGCCCATCATCCAGGAGCACTCCAAAGGTATGGCATCCCCCAGAACATTCACCTCGGGTCTTCAGGCGTGAAGTGATGATGAGGAGAAAAGATGGTTTTTGTGAAAGTGCTTTATGGCTTTATCCATCATGCTTATGTTGTTTATGTGTATTTTTCTTGGACGTTTCCTTTGGGGTCTAAGAAATGGAAAATTCCCCTACTTCTTTTCCCAGATTAAAACGACCTTCTCCATTTCTTTACTATCCGATGGGGTTTTCAGTGTTGAATTATGTAAAATAGAAGAGGAGCTGATAATTATGGCATTGCAGTAGAGTTTATTTTAAGCTTTTATAACCTGTCATCAAACTGTGGATTAACACTGGGCATTAGGAAGCAGGGAGGGACCAGGAAGTGGTCTTGGTAGTGATGGTGGCCTGTATGGCGCTTGGAGTCTCAGCTGTTTGGACAAACTGAGCTATGCAGATGGAGAGGGAGTCAGGGAATTGACAGGATATTTGCTTACTTGATACTCAGTAGGAAAAGGAAAGTGCACATCATGTTAGGATGCTGCATTTGTATTTCGTTACCATTCTGTTTACTTTCTGATAATTCACTGACTCAGCTATGAAGTAGAGGTGATAAGAACAGTGAACAAATGTATTAAAAAAAAGCAACGTAGAACACTTCCTGCTGTAACATCTTTGCAGTAAGTACTTATCACTTGTCTTTACATTGAGGTTACTATACTTCAGGGCTTTCCTCTCACACATTAGGGTGGTTTGGTTTAGATTTTCTCATGAATCTGCTTATAATTGAAGATGGATAAATCTCTGAACATTTGTGCTGTATGCCAGCAGATGGCAAAACCCTCTGTGAGCAATGTCGTGTATCAGGAATGTGCATCATAAAAAGCGTCCTGTTCCTAAGTCGGTGGTGCAGATTTTCTGTTCCCACCATGTTCTGTTGCTGCCACGTCTGCATACTGGAGCACCAGAGGTCGGGCTCTCGGCTTGTTGCGGTCTGTTGGTAATCGGCAGGAATGTGAGGTTTATTTTCTCTGTCATTTCCTTGTTTTATAACCTAGATTACGTGATAGGTCAAAGAATAGCAATTGCCTTGAGCATGTACAGCATGGAGGAAAACAGTGTTTGCTGCTGTCAGCACCATGATGCGTTTTAATCACCATTCGGTTTATCCAAAGGAAACCTGCTGAAAATTGTGTGCATTTTTATTTTCAAAGGGGTTAGTTCTGAAAAAGATGGCATGCACCACTCTGTCAACAAGACTAAAGGGATCATAACTTTGTATCGGCACCAAAAAGAAGCTTTTGCTATTACTAGCAGGAGAGGTCCTACTCCTAAATCCATGAAAAGCCCAGCGACTGACCTCCCTCCGGGCAGTGCTGTCCCTGCTGAGGTGGATGAGGTGAGGCCATTTTTTTTGGACAGGTGTAGCTCCTTGTTCAATGCCACTAAAAAATCAGCAATGAGGTTATTGAATTGTCAAACCATTTTCTTTTTTAAATTTATTAACTGTCTGAGGTGCCTGTTACTAGTAGGATGTATATAACCATTTATGCCTTCTGAAACCAGCATTTAAGTGATGATTAAGCCCATTACTTTAATTACTCCTTTCACACACATGCAGAGTATTGCAGTGTTGAAACTGAAACTGAAAATGGAAATGATTCCATTGAGGTTGACTGACTTTTCATCTTTTTTAGAGTAAAAAGCCATGCCTTGTGCAGAGAAGAGGAGCTGAATTTGCCCTTACGATTATTGCAAAGCATTTTGGCCCAGAGTTGACTAATGGGCTCCCATATCTCTGGGATTCAATGGTTGGACTTTTAAGGACTACTATTGATGTGAACAATCCTGGTATGCTTTCCTGTTTTATTTAGCACTGTCTAATCATTTGAAAGATGAAAAGTGTATTTGTTCTATAATCTTCTTGATATCCAAATATTGTATTTATGAAAAATGACATTTAATGTAGTGTATTACAAAGCAATAATAACTTTCATATTCTAATATATATAAATACTGTTAAATTAAATTTGTGAATAATATAAATACTGTTGCATGAAGTTTTATATACGTTATACTTTTTATAAAGCTGCTCAAGGCTTACATGTGTCTCTGTTTTCTACAGATGTAAGGCTGCTGTTAGAGAAAGGTGATGGAGCTGCTCAGGAGCTAGTTAATTCACTACAAGTTCTGGAAATCGCAGCAGGCTCTATGGCCTCTGAGCTTATTCCTTTGGTGAGATAGACCGACATTTAACCCTCCTTCTGTTATATGGAAGTAGTTTGATTTAAAACTTTCTTTACCTGAAATACTACAGGCAGACTGAAATCAGTCCATCTTTTACCTGAACCATAACCCCGGAAGAATTTGATATGCTTGGAATAGTTACTGTGGGATGTTGGGGGCAGAAGTGATAGTGAATAATTTCGAGGCTTGTTAGTGGAGCTTACTGTGGGTTCGTGCTCACATTTATTTTCCCTTTTTGTCTTGTAGCTTCTGCAGCACTTGCCTCATCTCTGCATGTGCTTGCAGCACCCCTACACTGCAGTCAGGCACATGGCAGCACGATGTGTGGGAGTTTTGAGCAAAATCGCTACTATGGAAACAATGAACATCTTTCTGGAGAGGGTTCTTCCTTGGCTGGGGGCAATCGATGACAATACCAAGCAAGAAGGAGCAATTGAAGCAATGGCCTGTATCCTTCAATCCAGTAAAGTCAAGCTGTCTGCTTAAGTGCTTTACCTTAAATACCCTGAATATTGTTTCCAATACCTTCTGAAAAACTCCTAAAATGCTTTTTCAGATGTTCTGCACAATTATTAGACTCGAAACCAAAGCTGTGTAAAGAAATATTTGAAAGGCAGTAGTGTGGTGTAGTGGTTTAGGCTCTCTGGACCTGTAAATGGAAGGTTACAGGTTCAAATCCTGAGGAACAGCAACATCAAGGACTTTGCTTAGATTGCTTCAGTAATATTTTCTGCTGTATGGAGGAGTGCTGAGATAAGTCAATCTGGATCGGTTTCTGACTAATTCAAATGGGTGTAGTAAAAACTGGTTGAAGGGTGTGCTCAGTAAAAAAGGCATTGCAAGATCAGTGCTTATTTCAAGCAAGCCTTCTTTGTTTTAGTCATGCTCTTAAGAGAGAGCCCTATATGTGGCCTGTGTCCTGATGAAAAGCGGTGTGCAATAATTGATGGAGTCATTTCTTAGCTATGACCCTGCCAGGTGTGATGGAGCAGCTGGACGTGGAGATTGTGGCGTACATCGTGCTGCTGGTGGTGCCCGTGCTGGGCAGGATGAGTGACCAGTGTGACAGCGTGCGTTTCATGGCCACTCAGTGCTTTGCCACACTCATCAGACTTTTGCCACTGGAGGTGAGATTTAACTAAGCAATCTGGCACAGAATATAGCTAGAAACATTATGCTCACCAACCCACTGTTTGCATCTTATGTTAGTTTATATATGAAAAATGTTTTTGTCCTTTATTTATGACAATGTGTTAAGAAAGTTTCTCATTGACTAGGATATACATCTTTTTTTCATTCAAAGATGTTTGTACTATTGTACTATTACCATTTATACTACCAATAGATAGTAAAATCACAATACAGTCAATGCTGATATTGAACCCAGGAATGGTTCTAAGCGGCATAGCACTGTACTGTCTTTAGTGGCTCTTGTTTTCTGGCAGCACGTTCAGCCTGTTCATCACTGCTGGTTGATTCCAAGTTGGGTTCAAGATCCATAGGCTTATTCCAGTCTGTCCAAGCCATCATCTTCAAACATTTCCCCTTCTGATGTTGGACTAATTTTAACATCTTCAGAAGTGATTTTTCACTACCGAGCAGCCGTTATCATGTAGTCCTTGAATATTGACATAGTTACACTTGTTTTGTGGAGCACTTTAAAATAGGACAAGTTAACTCCTTTGTGGTGCACATTGCTGGATTAGCCTTTTGCTATACTGAGGTTTTTAGTTAAAAATAACTTTTTCTTTAAAAAAAATACTCAGCAGTATCTTCTTTAATAGTAGGCTTGTTATATTGGAACAAGTAAAGGTTTATTCCATGCTGAAAGAGAAGAAAAACACAATGTTCTGGCTGTGGAGCTTTCTTCCAGTGTCTCTTCAGCATGGAAAAAACCTTTACTTGTTCCTTTGCAACCTACGCATTCTGACGCAGCTACCTACTTGTCTGTGAAATTGTTCATTATTTCGTTAATGTGATTGTAACCTTTATTCAAATGTTAAAATGTTTTGCCATAGTCTTCCAGGAGATGGCACTATTACAATACTTAATCTCATCACATCTGTGCTTGACACTCATTTCAGAGTCCAGTGTTCATTGATGTTAGTACCCAGTAGGTGATATTACAAATGAAAACTATAAAATATTCTTGACAATCTACAAAATATTCTTTTGTTTCTCAGAATCCATTACATTGTACTGCAGAGGAGTGTACAGATAACTGTGGTATAGCCTAAATATTATTTCTCTTTCATTGTTGTGGTTAAAAGATGTAAGAGTTGCATTTGACAGTCAATATGGTTAGTTACATCTTATGTTCCCTGTTTGAGCTGTGAGTCTATTTCTAGTTTGAATGTATTTTGGTATTTGCATGTAAATAGGAAACAGGGTTATTCTATACAGAAACAATTTAAAATGCACCAAATATTTTAAAATACTGTATGTATATTGTAGTCTTGTAGGTCACTTATCTTGTAGTTCTCATATTTACAAAGAAAATGTTTTTCCTAATTATTTTCATTGAACATGTGTATTGAGAAACGGATACATGAAAAAATGTATATTAAGAGAAATTCAGTTAATATAGTGCTTGATCAGGTTCAGCTCATTTGCATCTTGTGTTTTTTTCCATCTTTCATAAGCTATCACATACAAGATCATCACAATGCATTGTTGAAGTGCTTTATAAATTAAGTGCCAGTACGATTTCAGACGTAACAAAAGAGCTGCACAGCAGGAAGCAGAAAGTATATTTTCTATGGGGATATCCGAATGACTCATGTCACACTTCTGTTGTGAAAAGACAGAAGACCACAGTCAGCCTTTGATAGAGGGTGTTAATCAACCAGAACCATGAAAGTCAATTGTATGATCCTGAAGATGTATTATTCTCCATTAAAATTAATTCTAGGCCACTCTCAATTTGTATTCTTTCTGCCTTGTGGATTTAGTTTCATAATACAGCTTTCATCGCAGACAGAGAAAAATGGAAAAATCAAGACCAAATCAGCTAGAAGTGTTTTCGTTGTTCTGTAATCCTTTTTTTTCTTTTTCATATGTATATTTGTAGATGTATCCATCATGTCTTCACACCATTAGCTAAACATCTGAAATCTGGTTACAAACAGATCAGTTCTATGCTGAAGAGAAACAGGAGCATGAAATATACAATGTCCTGAGAAGGCTGAACAGTCAGAATGTTGTACATTTTGTTTTTTTCTTTTCAACATGGAATTAAGATCTATTTGTTCCTTATGCAGCCTGTATGCCGACACAGCTCAAAACTCTGAACACCATGAAAATAGGATTATTAAACCATGGAGCTCTTTTTTCCCCAAGTATTACTGTGCAAGAAAGTGATTTGACATTTATTGTGTGGCTGTTTGATTAACAGGACCAAACACGAGTGTTAAAGCTTCTGTCCTGTAAAAAGGGACTTTTCTCTCTTCAGAATTCTATTTAAGTCGACTATAGTATATTGACATTTCTGTACCTGCTTATTCAGGCTGGCATTCAAGATCCCCCAAATATGTCTGATGAGTTGATCAAACAGAAAGCCAGGGAACGTCACTTCCTTGAACAGCTTTTGGATGGAAGGAAACTGGAAAATTACAAGATCCCTGTTCCGATTAAAGCAGAACTTAGAAAATACCAGCAGGTGAGTTTTTTATATTTGCAGCTACATGTTTTCATGTATTAACAACAACCATTTTTATCATGATGAAAACCAGATTAAAAGGGCTCCTGAAGCAACTGTTAAGAACTGAGCATTGACATTGATTGCCATTTGCTTTTAAATATTCTATTTTAAAACCAGTGTCACTACAGAATTATGTTATGTTCTTGTTTTTGGGGCTTTTGAGTGGCATGTTGGCCACTTTCCAATTCATTTGGAGAGCTTCCGTCTCCTGACCATGTTTATGACCTAGAGACGACTCTGTAACTTGCTGTATTATTATTATTGTTATTATTCAAATATTGTGATAATCAGCAGATAAGCCTTACATTTTAGAATTGAAATCGGTTCTAAAACCAGTTCTAAACTGCAGTGTTTTTTAATCACTTTTAGCACTTAGCCTCAACACCTCCATTTTAATTTCTTGAAACTTCTCTGTAGACCTGATGGTTCACATGCTTTTTAAGGATCGTTTTCAGTATAAAAGCTGAGTTAAAAACTGGCATCTACTTCGCTTTTTTTCTGGCACTCACCCATATTTCTAACAGATGTAGAAAATGCCTTTAGGAGATGATTGAAAGTTGAGGTAGTGTTATAGAACTGTCAGGTAGCTGGTTTACTCCTCTTTACAGTCTTAGGTGTGCATTAATTAAGTTCTTTTCTTCTCTAGGATGGTGTGAATTGGTTGTCTTTCTTAAACAAATACAAACTGCATGGTATTTTGTGTGATGACATGGGTTTGGGAAAAACCTTGCAGTCCATTTGTATACTGGCTGGAGACCATTATCTCAGGTAACCAAGCCTCATAAGCATTTTTTTTTACCCATATGTATGTGTACCTGTGATGGTCGCAGCTCCTAATATTTTTTTTACAGCAAGGTTTTCATTTTGCAGGGCTCAGGAATATGCAAAGTCCAAAGCAGCAGACTGTGCACCTCTGCCTTCTCTAGTGGTTTGTCCTCCAACACTGACAGGACACTGGGTGGATGAAGTGGGCAAATTCTGTGCCAAAGAGTATCTCAACCCTTTGCACTATACAGGACCTCCCACTGAGAGGGCAAGGTGAGTACTACACATTTGCTCTCCCAACAAAGACGAGCATATCCCCAAGTTTCTCTTTATTTCTGTTTTTTTTTTCTGTGTTTTTCTTAGTACAACTTCTCCATATATAAATATCACCATTTGACTGATTCAGGAAAGGGAAATCCTGTTAGATTTCTGTGGAAGTCAAAGGTTGTCACTTGCCTTGGGAGATTCCTTTAACTCAGGCAGTTTTCTTGAAAGGTGGCTGTCAATAGCCGTCTTTTCTAGTAATATTTTGCTCACTTGCATCACTTGTTTTAAACTTGGTCATTTTACAAGGATAACCTTTATACTTTCATGTAGTGCAGCTGATATCACAAAGAAAGATAGTCGTTATTAACCAGTATGTCATTTGTTTTGGGGCAGCCAAATAAAAATTGAATTTGTTTTCCGTTTCAGGTTACAGCACCAAGTGAAAAAGCACAACCTTGTGGTAGCCTCGTACGATGTTGTACGGAATGATATTGACTTTTTTAGGTACAATCTGTTCTACTGTCTCTTGCCTCAGGTATTCATTTTTCACAGTAGCAGTTACTGTTATGGCATCCTTCATGCAAAACTAAAACTGTCCTTTTTTTTCTTTGCTCAGGAATATAAAATTCAATTACTGTATTCTTGATGAAGGCCATGTCATCAAGAATGGAAAGACCAAGCTCTCAAAAGCAGTAAAACAGTTAGCGGCCAACTACAGGATTATTCTTTCTGGAACACCAATCCAGGTAACTACAGCTGCACACCAAATGTGCAAATGTCTGCTAGAGTTGGCTGTGATATACTGCATTAAACATCCAGAACCATCTTTGAGAAGTGCTTGTGACTGTGTGTGTGGAATATAGCAAACAAAAGCCAGTTTTGAACAGAAGAGAATTCAGCCATGTGATGTTATTTGGTAGTATACAGGGTTGTGTGAAAGTTTAACTGTTTTCAGATGTGCCAGCTGATACTATACTACATTGTGAAATAAAATAGGTATTCGATCAACAGAAAAAAATATTTTAATCCTTTTAGACTTTGAAGATTGGTTTTAACAATTTTTAGTTATGCTTTTTGTAAATGGTTGAAGAAGACACTTTGCCGTGTGAAGACTTGTAATAGATTTATGCCGTTGTGTTGCTAATTATTAAGAACTTTCTGAGGAGCAGGTACCTGCAGCAAAGTTGGCCGTGCTCCCAAGACTAAGATTTAAGGCAAAACAAAATCAACAAAGGAGGAGGAATTTAAATGCATTTGACATTTCTTTTGTTCTGTATGTTGAAAATGGCAAGATCAAAACAACTCAACTTGTACTGGATAATCGCTCAAGATGAGATCTGAGTTATTTTTTTGTTCTGTCTTATCCTAAGTGTCTCTTCTACCAGTAAAGCATTTAAGCGAACGAAGTTTCAAATCTCTTCAATTCTTAATTTCCCTTAGAATAATGTATTGGAACTCTGGTCGCTGTTTGACTTCCTGATGCCAGGATTCCTGGGCACTGAGCGCCAGTTTGCAGCTCGTTATGGGAAGCCCATATTGGCGAGCAGGGACGCCAAGAGCTCCTCCCGGGAGCAGGAGGCGGGTAAGCTCTGCAGACCCAGCCATACAGTTGGTCATGGCAGTTGATTGCTTGGAAATGATCTCGGCTGGTTTCCCCTTTGTGTCTCAGGTTAACTGTAAGGAGGTGCAATACCTCGTTTAAAGCACCATTGCCACTATTATGAGTTGCATTTGTGTGTGAGACTAGTAAGGCAATACAGTCGAGCCCCTTATTTACACTTTTCAAGGTTCTCGGGGTGGGGGGAGTGCAAATTGCGGGAAAAGGTGATATAGACATATATTTGATCACAAAACGTTCAACACTACACATCTTTTGTGTAAGATTCTTCACAATAGTGTTTAGTGTAGAAATCCGAATATTCAGACGCTTCGCTAATTCAACCCTCGTTCACACGTGAGAATACAACTCTCGTAATATAGGTACTTTTTCCTTGAGGGAAATGGTCTTCTTTTTGTCTTCCGTTCCAAGTTTGGCTTTAAAACACATTCAAGTAAAAAAAAAAGCACAAACGCTGAAACAGTAATGGCAGACGGCCAACAGCTGAGGAGGCGTAGTTTTGGTTGGGACTGGAAGGAGAACGAAATATATGGCGGGGAAAATGCAAATACGGGGTTCGACTGCATGTCGTGTGCAAAGCACAGTTTAGTGCCATGAAGGTGGGAGTGTGGAATAAATTACCAAGATGCCACCTGATGAGATCCCTGGATTCACTGCCAAAGAGGCTAGATGGGACGAATGGCCTCCTCACAGAGGTAACTTTTCTTCTGTTCTTCTGTCAGGTGTCCTTGCTATGGAGGCTCTGCATCGCCAAGTCTTGCCTTTTCTTCTGAGAAGAATGAAGGAGGACGTCCTTCAGGATCTTCCGCCCAAGATTATTCAGGATTATTACTGCAATCTCAGCCCACTGCAGGTTTGTTTCAGGATTGAAGCAGATTACACAGGGTGGCAGACTTTCACAGCCATATTCTTTCTTCAAGACGCCACTGCTTCAGTGCCGGACAGGAACCAGTGTCACACTAGTTTTTTAAACCAGAGTTATGTAGAAATATGGATATATTGTATGGATTTTAGGGGTACAAGTTAATTAGTGATGAATTTCTCGGATTATTTGCAAATCATATTTAAAATCCGGTTTTGGTGATTGCCAAATAATACCTTTTCCAGTTGTTGAAATAGTAATGTTAATGTTTTTGATATGTATATCATATATACTCAAAGTGTGTGTGTGTGTGTCCATACTAGCTAGTTCCTATGAATATAAATTCAAAATTCCACTAACAGTCAAATCTGTAACTGCCTATTGCTCAGTGTTTCCAACCTCTATTTTATAAACGAGGAGGCATTATGATTTCTTGGTAAAGAGTGATGTCTGTTATCGCATTTTAGATCTTTATATAAAGCTAGAGAAATTTTAATGTTTTGTAATCCTGACCTTTTCTCAGGTAATGGTGCAGTGGTAAATTTCATGGAGGTCATAAGCTGTAGATTGCATAACCACTGGCAGCTTCTCCTCTTGTATTATGAATGTGCTGCCGACATCATTAAAACTTCAGCCCCTGGTAACTCTGTATTGGCCACTTTCCAAGCTCTTGAGGGTGCCTGAAGAATAGTGTCTGGCCTCAGAGTGTGCTTATTAATGCCCTCATCAGCCATTCCTTCAGCTTCCCTTCTCTAGTGTAGGGATTCCCTACCAGTTTTCACACAGGCCGGTTTGTGCGCTTGGTGTCTAGGGCTGAGTTCCAGCACACTGTGTCAGTATCAGTCATTACATCATTCTCGTGGTATGTTTCCATGAAAAAAAAAAAAATCTACCTCTCATTCGTTCCTTTCAATAAGCCAATACATCACTTAAAACCCATTGTGATTTTCTTTTCTTTTTTTGGTGTGTAATAAAACCAAAAGTGACTTAATGTATTTCAGGACATGCCAGTAGCATTACAAATAGAATCTTTTTTCAGAGTGTCTTAAGACTACAAATGGTAAAAAAAAATCAGCCGTGTGAACTTGTCATGGAACCACAGTGTTTTCCCAGACAGTCTTGTGAAATCCCTTTTGGCTTATATTTTTTGCCTCTGTATGTCTGAAGGTTCAGCTTTATGAAGACTTTGCCAAATCTCGTGCTAAGGTCAGTGTTGAGGACACAATATCTACAACTTCGCTACAGGAGGAAAATGACAAGCCAAAGCTTAAAGCTACAGGACATGTGTTCCAAGTAAGTGCTGTTCATTTTTGCCGTTCTGAATATTTCCAGATTAAATTAAATCCTTATGGCTGTAGTTTGTAGCATTACTGGGAGTCACAGGTTTGTGCCTTATTTGAGTTATTTTCTGTGTTTATCAGACATGCATCATCCATTCATTAAACTTCATTTCTTTGACAATACGAGTCTGACGGCAGGGAACTACTTTTTTAAAGAATTTCATATATGTATTGCAATCAAGGTTCATTTTGCCACTGTATGCTTTACAGTAATTACTGTGCTTCATTGACACATGAAGGCTAGACTTACATTTGGGAGGGATTGTCCTCTTGTGTATAATGTAAAAATGTGTCTTAACAGTGGTGTACAAAATCCTTTCTTTAGCAATCTAAGTCAAACCCTCTCATCATTTAGAGGGAGAGGATGTTTCAATGGATGGGGTTGTGGCGAGACCTACAAATATGATTCTCCCAGCATCAGCCTGTAATGCTTGATTATTTCATACAGTGCTTATTATGTAATACAGAATCACCAACTAAATTGTCTGAAAAGGTTAAATTTCGCACTAGAATGAGAAATGTTTTTTGTATATATAAAATATTGAAAAGTTTTTGTTTTAGACCAGATAGACTTGCTCAAGTACAAAAGAGGTCACTGTGCACTAATTGGCACAATTTGTAAAAACTAAAAATGGTTTCCTTACCTTGATTATTACTTCATCATATAGAACGCAAACTCATTAGGACTTTCTAAGCTACTCTCTATCATCTAATGTTCTAAAGTAGTATAGAGCAGATCATATGGCCTGACTGCATTTTCTCTAGAGGAAAATGTTGCTTTGCTATTTTTAAACTGTTCCAGTTCTTAATATGGGGAAATGGAGTTTCCACTTAAAGTAAAAAATAATTGCATGGATTTTCTCTGTAAAGCTGTAAGTCTGTAAAGCTGTGGTGTTGTAATGGTAATTCTTTGTTGAATTGTATCCAGTAATTCTTTTCAACTTTCCATAAGGGAATTAGCTTTAAATATGACACTATTAAAAAAAAAAAAAAAAAAAAAAAATCCCAATTCCAAGAAAATCATTTCTTCCGACATATACACAAACTTTGCAATTGCTGGTAGGAGCTCTGATCTCCTGACAATGTCAGTATTTTAGGACTTTCATTCAAGTCCTGAATCCAAGTTACTCTGAGCTTAGATAAAACAAAAATGTCTAAATCCAGTAAACTGAGTAGGTCATCGTAAATTCAAATTGTAAATCCCCTAATTCCTTCCAGAAATTCCAAAACCTACTTGTTTTGGCCATGTCTGCTTCTTTTGTGTGAGGTATTATTGACATCGGCGGGGTAGTAAATAGCAGTGTGCTTCTGTGCCACAAGTTAAGAGCTACTATAAGTTACAGCTGAATGTCAATGGTTAGAAGCTGCTTCAGTGACTGACGTCTCCTTGGGAAATAATTCAGTCTTCACATCCCCGTGCTTTTGAAGATGTCATCTAGAGAATTTGTGTATGTGTGTGGAGGGGGGCTAAAATTTGTGCTTTATTTCAATATGTATTTATGTGCTTAGAAGCAATTTCATTACCTCTCCTTTCTTCACAGGCTTTGCAGTACTTACGAAAACTATGCAACCACCCTGCACTGGTCCTAACTCCCCTACACCCTGAATACAGGCGCATTATTGAACAGCTGTCTGCCCAGCACTCCAACCTCAGAGATATTCAGCATGCACCAAAGCTCTCTGCGCTCAAGCAGGTGGGTGGTGGATCAGCGCTTCTCTGTGTGCCTTGAACTGTACACAGCGCATTATATTCATCAGGACTCTCACGGCTGTTGGCACTGCAGAGAGCCACGTCATCCTTTTTATATATGAATCGACAGCCAAAACAAAGCAGAAAACTAGCATTCGTAATGTGTCGAGAGGATTTTGGGGAGAGAATTGCACAAATCGGAACTGTATAAAAGCTTTCGTGACTCTTGCCAAGAAAAACTTCTTTAGAAACCTCATCTCTTCCCTTACAAGCCCTTTTGGGTTTTCTGCGTCACAAAATGGAATATCCAGGAGAGAGAGAGAGAGAGAATCTGCAAGTATGAAGTGCTGCAGCAGAGACACTTTGCATTTGTTTAATGAAGTCGGTGTGATTTATTGAGGAAAGTTTCTTCATCAATCAACTGCTAGGCCTTTTGCGTAGAAAAAAAAAGTATTTAATCTTGTGTATGCATGAAAGAGGTTTCTAGTTTTTGACATCTTAAATTCATGAAGGTTGAGAACAAAAGAGGCGGCAATAGCTGCTTGATGCTGATGTTTGCATGCCTGTGTGCACCAAGTAATTTTTTGTGAGCGTTTTTTTTTAAGTTACCGGTGATTTAAAAATTGAACACGTTGAACGTTTTCTTAATTTATTTTGAGCACAGCTTTTCTGACTTTTGAATTTCTTTACAGCTGCTGCTGGACTGCGGTCTAGGAAATGGAGGCTCAGCCGAAGGAGGGACAGAGGCTGTTGTTGCTCAGCACAGAGTTCTCATATTCTGCCAACTCAAGAGCATGCTGGACATTGTAGAACATGACCTTCTCAAGCCACAGATGTCCTCTGTCACCTATCTGAGGCTGGATGGCAGTGTGCCGGCTGGACAGAGGCATTCTATCGTCTCCCGGTAGGCTGATGAGCAAAACTGAGTGATCTCGGTTAATGCCAGCTTAAGAAACTTGACCTTGCGTGTAATTAAGTTTGTTACTAATGTGCAGCTATGATGGCATTTCTGTGTAAATGTCAATTCTTTATAGGACTTTACCTACCTTTTTTTTTTGATGATGATGAAAAAAGTTAAACATTTAAGATTGCACGCAATCCAGGCTTATCTCAGAAGTAGCTGAATGTTTGTTTTTGTTTTTTTTACACCTTGGTTTTGTTTCCAAATATTTGTTTTCTCAATCTGCTTCTTTAGATTTAACAACGACCCATCAATAGATGTGCTTTTGCTTACCACTCATGTTGGCGGACTGGGCTTGAATCTGACCGGAGCTGACACTGTGGTGTTTGTGGAGCATGACTGGAACCCTATGAGAGATCTGCAGGCCATGGATCGAGCCCACAGGATAGGGCAGGTACTGGAAAAATATCCTGCCAGCTGTTTGTAATCATGAGCTTGGTATATTCCTTGTTCTTATTGTCACAGTCCAGAAGGAAACATTTGTTTGCGCTGCTGTGAAATATTAAAGGCAACTACAGTGATCAGCAACACTGTACCTATCCTTCTTAAATTATGACGATCTGCTTTTTTTTCCCCTCTTCTTTCCAGAAACGTGTTGTTAATGTGTACAGGCTCATTACCAGAGGTACACTTGAGGAGAAGATAATGGGGCTGCAGAAATTCAAGATGAGCATCGCCAACACCGTGATCAGCCAGGAGAATGCCAGCCTGCAGAGCATGGGCACAGACCAGCTGCTTAATCTCTTCACTCTGGACAAGGTGCTTGATTTAGAAATCCCACTCATCACCTCAACATTTATTTTGGGATGCTGCATCCCTGTACTTGGAGATCTTAAAAAGATTGATTCAGTTAAATAAAAACGCCAGTCGTGTGCTCATCGCCTTAACTATTGTCCAGAAGACAGTTCTCCTTCGCTGTAAAAGTAGAGAACAACTTGCCACCTCACAATGGTTAGATTTTTATTAACAGGATATCTGCCTCTGGGGGAAAAACACCCCTTCTCTTATCTTATTGTCCTCAAATCCCTGAAATTGCCAATAACCTATGCCGCATACAAACACAGGCACGCCCTTGGAAAATATTTAATACTCATACATTAGCCAAGTTACTTTATACATACATTGATTTTTGCAATTTTAATTGTAGCTACTTTTCTTGTCCCTTTCTTTTAATATTTCTTAATTCTTTCTTTCTTTATTTCTGCTGCCCACATTAGAGACATCAGTTTCACACATATGACACCTATCACTCTAGAAGTATGCATACCCTTCTGTAAATACAACCCACTGCATTTTATTACTGTATTCTGCTGCCTTCTGCTCTGCATCTGTGTTGCGTGTCTGTTTGTTCATTCAACACGTCAATCGGTATGTTTAATTTATCTGCTTGTTTTGTTTCATTTGCTTGTGTTTGTGTAGGAAAAAAAGAAATCCCTTTCATACACTCCCACACACATGCATCTGCACACTCTGGCTAGTCCATTTTGAGCTCTGAATGATACTTCGAGGAGACTTAATCAAGGCTGACCCTGACCATGTGATCATAATCTTGGTAACAGTAAATATTCAAGTACAAATTGTGCCGAACTGTAGAATAGTACTACACGTATAAGGATATAGCTTAGACTGAGTTTTGAACACCATGTCATGCTGTCACAAACCTGTAAGTACACCTGCGGTATTTGGATTCATTCACATTCTCCCTCACGAGGGTTAGAGCAATAATTTTCCTAAGCAAACAGATTCCTAGAAATATTTTTCAGGACTTAATTTGCACAGCAGGAGCACTGAGCATTTAACCCTTTTTTGTTTTTGTCCAGGATAAGACCGAAAAGGGAGAGTCGTCAGGTTCTTCGGGAAAAGCATCTATGAAGTCGGTGCTTGATAGCCTTGGAGAGCTCTGGGATCAACAACAATATGATGCTGAATATGACCTAGAAAGCTTCATGCATTCTTTAAAATAGCATGCTTGTCTCAGACATGTCTGAATGGCTCACTTGACATCTATTCCCTGCTGATATTCAGCATATAGTGAACTTGTTTAAGTGTATGCAAATATATATGTTTTGAAAGAAACAGATTAACTTACATATTGATATCAATGTTATGGGTGAGACGTAAGAGGTGTCTTAAGATTTTTGCGTTGCTCTGCATATGTACATTTATTCTGTAACTATTGGCTGTTCAACAGAGTTGTGTGGCATAAACTTGTGTACAATGTCAGATGGCTGTTTCTCAGCATTCTTTACATGATCCCTGTGTTTAGGTTTGTTTCTTTATCTTTAAAACTCAGTCTTACATGATGTATTGTGTGTATTAAGTTCATTTCCATTCTTGGACCTCTCAGGACATGTTGATTTTAATGGTTTCCGTTGTTCTGAGACTGAGTCAACTGTAAATATGAAAAATGTCTTCTTCAGAAACAGGCTGGAGTAAGACCCAGTCTTTTAAAATTCTTAACAGATACTTGAACATCAAACCCCAATGTTTTAAGTTCAAAGAACTATATTTTCTTAAATATGGTCACCAAGGGAATCATGAGCATCACTTATTGATAACCTTCCTTTTTGTTTCTCAATGCAAGAAGTAACTTGAAAACAGACTTGATTCCTGTAGCCGTTTGTCCTCAGGAGTGCTGAGACCAGTGATCTTCGCCAACAAGGATAATGTTTTCTGATAGATCCCTTGTGCTGTAACTGGTTTCTTACTAATTTTATAATGCATAGGATTCTTCCAGCTTTGGATCTCAGCTTTTCTTGTTTAATTAAAGACAAATGGGGAACACTCCTTTACTATGTGCGAAAAGTGCTATATTAAATATTTTGGTGGGGTTTTTTTTGGTTGGAAAAAGCTGTTCCCTAAGAATTTTAAGCATAAATGCTGAAAAGGTTTTCACCTCTTAATGAGTTATTCTAGCAGACTTCAGAGTGTTTGCTTAAGAAAGCACTAGCTGCAGTTACTCTAGTAAGTCATGGGTAACAATTTCAGTAACTTAAAAGGGAGGGTGTTTTAAATCGCTGATGTGTAAATATTTCTGTAAGTGCTGTTTTGTTAAAAGATGATAGAATTATAATAAATTCTAAAGAGCTTGTCTTGTAAGTTCTAACCATGTTGTTTTACAAGGTTATTTGATGGGGAAAGGTACAATTTATCAGAAGTGTGTGTGTTGGTTGTGATATCAAATTTTAGCTTGAGGGATACATAGGGTTTTGTGGAAATTTGTATCACTTTATATTATGTAGTCATTTGATTGTGAATTCAGTAAAATGTTATCAACACTGTCACAGAGAACAAGCCAACCCTAATCCCTAGTTATTGATCAAAATTCCAAGTTGAAATATTTAAAAACAAAAACGCTTCCTGCTCTATGATGGCTTTCAGTATGCAAAACTGTTCTGCAGTCTGATCTAGGGATCTGCAGCTGCAGGCAACAAAATATGCTACCACCATGAGACGTGTATGTTGATTTCCCACAAACTTGCAAACTACTGACTGCAAACATTTGCACAAACAAAATATGTAAATTTGAAAAAATACAAAATATCTTTTTAAGTGGTGCAGAATTGGAGCTGGCTTATTCAAATCTGGATCAAGTTTACCTTGTATACAAAAGTGCTGTCTTAAAGATGTACTAACATCTGGTATGGCACAGGTTGAATAAGACCCCATGTGATGGAATTAAACTTTAAAACAAAGACAAAAAAGGTTCCATCTTGCTGTTACTATTCAAAAGTGAGTAAATACATATGTAAACTCTTAAGGATAATTTTAAAGGTTCTCCTTTTTGATTTTTTTAATACACAAAATGGCAACAAACTAATTTTTCTGCTCTTTCTCTATTGGTATTTGTCACTGATATTAAATTCCTCATCCTTACATCTAGGCAATGAGATTTTTAGTGCAGGATATTTGTTTTCCAGTGTCGGCTATTAATATGAACAAGTGCCTCAGTTCTGTGGATCCTAAGCTAAGCATTTACACCTTACATTGGTAAAACTGAGCAATTA